TAAACCCCGAAAAAAACTCCGCCAGGAGGCGAGCAAGCTCGACATGGACGACCTCGAAGACCTGATGTGACGCGGTCAGCAGCAACACAAAGCACAGCACCAGCACCAGCACGAGCACCAGCACCAGCACTAGCACCAGCTTCAGCACGAGCACCAGCACCAGCACAAACAGCAACTACACAAGCAGCAGCACCAGCACCAGCACAAACAGCACCGACAGTAGCAGCGAAGTTTTACTTCACCACGAGTTCCATACGGATTACCCTCGCCGCTTAATTAGTATAAGGAAGTTACTGTAAAATTCCTTAGGCATAGGCCGGGTTTAAGCGGCAGGAAATCCGTATGGAACTCCTAACCAAGCCAACTCAGGCGCGAGGGGTGAAAAGAAGCCTAAGCTCCATGTCACACATAGGGGTTGTAGCATGGGCCTCTATGTATTAATATAAAAATAAACAAATATAAGTATTTGTATTTAGAACAAAAGGGTTTGCCAAATAGACCCTAAAGGTCCATGCCACATAGGGGTCTGGGGGTTTAGGGTTCAGGGGTTTAAGGTCTAAGGTTCAGGGTTGAGGGGTGTTTGGGTAATTTAGGGTTTGGGGTTCAGGTTTCAGGGGCTTGGGGTTGAGGGTTTAAGGGTCGGGGTTTCCCATGTATGGTTCAGGGGTGTAGGCGGGGTTGAGGCTTCAGGGTCTAAGGTTCAGGATAAAGGGTTTAGGGGTAATTTTCGGTTTCGTGTTCAGGGGTTAAGGGGTTCAGGGTTCAGGGGTTTGGGGTTTAGGGTTTAAGGGTTTAGGGGTTTGGTTGGGGTTTAGGGTTTAGGCAACTGGGAGATGTTGCTTTGAGGGATGAGGGCTTGTCCCTGCAAACTTCACGGTGTTAGAGCTTGCGGTTGGGACCTCGTGAGACGTTCATCGTGCCTATCACCTACAGCAAAGGACAAGGAGCACCACCACTGCCACGACCACTGGAGTAAGAGGAGCAGTTAAGCCGACCAAACTGGGAAGCAAATCTCATGCACAGCTTCCTGGAACCCTAAACGCGAGACCTTGACACCCAACCCACTCCAAGTCCCACAACCCAAAACCGCCGATCTCCCTCAAAACAAGATCCACACCGCATGCCCCGGAGCCCGAGAATCCTAAACCTCCAGGGCCCCAAACTCTCAAACCCGGGATCCCCAACATCGAAGTAGAATGAGCTTTTGTGTTCCTGCTTGGAAAACTCTATATGAACTACAACGAAACCGCCGAGACGGTGCCTCAGGATCGGCCATGGCAGCGTCGGGCCATGTGGCAGCAAGCAGGAGCTTTTCGGGCTTAGGATGGGATCTGGGGTGTAGGGTTTGGGGTTTAGGGTTTAGGGTTTAGTTTAGACCCCTGGGGCTCAGCAAGAGGCTTCGAGCGGTTCTCGAGCTTTGTATCAGGTTTGTAAGGCGGCGTCTGGGCAAGTGCAGGAACATGGGATGCGGCTTGGGAGATCCCTGTGTAAGCGCAAGCAATGGAAACTGCGCTGCAAAGTACCGCAGTGGTACTGGAGTCCTGTCGCTGGAGTCACATCAGGGATCGAAGTTGTTAGCTCTGTCGGTTTTCTATCTAGCTCGCTCGCCGCAGGTATTCCTGAAGGGCACTGGCTCGTCTTTGTAAGCCTTCGAACCAGATTGACCATAGTCGGAACGGCAGCAATCAGAGCAGCAAGCACCATGGCTCAACCCCAAGCCCAGATCAATAGACCCGTACTCCCAAGAGTCGTGCCACGCAAGTCTGCACAGAAGATGTACGAACGGACAAGCAGCTTTGCATGCTAAGATCAGGAAAACCAAGCCTAGGACCGCAAACACTGGAACTTTAAGCGGTTAAACGCCAAACGTCAGAAGCTAAAACCCACACCCTTGAAAAGCCGTCAAAGCATTCAAAGCCCCAAACCCTAAAGCCACAAGACCTAAGCACGAAATCCCACAAGCCCCAAACCTTTTGGGAGCTTTTTCGCGGCAGGGCAAACGAAGTCGGATTTCGGCACGGTCTGACTGCAACCTGAGCCTCTGCTTCGCAGCAAGACAACCCAGGCCGAACCGGGTGCGCCTTCGGGTGTTGGGTTTTCGGGTGTTGTTTGCCGTCTTGCGGCGTGTGTGGAAACGTGTGGTGGTGTGGGTTTAGCGATTTTGAGGTTTAGGGGTTGAGGGCTAAGGCTAAGGCGAGAAAGAGGTGCTGGTGGGGCGCAGCCCTATGCACTCAGAGGTCCTCCTCGTCGGGATCCTTGCGGCCAGGAGCGTTCATCCCAAGTTTCGAGGATGATTCTTGCTGTCAGTGCGCCAATCCGCTTAAGGCTTGCGTTTGCGTGTGTGCATACATACATACATACATGCATACAGACAGGCAGACAGACATGCGTATACACACACATATATATATATACACACACACATCCATCCATCCATCCACCCACCCACCCACCCACCCAGCCAGCCAGCCAGCCAGCCGGCCATCCATCCATCCATCCACTCATCCATCCACCCATCGACCCACCCATCCATCCGTCCATACACATGTGCATACATCCATCCATCCATCCCTCCATCCATCCATGCATGCATGCCACAACATAACATAATAGAACAGAACATAACACACACACGACATAGCATGACTCGTACATTACCCGCCCCCCCCCACTACACTATATTACACTCTACTGCATATGTACATGCATACATTACGTACATACATGCATACATGCATACATGCATGCATGCATGCATGCACACATAGGTTCAGTGTGTATACACACACATACATACATATATATATATATACATATATATATATATATATGGTGCCCCCCCCCCACGTACCTACCATTTTTATGCTTTCCTGCTCAGGTGCCGACCTCAGCACGTCGATTCAGCTCTACGGCATCGAGGGGCCGTGGCTTGCATTAGGGCGTAGGTTAAATCGTGCTCCCCCACACAGTCCCAATCGTGCTCCCCCACACAGTCCCAATCGTGCTCCCCCACACAGTCCCAATCGTGCTCCCCCACACAGTCCCAATCGTGCTCCCCCACACAGTCCCAATCGTGCTCCCACTAAACAGTCCCAATCGTGCTCCCCCGCACAGTCCCAATCGTGCTCCCACTAAACAGTCCCAATCGTGCTCTCCTACACATTCCCAAAACCGCGTCCAAAACATTGGAAAAACCAATAAAATCGCATACCAGGAGCTCAAAACATTGGAAAAACCAATAAAAACCATAAAAACCATGATTTTCAAACTATCTCCCTGGGGTGGTGTCGCGCCTGGACATAATTCGAAAATCATAGTGTTTATGGTTTTTATTGGTTCTTCCAATGTTTTTGGCTGCTGAAACGCTGAAACATTGGAAAAACCAATAAAATTGGCACACAAGGATTTCAAAACATTGGAAAAACCAATAAAATTGGCACACAAGGATCGCAAAACATTGGAAAAACCAATAAAATTGGCACACAAGGATTTCAAAACATTGGAAAAACCAATAAAAATGTCACACAAGGATCTCAAAACATTGGAAAAACCAATAAAAACCATAAAAACCATGATTTTGAAACTATCGCCCGGGAGTGATGTCGCGCCTGGACATAAATTGAAAATCATGGTTTTTATGGTTTTTACTGGTTTTTCCAATGTTTTCAGCTTCGGAAAGTCGGAAACATTGGAAAAACCAATAAAAACCATAAAAACCATGATTTTCAAATTATCGTCCCTCCCCGGACATAATTTGAAAATCATGGTTTTTATGGTTTTTATTGGTTTTTCCAATGTTTTCGGTTTCGGAAAGTCGGAAACATTGGAAAAACCAATAAAAACCATGATTTTCAAATTATCGTCCCTCCTCGGACATAGTTTGAAAATCATGGTTTTTATGGTTTTTATTGGTTTTTCCAATGTTCTCGGCTTCTGAAACTCGGAAACATTGGAAAAACCAATAAAAGTGACACACAAGGATTCCAAAACATTGGGACATCCACTGCCAGTTGCAGATTTGAAGCTCAAGGCTTTCGTCAGTCATCAATATCCTGAGTGCCATGTCTTCTTTGGACGTTTCGATATGGAAGGGCTTGCCGCGCGATGTGGCAGATTGCATCCTGAAGCTGGCTTTGGGGCATGTGCCAGAAGTTGTGGGTGCGGTGCCTCGAGCGCCGCACCCATCAGAAGCCTCCCGCATTTTCGCAAGACTTCCTTCCGGACAACGGGTGTCTAAAAGTTAATGTTTCAACTAATAATGTAGTGCTACTACCTTTCAGTCATTTCAGTCCATAATTCTTTTTGTGAAAGACTTGAGCAATGCAGGAACAGTCGTGTGGCAAACCAAGTGCAATTGCTACGCCTTCGACGACGACGGCCATGAACGCCCTTTGACGTCGCTCGAGTACGTACTACTGTTCAACGAGTTGTCCAAGTGAGGTTAATAGGCCATATCGTCTGAGGAGCTCACCAAGTGATTCTCCGGATTCATTGTAAATTGTAAGCAAATTTCCAGAGCTCACCAAGTGAGCTTCGTCATAGCTTTTACTGTTTCATTCTGCACTTTCCGAAAGAAATCATCACAATCATCTCTGTACTGCGATGATTAGACATGAGCCTCTAGATGATTCAGAAACCATCCGAAGTCTGACACAGGTATTGTTTGCATCAGTTCCAAGCTCGTGCAAAGCATAAGCTAATAGACCCGGATGATTGCAAGAAGAAAATGTCGGTCTGCATATCACTAGTGTGTAGAGGAAGTGTGTGCCAGCAAGCAGTATCGATGTTGTGCTTTGATTTCGTTCATGTCTGCTAGTTTTCTTGGATCCAAAAGCATAAAGCAGTGTAGTCCATTCTTTCTTCGCGTCATACTTTCCGCGATGGATTGCGCAGGACGTGATGGGAACGCCTCTCTCAACACCGGCATCGAAGCCACACAGGGCACGCATTTATCCAAACCTTTGCCCTTCCCAACCTTCACTGACCAAGCTCCTGGAGGAATGTCGGTAGCGGATCTTCCCTTGCAAGAGCTCTCTGGCGCCAACACCACCCTCAAGCATTTTGTTGACATCATCCATGACGTCGCGCCCCCCAACAAGTCGGACATCGAATCGGCCGTCACAAAAGGCAATTGGAGCCCCAAGGACATCCCGGCGCCTTTCTGCCACAAAACAGATATGGAGATCAATCTCATCACCCAGTTTGTGGTTCTACCTCAGCAGAACGACAAAGTCACCGTTATCAAACACATGTACTGCCACGAGTTCAAGCTGAACAAGTCCACAGTCGAATCCTTGTGTCATAGTGAACCGCAAACCTTGCGATGGCATGGTCAGGCTATGAACTGCCGGAAGGCCTGGCAGTGGTTTCTCGAACAACTGGGGGGCTGGCAGTGTCGACAATATGCGTTGACACATGTTCTTCCGCATCAGAAAGCTGCTGCAGATGCTGGCGGTTCTTTCATGTCCAATCTCACTGAGGAGGACGTCGACAAAGGGTTTCAATTCATCGCAGACGAAGCTCCTAATCTGGGCAGCGAGTGGAAAAAGGTCACATGGATTACCAAGAACGTCAGTGTCAACAGATCATCACCAATTTACTCATGGCCACAGGCACTCGTCGACAAATCGCTGAGAGCCATCCAGACTGATGGTGTCTTGGCACTCCCGGTCGAAGATTTCTTCTTTACTTTGGCAGATGTGGACCTAGACGTTCTTGACTTCGCCGTTCGTCCCATTATCAAGACCATGAAAACCGTTGCCGCCGGGATTCTAGGAGGCCCTGGCAGCGGCAAGACACCTCTTGCACGGATCATCGCTCTATGTGCTTCGCGATATTGGAAACGCGAACTTGGTATCTCCTCCCCGGCATCCTTCCGAGAAGCAAGTGAATTTGATTCTGGGATTCGGAAAGCAATCTCTGGTGTTGGTACCCTTTTAAACATCATCATAATAGTGCGGTTGAAACATACTAAGATATTTCAATGCCCAGGATTTCTTTCGCGGACAGCCTGGCCGCAAAGATCGACCGGATGTACATGATGACGGGCGTCTCGCAGAAGAACCTATTCGCAAAATGAAAGGTTTCACTGACGTCGGTTGCACCATGATGACCAAGGAGAGGTGGGGGGCTGCCAAGTTCGTTCAAGGTCAAATGCGTGTCTTTGTGTGCAACGACTATGTTTTCACAGACGCTCTCAAACAGCTCCAAGATCATCGCTCTGGCTCCATCTCTTACCTGACACATGAAGAATTCTTGGATGTGATCGCTCCAATGTTCCCCAAAGACACAGAAGATCCACACAAGATGGCTGTTCTGAAGCGCTCTAACATCCTTGTCAGTGCCGGCAACTGCATACTTTTCCGTCGCTTTACCCAAGAGGAGATCACGGTTCCATGTCTCAGCATGGGTGCTTCTGCTGAGTTTCTGAAACCTTCCAGTGGTGACAGGTATCAACAGTACCGCGACACCAATGTCTCCATGCATCCGAATTTCCAGCGAGACGTGCAGTGGGAGGCTGACTATGTGGACGCAATCCTCAATGGTAAAACGCCGCCTCGTCCGGGCATCACCATCATAAACAGCAATGCCATTCGCCAGTTGTTTCATGGAGATACTCCAGCTTCCAAATCATCTTTCGCGGCCGCCGCCTCCCATCAGCAGCTGTCCCGCTCAGGTACCCCGCCTCCCAAGGCGCCGTCGGCGGCAACCTCTTCGAATGAACCGCCAGCCCACATCAAGCAGGAGCCCATCGCATTCAACCGCAAGTTGTCGAGTTTGTCAGGTACGATCATTGACTTAGACAGTCCACCACCAAAGGTTTCGCGCAGGAACTCTGCCATCGACGTGCATTCCGGCGAGATTCTTGCAGAGCCTGCCCACACGCATTTCGCTGAGCCCGTCGGCCCGCCATCAGAAGCCCCATCACAGGGTAGCCCTATGGATGTGATGGAGGAAGAACTGCACGATCCCATGGATGATCTCGAGAAGCTGCTTGAGGAGGAAATGGACAGGCTTGTGGCGGCAGAAAAGTGAACATGATCTGTACAAATCCAATACGTCCGCCGTCTAAGTAATCGCATGCACAAACTATGCGCGTAATGCTCATGATGTCCTATACGGTCTTATGCGGTAAAACTGCACGTAAAGAGTCTAGCAATGTGAGTTTTCCTAATCAAGAAGCAGAGCAAACAGCGCATAGTATTTTGGTGTGATTGCTGTAGATGCTTGATGACCCGCCGCCTGGGTTTACAAAACTAGTTTCCTGCAGTGAGCCGAACAGTTTGCAGCAGGCACTTTTCCGTGATCTTGTTGATGTCTCATCGCGTTTTGTGTAGAGGAAACTTGTTATGGATGGCTTGCCATTTGAAGCGATCAATTGTGTGTATCCACGTCCCTTTGATCTTCCTCAGCTTCACCATGCCGCCCAAGGAGAAGTTCAACCCCTTCCCGCCTCCCAAAAAAGGCGTGCGACGGATGATTGCGAAGAGACCTGCAGCTATGAAGTCCGCGACTTGGAACAAAATTCCTTATGTCAAAGACAATAACGGTGGTCATGTGCGCTTGGAGAAGGCCAAGTGGCGCCGCACCATCCAGGAACTCCTTTCAGCAAGCAACGAGAAGATCATTGAGATTCTTACTGCGGACGGCATTCTCCCTGATTGGAAAGGTTGTGCATGTCCGCATTGTCAATGTGGTAAGCTCGGTCCTCTCACCTCCAATGGCCGCGATGACATCCTGCGCTACAGGTGCAACAAGAAGGGCTGTCAGCGTTATTTTCTTCCTCAACACCTACACCCATTCTTCACGGCAACGAACGGGCCAGAGGGTCACTCGCTTCAAACGCAGGCTGCAGCCCTTCTTCTTCGTCTCCTCAATGTTCCGCTGTCCAGTATCCATTTGCTCACACACATCAATCACAAAGCCCTAGAAAGGCTCAACCGCAACATCTTGCTCATGCGCAAGGGCTATGTCCAAAAGGCGGAGAAGGAAATCAAGTTCGGCGGCTGTCCAAGGGCTTGGAAAGAGGTCGAAGCCGACGAAGCGACCTTCGATAAGAAGACTCTTTCCCCTCAGGAGCTCGGCGTGAACCATGACAAACCAGTGCTCTGGGAGCAGTGGGGAGCCATAGTGCAGCGCGGGGCTCCTGAGACCCTCGTCTTGACCAAGCTAAACCCAGCAATGACAGTTCCTCGTGCGCCCGGTCCTGGTGCCATCAGAAAGGTGGATTGGAAACCTCTGGCCTTGAAGCACATCGCAAACCGAAATGTCATCCTCCACACGGATTCGGCCCGCTCCTACAAAATGAAATTGCCCGGGGTTGTGCACGATGCGGTGGTGCACAAGAAGAAACGCGTCAAGAAGAACGGCAAGTGGGTGTGGTTGAAGCCGACCTTCGTTCGCATCTCGAAGCACAAGTTGCCTGATGGCCGTAGAATTTCCTGTAAAGCGGGAACCCAAATCGTAGATCGCGCGTGGAAATTCATCAAAGCCAGACTCACCAGGAACCAGTATGTAAAGGCATCCTCCTTGTTGCTTGCTGCACAGATTCGAAGCGCACAATGGGAGTACTGGAACCGCCAACGTGATCTCTGGTTGTGTACTGGGCATGTTGTTGCTTCCTACATGGAAGGCATTGTGAGGAGGTGAGTACCGAGTACAGATCTCTGGGCCTCTAACCTGTGATTTTGAGTAAAGTATGCACTTCGTATGCACTGCACACCTGTTTGCCAGAGTCACACAGGAAAGCTTGAGGCTTCAGACTGCCCGAGGGAAACGAATATGCAGTGAGCCAGTGCTGTGAGTGTGTGTGTGTGTGTGTGTGTGTCAGATGCGGCACCAGCACAGCTTGCATGAAGTTGCTGCTCGCGTGGCTCACAGATACGCATTGACATTAGCAATGCACGGCATTCAAGAGACAGTTTCGGCTTGGTGCTAACCTGCAAGCAGTTTATCAGCATGTGGAGCCTGTGACACAATTATACAACCTGAACCCTGGACACTGCAACACTGCAACAGACCTCCGTTCAAAACCTGAAGCTGTGAACCCTTGAGACTGGTGGGTGAGGGATCGCAGACTGTTGATGCTTGTTGCATGTCTAAGGACACCTGGCCGCACTGGTTGTCTCTGGGCACTTTACATGTACACGTATATGCATATAGATATATGTATGATGATGTCTTCAGGTGTATATGTGTATACAGTAGTTTCTGTTTCTTGTCGGATTTCACTCTGGATTGAGCAAGAAGCTGCCTTATAGAAGACCAAAAAGTGTAGGTACGTCGGGGGGGGGTAGCATATATATATATATATATAGATATATACAGATATAAATCTTATACATACGTATATGTATATGTGTCTGTTTGGCCGCCTGCATTCCTGGATGCCCAGCCAAAACTTCCAAACCGTCAAACCATGCAGTCATTGCACCACGCACGCATCCCGCCGACGATTGGTTAGGTTCCCAAAGCATTGAACCGTTAATCCCTTCATTTTCCTCTGTGATCGGCTCCGTTGAAGCATTCTTTGCCCCGACTTGACTTGATTGGCGGTGAGGTCCGAAACCGTTCAGAAGCACAACCTGAACGAACTAATTAATCATGGCCTGCAGGTTTCACCGGTTCAGGGCCTGGTGAACTCGCCAACCATAGCGGGAAATGGATAGATTGACGAATTAATGGTCTCATGTTCTGATGGTTGAGCACTTGGGCCTTGCACGTCGCAGCGGCCAAAGTGAAAAACATAACGGCTTCACGGTTCAGGCCTTAGTGGTTTTAGGCCCTACCCGTCATCGGGTTAAACTCAATGGTGTAACGATTACAAAAGCGGTGCGAAAGAGTATATTAAAGAATTTTTCCGACCCCCGAACCCCTACTTGATTCTAAACCCACCAGCACCCTCTTCCCATCCCGTCCAGGAGGCCGCTTTCCACCGGATCCTCGCCTTCCTCTCTGCTTTTTCGGATCGTGGCTTCGGTTTGTTTCGTGCGGGACTGATGATAGGTGTTTTATCAAGGGGGCTGAATAAAGCTGTAGAAAGCTGTTTTTCAATGAGTCGTTCTGGGTTGTGGAAGGGGTTTCGAATTTTGGGAGTGGGGTCGGGCGGCTTGCAGTTTGGGCTTTGGGTTTAGGAATCGAATTTTGGGGTTGTTGGGGCTGAGCGTTCGTCTCAAACAATGGTGAGTTTAGGGTGTCGGGTTCGGAGTCGATATGTAAGGACCAGGGTTGCCTCTTGAGGGCTTCGTGCTCGTGGAATTTGGGGCCCAGGACCTGGCACCTGTCGCTGCGGGCCTTCGGTGCTGAGCCAAGCGTAGAAGCGGTTAAGCAGATAAACCGTCAACCCTAAACCCCACTCTCTAAAGGGCGTAAACCTCAAACCCTGAACCTCAAATCGCGAAGCACCCACCAAAGCACCGACCAGCCACCTGCCTTTGGAGGAGGCGGCCTCTCATCGAACTTGATGGCACACTCGCGATGTAGCCACCTCAGTGGAGAAGCGTAGTGCTTTTCACGAGTTTTATAGCGGGTTCTGTAAGAGTCTTATAGCGTTTGTATCAGGGTTCTACGTGTGCGACAATTGTATAAGGTCTTATGGAGCTCAATAGGGCCTCATTTGAGCTTCAGAGACCTCAAGGCTCTCAATAGAACCACATCCTCTCGGCTGCCTCAGCACACATGCCCGTACTCAAGAAAAATTGAGGGAAAAACCTTCCAAGACCCCAAACCCTGAACCCAAACTCCTGGACTTTACGCTGCACCTGAGCCATGACGGCCCAAACGCATTTCCTGAACTGCAATCCCTAAGCCTAAGGAGCTCAGCACTTACTTTAGATCTAGCTGTCCGAGCCACTGGATCATGTCGTCCGGCTGTCGGGAGCCCTGATACATGACCTGCCAGGACTAACGAGTACTCAAGACCAGAAGAACTTTAGGCTTCGGATTGAAAGTTTCAGGTCTACCAGTAGCGTTTGGGGTCTATACAGCTTTACGGCTTCGGTTCGGAATCACGAGCAGGGTCATGTTACTGGGCTACCAGATTCACGGCAGACCTGAGCCACGAGACCGAAGCCACTACACTTGCGGCAAGGACCCCAATCCAAGCTTTCCCGGCACAACCGGTGCGAGATTTGGGGCTTCTGCACCGTATCAAGGGCAGGCTCCCGACCACAGCATCTCAGCTTACAACACTTCAATGGATACTACATTCGATTGCAGTTATATGCGGTCTGGAAACAAGCACTCTGCACAATTCCAACAGCAACCCGAAAAGAACCCGCAGCAGAGTGGTCTAAAAGGGAATCACACACTTGTCGCGCGGTCAAGGTCTTCGGGGCCGTAGTAGAGCATGGCTTCATGTTTTCGGGGGTGGGTTGGGGCTTCTTTTACAGAGGGTTTAGGATACACTTGCGGCCCTAAAGCCTAAAATTTACACCCTGAACCCGGAAGCCAACACCCTCAAACCAAAACTTTAAATGCTAAACCATAAACTGCAAATCCCAAACCCTAAATCCTAACGCCTAAACCCTAAATCCTCACCCTCAAAGCCTAAATCCGAACCCTAACCCGAAACCCGAAAGCGTAGACCCGAAGCTCAGGACGGTGCGTGTCGCTTTGGGGATGCCCCAGCGGGGAAGAGCATGATGGTCGGGAAGCCCATGATCTGCATGCCCTCCACCTCGTTCGGGTTTAGGATTTAGGGCGTAGGGTTTAGGGTTTGCGGTTTGCGTGTGGAAGTTTAGGATTGCGGCGTAAGGTTGAGAAAAAGGCGTTTAGAAGTTTGGGATGTAGAGTCCCTCTGCAGGTTTCGGGTTTAGGATTTAGGGTTTAGGGCTTCGGCTCGGAAGGACTTTGAAGCTTAATTCAGGGATAAGACTCTACAGTCTATAGACACCTGGATCACAGCTTCAAGGAGCGGAACCGTAGAAGCCAACTGGCCATCGTCAACAAGCCATACAAAGCGCAACGATGACAGCGACGCCGCCTGCATTTTTCTGGAAACCAATGTCTGCGAGGTCAGAAGACGATACAGTAAGACCCCAGATGGGGCATATAGAGGAAGAACCCTGGACACTCAACACCACAAAACCGACAATCAGATCCAAAGAAAGAGAAGTACTTAATAAACCCTAGCATACCATGTTCAAACTTCCGGATAGAGCTGATTGGGTCTAGCCCTGAATGTTGGGCTTACTTGGGATGCCTCGTTGCGGGTCGCATCGATCTTCATGATCTTCAAGGATTTGACATGCCGCAGCTTCCTTCCAACCGGCACCCAAATGCGCAGGGAAGCGGAAAACGGATTCTCAAAGGAAGGAATCCTAAAAGCTTCTTAAGCCTTCTTAAGGCATCCTACCACAATGTTAAACGTGTCCGTGTAAGTATCTGGGCTCCAAAGACCAAAAGCCCGAAGCGCCGACGCTTTCAATCCTTAAGCCGTACAAACACCAAGCCACGAAACTCCTCCCCCCCTCTCCCCCGTCTGCTGAAAAAGAGAAACCTCAACGCCTTTTCCCCCAAAACCTACGATACCCTGCCCCAAAGCCCTGAACCCCGAAAACAAAAAAAAAACAGAACACATAACAAAAAAAAGTAAAACAACCTTTTCCAAAGAAATATTGAAAAAAAGAACAAGACAAGAACTCAGGGGCCGGTACTTTGCAAGCTCTTTGTAGAGCGGCTCGAACTTCCGACAGTGCCCGCACCTCAGGAGTCGCAAGCGGCTTTGGAGGCATTGGGGTATAGAGTCTAGGGTTGAGGGCTTTAGAACATAACCCCAAAGGGGTGGTCTAAGGGTGTTCTTAAAGGTCTTGCGGCGGGTCTGTAGAGCTTAGTGCCTGGAGACTCTTGAGAAGTGCAGGGCCAGAAAATGGCAGCTTCTTTTCCTCCTTCCATCTCGCAGACCTAGCCTTAGATGGAATCTTGGCTCGAAGCTCCATCCTGCCTCCACCAGGTGCGAGACGCGAGAGGCCTCGGACCTGCCTTTCTGCGCTCTTTGATGCCCTTGTTCTTGTTGCTCGATGCTCAAACGAAGATGTGGACTCCGACCTGCACATCCCTCCGGCAGATGGGACAGGACCCTCGCATGGCCGTAACGAAAGAAGCACAGTCCATGCAAACGCAGAGGTGTCCACAAGGAAGGAAGGCATGAGACTTCCCACGATCCAGGCAGATGCAGCACTCCCCGAGCTCCAGCTCCTCAGCCCGCGACCCGACATTCCGCGCAGTACCGGTTTCGTTCTTTCGTGGCAGGGCTTCCAAGACGGCGACGACCGCGTCGGCCGCACGCCGACTTCTGCACGCAGCCACGAGGCTCCGGGCCCCGCCGTAGCCTGGCGAGAGGAACAACTCTTGTGCCCTCGCATCGCTCATTGCATGTTGCAGGACATGGCAGGCGCAAAGCACCAGCTCCTCCCTCTCTTCGGCGTCTCCCTCCATGTCTTCGTCTGCGGCACCGAGGATGTCGCGAAGGCACTCCAGCGCCGCCGGGTGCAGTGACACCATTCCGTCGGTTCCGTCTAGGATAGCGTCCAGCCTTCGGAGGCTCTCCGCGATCTCTGGCTTCAGCTGGGCCATTTGTGCTGCCACCAGACGTGCCATGACCTGATCCAGCTCTGTCACTTCCAGCCAAGCCCAAAGCTCTCCGTGCAGAAGCACCGGTACATGAAGGCTGAGAAAGGCCAGGTAAGCCTCCAAACTCTGACGCCGTCGCTCCAGGAACCGGGCGTCGAAGTTGGCTAAGATCCGATAGGAAGGCAACTGGGCCAGCGAGTAGCCGAAGCTTTGCCTTGAGAGGTGCTTGTGGAGCTCCTGGAATTCCGAGTAGCGCCGTAGCACCGTGTGCGCCCGGCATGGGCTCTCGACCACCAAAGTGTAGGCCACGTGCTTGTCGACTAAGCCCTCGGTCTGAAACCGAGGGATTCGGACGGAGATCGGGGCTGACTCCAGGAGCTGCACGGTGGGCCGCGGCTCACGCAGCATGCACTGCCATGGTGTCAGGAAGCGATGCTTGTGCTTGGCTCTTATTCCGTGTACGTCTAGGCGGATCTATTCTCGGGTGTCCGGCCTGAGCCCGACGAAGCGCGATGGGCCTGCGTACATTTACGTGGCTTATGCGATCGAAGAACATATTACGCAGCACGGCATGCAATGTCAGTGCGGTTTGCGTTCGTATGGTGGCTTTGTACTACACTGCACTGAAATCCAAACGGCAACTGCAGTTGTTTATCTCACGTTTGATGGCACCATCGATTTACGTAGTGCTATATGGCACTACACAGTGTTACATATGACAAGCCTCTCGGTACAATTGCTGATTCCGAGGCATCCGAGACCATGGCCAGGGTGCGTAGAAGTCCACCATGATATCCTCCAAGGTGGAACGATGCAGAGTTGATGCCGCTGGTAAACGCTGAGTCACTGGACAGACCCCATCCCAGACCCTAAACACGCTGATGTGTTGTTTTGATTAATAAACCCCCCCTCCCCCCCCCCTCCCCCCCCCAATCATTAGGAATAAGCGCGGACCGGGGGTGTTCGTAGTTTCGGATGCTGGCTGGACGGATTGTTCTTGATTGTCGTACAATGGCTGGGTTCTTTCGTCAGATTGTCGGGGCGGTGAATTTAATATTGCAGCCCCCTTTATTGTTGCCTTTTTGTAGCTTGTGGGCAACCCCCCAGGAAGCATTGTTTCAGGCTCCGTTTTGCAATCCGTTATATTTTGTTTTTGCGGTTTTGGCCGGCAGGAGGTTTTTGGATTTCGAAGGGGATGACAACTAATTATCCGATTGGGGTTTCGGGAATATGATTGGCATGAGCCTGGCTGGGTTATTGTCGAGGTTCATTCTGTTGCGATTGTGCTCTGGATTGCCTGCTGCCTGGATTGTGTCTGCTTGTAGTACAAGAAAATTACTGGAAATGCCTCCTGTCGGATGCTGGCTGGCTTGTCCTGTCATTTGGAAGCTGGTTTTGGCTTATCATAATTCCGCTTTTAAGCATGCGATTTTATGTGTGGCTGGGTGCTCAAGTCGTGGCTTTCGGGTGCGCAACCGTGTCACCTGTGTTGGTTTTCAAGAGGCTCGAAATGCCCCAAAAAAGGGTCGCCCGAAATAATTATTTTGTTATTACAACCCCATTCAATTGTTTGGGCATCTGGGGCCCGGTTGCAGGCTTGTAGTCTTCCCAGAAGGCAATCGGCAGAACCGGCCCGAATAATTATTTTATTAATCCGACCCCATTTATTAATCAAAGGTGAACATTAAACACCCTAAGAACCTAAGACCCATTAAGACCGTACAAACTGAATCATGAGCCTTAGGGCCGACAATCCTGAACCCTTATTAACCCTTCCGGACGACAGACCTGCTTAAATTGCTACGAGCCAAAATCCACCGGACTTTCTCGATGGTCACTACAAATGCTGGTGTTACTATTGCAACTATTGGTATTATTGATACGCTGATGACCGATTTTATCACGAAGATCCCTATGATGGATATGAATACCATGCCAATCATCATCATCTTCTTCTTCAGTATCATCTTCTTCTTCACGATCATCATCTTCATCACCTGCATCATCAGCATCATCAACAACAACGCCAGCGGCAGCAGCAACAGCAACAGCAACAGGCACAAGTTTTCGGTGTTGGCGACAGGCTCTCAGCTTAAATGCCGGTGACACTGGATGTGGTTTTCCAACTGCATTTTTGCCTCTAAACGAACAAGTGCTTAATAAGCATAGTAAGATGCTAAAAAAGTTGTCTATTTTAGGCGTCCATTTTGGGCGCTTTGATCGCGCAGGTTCTTGAAGAGGCAAAACATTGTACGGCATCGCCCTCCAAATGGCTGGCACGGGACTTGAAGAAACAAAGGCGAAATGCTAAAGCAATCCTACATGGATGTTCGCAATGGCCCACGTCCAGTGTCTGGCAAGCTAAACTGGCTAACCTGGCCAACCTGGCCAACCTTTCAACTTCAACTGTCAAGGCGGGGTATCACTCTCCAGCAGTAGGCTGGCACAGTGTCCCGACCGACGCATGAGGCTACAAATGGGCACTCTCCCGAACGCTCACCAAGTCCAGTGGTCCCAGTCGCATTCAGTGCAGAGGCGTTTGCACTCGCTGATGCAGGACTGCGCGTCCTCGGCAGAGATGGTCGCACCCAGCGCCCGGGCCATCGACATTCCGGAGGCACAGACCATGTTGATCTCCAGGAAGTTCACGCCCTCGAAGAGGTCGCTTCCATCAGTGAGCCATGAAACAATGTCCTTGTTCAGCGAGGCCGATAGGGGAACCAGCAACTTCTGTTGGATGAAAGACTGCACCTGGAAGAGCTTCCCGGAACCTTGCATCTTCGACATTGTCTCCTTGACATACGGCTTGACCTTGTCCTTGCTGTCCACGGAAGACTTCCAATTGCCGACAACGCAATCCCCGGAGATGGCAAGCATGTGGCCCCCATTGCCCAATGCACCGGCTGCTTTGGCATCTGCCAAAGTCATGTCGCGGAGTTTGTCGCAGTCGCCCTCAACGGCGATCCCAAGCTTTGTGAATGGCTCGACAAACTGCTGGTTCATGCAATCTTTAGACTTCAAGTCTACACCAGACTTCAGCCTGCAGTGCGAAATGACCATGACCACAAACTCCCCAGGATTCTCTTCAGCCCAGGAAATTAGCCCCGGCAGCTCTCCGCTCAGAGTCTGGTCTGTGATATAGTACACAGGAAGGTCGAATATCACCGTGTCTCCATGGTGAAAATGAATCTCATCACCAACCTGCACAAGCCGAAGGTCCAAGGCACGCGTGCCACATTTCAACTGATCTTTCAAGTTGATGAACTGCGCCTGCGCAACGAGGGCCCGCACGTCCGAGGCTCCAATGTAGCCCGTGGCTGAATCGTGGGTCATGAGGAAGGGGGACTCGGACAGCTTCGCACTTGGATCCGGCGAGTTCCCGGCGCCTATGAGCGAAAGCCCCGCATCACAAGAGCAGTCCCATGCCTTGTCGGCCGCTGCACGACGGCGCGCGCAGTGGCCGAGATCGGAGAGATCGGAGACGCACGACCCGCCCAGAATGGCACAAGCCTCGGCACAAGTGTAATTCACCGCCACTTTCGTCATCTTAGTCATCTCGGTCATCTCCCCCTTGTAGAGCTCCCTCTTCGCAGCGCCCTGAGCAGCAGCCTGCAGCAAGCCCGTCGCCTCGGGCTCCGTGCGCTCACATGCGCCATAAAGGCATTCGACCGAAGCGACGCCGAGGGCAGAGAGAATCATCCATGGGCTTAGGACGAGCATGACGAGCATTTCGGAAGCGTCACGGGCAAGACACGGCAGTTCTAAACCAAAAGAACTTCGCACAGTTTAATGGCTCTTGAAGATATGCTCACGGCCCTTTTCAAGACATGAACCAGAAAAACAACCCGTGGGGCAGAATTTGGTTCGGCTGCCGACAAAAAGGCTAAATCCGCCGACCCCGGCATGTCGGGGCGTGCTTTTCTGAAAGCAACGAAATGCGAAGCCCTTTGATCTGAGCCCCAGGCCTTCGACTCGTCCTCGACGGTCTTGCGGAAGTTGGTTCCCACCAAGACCCCCACGGGGCCGCCGATCCGGATGTCCTTCGTGCGTGTATACAAAGAATATATGAACAACGGATCATGGGGGGGGGGGGGTGACCATATATATATATATATATATATATATATATATATATATAATGTGTATACATATATGTATATATACACATACATACATACATACATATATATATATATGTACATATGTATATGTTTATCTATGTATGTGTATTCATACTCATATTTATCTTTGTACGGGTTTAGGGCTCAGGGTTTAGTTTAGGGTCTGTACACCTTCTACGAGTTGTTTGCCGGTTCGAGAGCAGTTTTCACAGGGTTCCAAGAGGGCTCGAGGGCTTTCTCAAAACTTCCAAAAGGGCTCGAGGATGACTCTTCGAGCGTTGCAGCAGCGTTCGAGGATTTTGGAAGGGTTGCCCTGCGGGGCCAGTGCCAGTTTCACATTCCCGCAAAATCGCCCCGAAATCCTCAACCAGCAGCCTTCAATCCGCCCCAACCTCTAGACGACAAAACCCACGACCCCAGCCTTGCATCCCAAAAGCCTTCCCCAGCCCAACATCTCCAAACCTTAACAACCCCAAACCCCACACCCCAAACCTTGAATACCAGAAACGCCCAACCTCAACAACCCCTGACCATAAACCGCAAGCCAGATCCTTAAACCCTAAACTCAAAGACCGAAAATCTCGAAATCCGAAAACCCGAGAGCCTCGGCTGAAGGCTCGGGCTCGCTCTTGAGCCAAGGTTCCAGCCTTGTGAGGGCCAAGGGCTCACGCAGAAGGGTTTCAGGTTCTCTCAAAAGTCTAGAAGCATTTGTATTTTTGGAAACTTTAGAGGTTCTATCTAAGGGGGGGGGGGGGTGAGTCGGGTCTAAGATTTGGGGCTATTAAGGGCTCGGGGTTCGGGGTTCGGGGTTCAAGGTTTCAGGGCCAAGATGCCTTGAGTGTACCGGGCTCAGGGATTCAGTGCTTGGGCTTCAGGGCGAAGGATTCCGGGTCTTAGGGTTCCGGGATGAGCATCTAGGCTTGACGGCTGAGGTGTTGCAGGCTGACGGTGTAGTCGCGTTAAGAGCTGAGGGTGTGGAGTAGAAAGCAGGAGCAGTCGTAGCAGCAGTAACAGTAAGAGCAGTAGCAGTCGTACTCGTAGTCGTGGTCGCAGGAGAAGTATCGGCGTCGTCATAGTCGTAGTCGTAGTGGAGGTGCTAGTGACTAGTGGTAGCGGCGGCAGCAGCGGTGGTGGTGGTGGTGGTGGTAGTCGTCGTCGTCGTCGCAGCAGGAGGCGAAGGCAGAGGACCGTAGCAGTAGGAGTACGTACACCAGCGGTACAGCAGCAGCAGCAGCAATAGCAGCAACAGGAGGAGCCGGAGGAAGGGGAGGAACTGTTTCAGTACCACTCGTCCGTCCGTGTAAGTGTGCGCAAATGCATTAGTAGCACACGGTTAGAAGAATGAACAGAGCATGACCAAGATCACAGACGAATCTCGGGCTGGCCTGTTACCCTCGTAGTCTGTGACGAAACCGACGACCTTGTCGACGCTGAGGCCTTCCAGCCGGCTTTCGGTGAAATATCCCAAGTAAGGTGGCTACCATACTGCTGCGACTTGTCATACTGCCAATAACAGTAAAACATAATCGCAACAACAAACATCGCCCTGTTGAAACAGCAATTTGGCGGTGATTCTGACTTGGCGTGACGCTGCCCCAAAAATCCTCCACCCCTAACTGCAGACGAGAACCCTTCCCCACGAGACCCAGACGTCCCCACGGGCCTTCCAGCGACAGGCGGAACTTCCGCGCAGCGTGGTATTGGCCCGTGGGACCGGTGCCGGAGTGCGTCTGCCACAGCTTGGCAGTCCAGGGCTCCATTTTTGGCTTCTTTTCGTGTTGCGGCTTCGAGGGTTATTTAGGTTTACGGGCTAACAAGGCTTGTCCTGGTGGTTTGGGGCTAAGAGTTCCCGGCGGTGCCGGGCTTGCTTTATGCTGGGTTCAGAGTCCAAACTGGGTTGCTTTAAGCGGGGTTTGGGATGCTGCATAAGGGTTGAGGGTCCTGGGAGCGCCAGGGTTTTGAGAGTTTTGGGATGAAAACTCAAGCCGCGAATCAAGCACTGCCCCAAACGGGCCTCTTGTCAAACCCTAAAATGATCCCTGTGCCCCAAAACTCATCAAGTCGCATCATCATACCCAAAGTCACACGTGGTCATTCTTGAGATCATTCCTTACCAATTTGACCGCTGTTGCTGTGCCTATGACCAACCGCCAACACCCAACGGAACCTTTCAGCCCGAGCCGCCCGACTCAGCCTCCCTAACACTTGAACGGCCCCAAAAAACTTCCAGAAAATCCAAACCCGCCTATTACATTAGAGCCCCTTCCGAGTCCTGAGAAAGACAACAGCCCCATGGCAGTCCCAGAACAGACAAAAGCCCCCAGTCCTTGCAACAGGCCTCTACCAGGGTCAGCACAGGACCGGCCCCCTCCACTCCCGCCATCTCTGCTGTGCGGCGCTCCATGGCGGTGTCCAGGCCCTAAGCGTAAAGTTTTGAGGTTTGGTTCAGGGATTCTTGGGTCTTGCTCTGTTTTCTTCGGCTTAGAGTTTGCTGAAGCGCCAGAACCTTCATCCTAAACCCGAAACCCTGAACCTTAAGCCCTCAAACCCGTAGGCCCCGAACCCTGAACTTTTAAACTCTTTGAACCTCGAAGGTTTAACCGCCCTGAACCCTCAACTTTAAGCTCCAATGTGCCAGATCCTCTCACCAGAATCCCAAACCCCCCACAAGCCCTGAGCCCCGAAACCCTAAAGCCCCAAACCCACAACAGTCCTGAAACCCCTAACTAACCCCTGAAACCCCAATGCCCGAGATCCTTGCACACAGCAGCCCCAAACCTCCCAAAACCCCAAACGCCAACACCTTGAAACTTGTGAACCGTTCCAAAACTAAAGTTCCTTCCCATCAGGATGTGCTGATGAGTATGACGACAAGCTATGGACGGTGAATGAAGATAATGACGATGGTGATGCTGATTATGATAAGAGTGATGACAATGACGACGGCGACGACGACGACGATGACGCCGACGATGGCGACGAGGATGAGGAGGGTGATGACGATGATGATGATAATAATGGTGGTGACGCTGGTCATTATGGTGATGGTGGGGAGATGGTGATGGTGAAGATGATGCTGACGGTGATGCTACTGCTGATGTTGATGTTGTGCATGGTGATGACGATGATGATAGAGATGCTGACAAGGTCAAGACGAACATGAAGAGTGTGAAAATGACCTTGGTGCTGCTGATGATGATGGTGATGATGATGATGATGATGATGCTGATGATGGTGATGATGATGATGATGACGACGATGATGATGATGATGACGATGACGATGGCGATGACGATGACGATGATGATGACGACAGTGATGGTAAGGATGACGAAAATGATAGTAAACAATACGCAGGTGCATTGGACAACGGTCCCGACTTCTTCGCTGATGATGGTCATCTTCGCTGTTCTTGCTGGTGTTGGTGGCGGCTTCAACGTTTGTCAGCCCAATGCCCCTCACCCACTTACCCTGAACCCCCGAATGGCCTCCCAAGACCCTAGATGTAGGATCATTGTGGTTCAGGTGCACATGTAGCTAAGAACTTCGTATCCCTCGAGTTGAGCTTCTTCGGGTGTGGGGTTTAGGGCTTCTGGCGATTAGGGTTTAGAGATTCTGGGAGTTTGGGATTCGGCTTGCAGATCCAGGGCCAAGTTTCGCAGCGGTGGGATGTAAGGCATCCAGCTCTTCCGGCTCATAGAAGTCTACCACAGCCGTTCAATCCCGAATCTCCCACCCCTCACCATCAGAAACCCCAAAGCACCCAAGAGAAAACCAATCCCTCAAGACCTGAAGAGGCAAGATCGGAAACCTTGAGCCCGATAGCAACAGAATGCAGGACGTGTTCAGGACTACACAAATTCGGATGCTTAGGCATAGGCTTTAAGCTTAGGACCCCTAAACCCTGAACCCTAAACCCTTACTGTAAACCCTAAACCCTTTAGGGAAGTGCAACCGAGTCTCGGAGAGGCAGCAATGCACTTTGCCTCTCAGCTTCACAGCCGCCTGCAGCAGTTTGGCTGTGTAGGAGCGTCTAATATAGGGGCCTTGATAATTACTACATTATTTCGGGGATTCCCTATATTCATTATAATTTACTGGGCCCCATAACCCTATATTGTAATTATTAAGGCCCCTGTATAAAGGTTGTTATAAGGGCGCGTTCAAAAAACAGCTAGGGTTTCACAAGGGCTTAGAAGGCTCTCGTAGGTTATTGTGAGGTTTACGATTTGGTGCTCTTAAGCCACTGAGACCTCATCCCATGCAAGACACACTCCAGAATCCAAGCCCTACAAACTCCAAGCAGAAGTCCTGAATCGTAAATCCTAAGCTCAGAATCCTAAACCCAAGAACCTAACCCCTGAATCCTAAACCCTAAACCATGGCCTCCCGGAAGATCTTCTCCTCCTTGCTGTCGCTGCTTGAAGTGATCAGAATCAGAGCCTGCGGGAATGTTCAGGATGGTCTGAGGTTTGGGGTCGAGGGTTTAGGATTCCTGAAACCCTGAAAACCTCACAGCAGTTGAGACTACGGCACTTCCATTTCCAGTGATTCAGTGATGACGAGTCCACACCGGTGCTTTTGAAGGTGCCTTCGATTTAACTATAGGTTTTGCGGCTAGTTGAGTTCAAGGAGTTCAAGGGTTCAGGAACTCCCCAAATTCTGAAAGCTCCTCCAACCCCAAGCATGCCACCCCCAAACCACCGGCTGTGATCCCGGCCGGAACATTCTCCGGATTCGCAGAGAAGAGCTTTTCAGCGGTCTCCTGATCCATACCTTATGATCCAGCTTGGATCGGTCCGGGTTTTGAGGGGTGTCCGAACAACTAACCGGTAATCGGCAATCCAATAACCCTATCTGGCCGTGAGGAAATCACTCACCCAACAGGATCGACGGTGCGGCCCAGCCGCGCATGACTGTCGGCGTCCGTCGCGCGCTAACCCACCTGCAAGGAGCGTTGACTGACCTTTCATCAGTTACTTTACATAGGTAGTGTCGAAATGGGTTACAGGTACCCTCATGGGGGTTGCAAACACTGAAACCCACCCACCTTAAAAATGATTTCGAGATTTCGAACATGAAACCATCACGACCACTCAGTATACACAGGGTTCTCGTCGAAGTAAACCCTGGGCCTCTAAATGCTTCGACCCTAAACTCAAAACCCAAACCCTAAACCCTCAAACCCCCGAAACCCTGAATTCCCAACCCATAAACGTTTTAAAGCTTGAGCCCCGAAACCCACACAGCCTAAAAATACTGGCTCTACATGCTAAACCCTGAAACCGCTAAACCTTAAACCCCCGAAACCAAAAACCTTTCGACAAACCTCGAAACCATGTGGAACGCCCATAGAACTTCTGTGGAACCTGAACCCCGCAACCTCGAAACACTACACCCGCCCGCCACCCTTCTTGTTGCAGGCGGGCGCAGTCAAGCGCCAAAGCGAGGGAGCCCAAGCTATATGATTTATCATCCTAAACCCCGTGAGAAGGCCTTTGAAACGACATCCCCAACGCGGGTGAAACGCAAATCTGCCTTCAAAGGACACCTTGATTTCTGCTCGATTCACCTGCTTTCAGCTACCTAGTGTTCCAAAAGCCGAGGCGGATATAAATCATTGACAAAGCCCCTCGGCGGGAAACATCCCCCAGTGCGCAACCTAAATTGCTTTCCCCAATGTGAAACCTGGAAGTATGCTGCTCTCTGGTCTCAAAAAGCATTGGAATGCACTGCGTTGGTTTCGGGTCGGCTCGGATACACTACTGCGCTAACCAGCGTGCGACCTGCCGTGCACAGCCTAAACCCTTAGCTTAAACCCTGAACCCCTAAACCGTCCTGAACCCCTAAGCCCTGCAACCCCCTATCTGGCCTATCCAAAGCATGGGCATCTGAAAGGTCGCCATCGTACACGGCGTACCGCTCGTCGTGGGGAAAGAACCTCAAGGGTTTGGGGGGTTTGATAGGTGTGGCTTTGGGCTCTTAGTACAGTGGCTCTAGGTTGGGGTTGATCAAAGTCTTCCGCGGTCTAAGGGCCGTGATCCTCTCGGCAGTTGAAGTTTTGGGTTTTAGATTCACGTCTGATTGGTACGGGTTTGGGCTTTACAGCGCTATAGCCTGTTAATAACCCTTTTCATCTCGGATCCAAGGCCTGGCTGGTATTGCAATTGGGACTTGGCGCTTAAGGCTTAAGCTTTAGGGTTTTGAGTCCAGGGTCAAGGATGAAGGGGGCTTGAAAACTTGGGCTTAAGTCTCACTGGAAGTTGGATGTTCGAAGGTTCCTGGTATAGTAGAGGCCGGAAGTTGGAACATCATTATCCTCATGCCCTTAAGGCAAAGTATTGGAGATCCCTGCACTATTCATCCTAAATCCATGTTCAACTTTCTGGCATTCACTGTATGGCGTTTAGGGTTTAAGGCCCTTCTCCAAACCCCCGCAAGCTAGATTTATCTTCCAGCCTTTTCTTCCCCAATCCCCCCTCCGAATATCTACGTCCCGAAGCCCAAACTGGAGCCACGTGCCCTAAATCCTGAGGCTCTCGCATCACCACTGAAGGAGTTGTGAACTTGGGGTGCTCCTCGCAAAGAGAAAGTCGGCATGGGAATGCTTCGCTGCTCCAACGCTGTATTCCTCTGTGTGTGGAGAACTTTGCAAGCCTCAAATGTCCCTTGCTGCCAATTGATTCAATCCAGCTAGCGCACCCCACAGTGCCTAAAGCCACAGTTTCACCAATTCAGAACTTCCGAAGTAGGCTACTCTTCGAGGATTCCTGTTGCTGTCGTGGTGCCGAAATATGTGGAAATCGACAGTCTTAGCACAAGCTGCATATCGCGGGAACGATTACCTCCGAAAGCAACCCCCTGAACCCCGAGCCTTCAAAGTCCTAGGCCTTATATCCTAAGCTTTACAGTTTTGACCCTAAATTTCTAAACTCAAACACACACACACACACACACACACCAAAAAAGAAAAAAAAATGTCAACTCCCCGTGTTTCCTCCAGTCCTTGAGCCCCAAGCACCCAGACCCCTTTCCCCAAAACCCTGCACCCCAAACCATAGGCCCCAAAGCACCCTACAGAATCCTCGTAGACCTCTCCTAGCACCCTAACCTACCCACTAGAACCCATCATCTGATGTTATGATGCGAGTAACCCGAGGATCCCTCCAAGCCTTTTCCGCTTTCTTCTCGTCATCGCAGCACTTGATCTGCACCCGCTGGCCCCATCCGGCGGCCCTGAAAGGAGTTTAGGGCTTCTAGGGGTCAAGGGCTACTGTAAGGGTCTAAGGGTATGTGTTGATAAAAGGGCTGTTTTGGTGGTAGCAGCATCGCAAGTCTCCTGAAGAGACGAGCTTCGTAGCGGCTGCCTCATAAGGGTTTACAGGTCTAGGCTTCAGAGCTTCAGAGAGCCAAGGCCTTCTTAGGCCTCGGACTTACGGCTGACATGGTAGGGGCAGGTTTAGGACGAACGTTCTCGGGCCTAGGACTTGAGACTCTGAGGGCTTTGAGTATTTGGGTACGGAGTTGGGGGTGAAAGGTGTCAGCCCTCTGGTGATAGTTAACCCTAAACTCTAAACCAAAACTCGAACCCCGAATGGGGATCATGCCTTACTGCAGTAGGTCACGGCATTGTTTACTGTGCCTAGACGGGGACTACTCAACCCCTGATTACCTAAACCATTGAAGTTAGGCTTAGACTCTTTGCTGGAAGGTTGGTGGGACTTAGAGTTTTGGGTGTTGGGGTTTCGGTTTAGCGTTAGGGATTGAAGGGTTCAAACCCTAAACCCTAAAGCCTGGAAGGTGTACGAACTCGAATGCTGCGTTGCTGAGGAGGGTGCTGGTCCGTCCGCTTCACTGTCAACTTCTGGCCTCTCGGTGAACCGCAGGGGCTTTGAAAAGGCTTCGGATTCAGTGTAGGAATTAAGGCTTATGGTTTCAAGGGCTTGGGACTGCTTAAGGTCCACTTCCGCCGGCACAGTCGGAAGCCTCTTTGGCAGGAAGGCTTAGGGTTTAGGCGTAGGGTTCAAGGGGCTTCTACAAATAACATGTGACCTCTAACATGCGACTCAACGATCAACGGCTTACTGGTTCTGCTAACGGAACGAAGAAACTAAAAACGACATGACTACCACCACGGTTATTCTTTGATCCCTAGGCACTCAGAATATGGCATGGGGGGGTACGGTGACTCCTCTACGCAGCGGAGTGAGTCATCAGTAACAGCAGTGGCAAAAGCGACAAGGCCCAAAATGATGCAAAAACCACCACATACCACCACCGAGGCATGTCGTACAGTAATGCTGCATGATAACCGGTTCCTTCGACAGGTTTAGGGCTTAGGGTTCCTTTGGGCTTGATCGGAAGTACAACTGCCACCCCCCATGCTTTGAGACGACAACCCGCTGCCACCTTCCACGCTCACGCTGAAGGTGTCCGTCCACTCGGGTCGCTGGGGATTCCTCACGGAGTGAAGGGATCGTGTGTCGAACTCGGGTTTGGGAATGGGGTTTAGGATCTGGGTTTAGGGTTAAGGCTCGGGTTGGGTTCGAGCCTAGGGTCTAGGGTCTTGAGACAAGTTTAATATCTTTGTCGAATGCCTTTTTATGCCTTTTTCCGTCTGCTAGTGAGCTAGTGTGTCCACAGTTACCATCCGGAATACGTTGAGACAAGATTTGGGTGTTAGGGCGTGGCGACTGGAGTTCGGGCTTGATTTATCCGGTGCAGGGTCTAGGGTTCAGTGTTGTTCTTGGTTTCGGCGTCCGGGCTCGAAAGACCGTGCCTAGAAGACCAGATCAAGATTGGTCTCGCGAGCCCAAGCATACCCGAATTCCCGCCGGGGAGCCTTGGGCGGCCACGGTTTAGGGTTTAGGGTTTAACCCTAGCCTACCTGAAAGCTTGAGACTCAAGCAGAAATCCAAACACCCTGCTCTAAGCGACACCAACTGCACGCTAAACCCCAAAACTCGCAAAGCGCGAGAGCACGAGACGGTCCTTGGAGCGTCTTGACAGTGAAGATCTGTTCGGGGAAGCTCGACCTGCGCAAAGATCTGGGGAGTTTACTGTTTCGGGTTAAGGGCTTGGGAGGTGCCTCCCGGGCAATCATAGAAGAAGCTACTTCTGTGGGGCATGACCCAAACGCAAATCACGATAGGAGGGTCCTCAAAACCGCCGCACCTCGTGCAACAAAAGCATCTCAGAACCGCAACGTGACTCGTAAGCCCGGATCAACACCCTCCGGACTTCAGCACACAGCATGCATCCTGTCACGCTGCCTCCTTCGTGGCGGACGCACTCTGTCCGACGGTGATCGTCTCGCACAGGAGAGCTGCGTGCCTGTTGCTTGAAGGCTCTTTTGCTTCTTTCTCTGAAGTCTTGGATACACAGTGCAGAGTGCAGAACCTCGACTTTTTTGTCATGTCGCGAAGGGGTCGAAGTCCGCCAGCCAGGTGGAAGCCTTGGCCTGCGGGACAGCAGGGTTCGCTGCGGGGGCTCCGGGCCACGGACTTGGGAAATCCTGGACCCTATCAGGCTCCAAAGAGAGCAGGTCTGGCAGGGCGGCGGCTGACGGTGCGGCAGCTGCAGCGACGGCTGTTGTGCAGGTTGTGCTCGCATAGCCACCGGCATCTTGCACGCTTCTTGGAGGCAGATCCGCCGCCTTCGCCTGGGCCTTCTGCGAGTCGTCCACTCCAACGTCGCCGTACCACCGTCGCTCCTCGTACTTCCGCCGGCTGAAGCGCTCCACCTCCCGGTCCGACGCGCTCGGGCCTGGGGGGCGGAGGTCGCAGGGAAGCCGCGCCAGGAAGCGCCGGTTGGAGCGCTCGTTGCCGATGGCGGCCAGGTGCGCCACCTCCGCCTCGCTCCAGGCGTCCAGCGTGAGAACTTTCGCTCGAGTCAGATGTGCTCCAAGCGCACGATGAATGCCGAAGCAGCGGTTGCACAGGAAGATTCCCAGTGTTACCGAAGCAAACCGGGTGTCCGTGTCACTGCAGTCGGCACATTGGCTGTTAGAGCCCTGTTGCCGCAAACGTTTCAACTCGCGTTGCTGATGCTCCTGCAGTTTGGCATCCTGCTTGTGCCCGGAAGCAACCATAGCAGCGCAAATGTGGCCGTGCTACTTCCTTCCTTACGTCTTATGCACTTGCCTTCGCATCGCCAGGCCACATTTTGAGCTTGCGTTGTCGTGCTTGCAGCCAACTGTAACAAGCATGTGTCGAAAGTGGCAAGTCGGGGGAACACCATGGCACTGCCTACTGACTGTCGGCAGTTTTCACAGATGGAAGCAGGCGCACCTGCCGAGGTGCTCGCCGATCTGAGCGGCGATGTCGTTCCCTCTAGCCTGAGAAGGCAGAGCAGAATGTGACATACTGCGTTTCCATAGAAGATGCCCACATAATGACGTGGATGGTCCTGGATGGTTAATTTAAAGGGCACTGAAGGCACACACAAAAGCCGATGCCTCTGCGAAGACGACGTCTTCGTAGTGCCGCGTGGCCTCTCAAGCGAGATGCCGACTCGTCTCGGCTTTGCCCCGGTGTCTCACGATCCCCACTGACTGCACCTTCACGAAGACACTGCTGTCATAGCCTGGCCATACTGCGGGACTTTTGTTGGGTTGAAAACGGTTCAAGGACGCTGCTCAGGGTCTGAATGAGGCGCAAGCCATCCGGAAAGAGGCCAATAACGGTCAGGTCGTTGTCGTGCAAATAAGTTTCTGCTTCCTGCCACCACAGCGTCAGCGATAGCTCCAAGCATCATACGTTCAATCGGCGCTCCCCTTCCAAGCGGCCAGGCCCTAGGAACATCTAAGAGCCTCCGAGAAGGGTTACACCGTGCTGCCTCCACAGACTTCAGCACATGGTCTCTCTCTAGATGTCGATTGACCCACTTGACGATCTGCTGCCACCTTAGCCGGCACAGCGCTGGAAGTCTGGAGTGCAAAGCTTACGTTGCGAGGCTGCCACCCGCGCCCGGCGCCGTCGTAGTCGAAGACCGCACCGTCAACAAATAGCTTCATGGTGGGATAGGAGTGGATCTCATTCTCCTCACCCACGTCCCTCGGGAAGCAGACTGCATACTAAAGGAGAGGCTGACTTCAGTCTTCTGGGGCAAGCATAGCTCCGAGATATGAAATGTCTATCCTTGTCGTGTTGTGATGGCAAAAAAAGACGTTGACTGAGGTCTGACTCCAATTCTTGGTAATGCGATTCCCAATAGGCCCCACACGCATATCTGCTCGCGTCGATCTTTGCAAGCTTGACCGGCCTCCATTCGGCGGGGACTCAAAGAAGATATGAAAACTTGATCATGACTTGATACCCTGTAGACAACACTGCAGTAATGCATACTGGGCGCTTTGTCTACACTCGATTCTATTGTCCCATCTGTTCCAAGTCTTCAGAACCGGATAAGTCGTATCCGGGGCCCTGGCGGGTCGTGGATTTCCAGCTTCTGGGCAGCTAGATCCCAGGCAGGCATGACCTGCATCGAAACCCGGCTGCGACCAGGTGTTGCAAAAGGCTTGTGAGGCAGAAGCCGTCAATCCATCGATTCGGGGGAACCTTCTTCTATCCAGCAGGCCGATTCGCAATCGGGGCTCCGTCATCAAGACTGTTCCCATGGTTGTTGCTGTAGCTGCCTTGTTATGACGAGCTTCTTTTGCTGTGATGAGTGTTTTCTGTTGCGAGGACGAGGGCGACCAAGGCGACGGCGACCACAGCGACTACTGTGACGGCCTGGAAATGTGAGGTCTACAAAATCAGGGTCGCAGGCACGGACAGGAATCCTGTGCACCTCATCGTCAATGCATAAGTCGATTCGTGATAGCAAAAACAGGAGAAGAACAGCCACCCGTAAATAGCACGAGCCGAAGCAGTACTAGCAGAATCGTCATATCATCAACAACATGAACATCACCATCACCACCTCAGGCTCTAACCCGTTAAAAGGTTCGAGATGCGGGCTCTGGGATGATTGCACCCAAACTCGTAGAAACAGATTCCACGGACGGCTTTAAGCCACCTGGCTTTTTGTGTCCATGCAGAGGTGTCATGCAACATGCCCTTCCGCTATCGGAGGGGTAGTTCGTTTGCTTGGGACTTGGTGCCCATCCATTTGCTCGCTTATCGGCTTGCAGGAATCATAACCTGAGGTCTTAGCATTTGGGGTTAAGGCCTTGAGACCTGCAACTGATAAACCCCGAACTGTACAGGAGCCAGCTTTCGGGCTCTTGCCGTCCTACCTGGTACATGGCGACGCCTCTTGGCGTCGCCCTGGGGAAGTGTGACACGATCCTCCGCCAAACGTGTCTCCGCTGACAGATACTTACTCCATCTCCTCAGCACATTACCTCTGACCAAAACCCAAAACCTAGAAATTTGCATAGTGAGGTGTTAGTGAGAGTCAAGGCTGTCTAGACGTGTGTGCACTGAGAAGGGAAAACTGGACCAAGCCAGTGGGAGCGTTCAAGACGAATGCTTACCGTGCAGTAAGTGCGAAGACTAGTACACTTACTGCTGCTCTATCAACACTAACAAAAGCACCATCAATGTAGAAATATTCATTGCTCTGGTAGAGTCAGCTCGAAGATGTAACGGAACACGCGACTAAAGAATAGAGTGCTGAAGATCGATGCTATCAACAAACGACAGCAACCGCAGCAGGAAGCAAAATCCGCATGAAGCAAAAGCATGTTTGAGTTGTCACGGGAATATTCGCGCGCACCCGTTCACGATCAGACTCGATTAGACGTCCGAACAATGGTAGCAATTGCGGAAGGTACTGAGGTTATCACGAAAACAACCCATCAGATAAATGCAAGACGTAGGAAACATGCGGAAAATCACGGCAACCACTACATACTTCGGAACACTATCGATATGGAGATGACGAAGACGAGCCCTATAGATGTGGAGATGAAGAAGACGCGCAGGAGGAGGAGGAGGAGGAGGAGGAGGAGGAGGACAAAGACGATGCCCAGAAACGAAGATACCTGTCGTGGAAACAGGCACGAGAAAAGAAGACTGTGAATCACCGCCAAAGCTCTGACATTTCTACCGGCAACACGTACACTTTTCCATCCTAAAACTACGAACTAAGAAAAGCAACAAATCATCCGGAAGAACCCATCACGATCGTAGTCACGACCACCATCATGCGAAACTACTCTCCTAGACAATCAGAGTCGACAACAGCTCTTCTGATGATTATGTGCAAAATTCCTAAACCCTGAACCCTAAACCCTAGAACTGAAGAAGGAGCGTTTCCCTACGTTGCTGCACTCACTCCATCCAGGCGAGGCAGCCCACGCGCTGCACGCGCGTCCTGATGGGCCTCGACGCGAAATGCCGCAGGGGGGCGGGGGTTGGGTGTTCAGACCCTTTTCATGATGCCGGGTGCTCCCTAGTTAGCCCCTAGAAAAACGTAACTGACGACTTTACGGCTCCAGCGCAGATTTGCTTTACAAGCATTTGCAAGGTCTACGACGAGAGAAGCTGCGCTTCCCCTGCAGACAACATGGTCTAGGACAAGGTCACGTAGCTCCAGCCTGAAGACGTTCTCGAAGCGCTTGGCGAGCTTCGCATCCTGGGGCCCAACCTCCGGGCCCGAAGGCTTCGAAGGCTCCGGATGGTTCTCCTTCTCGGATCCCACCGCGGGCTGCGCCGCGCTCCCAGTGAAGCGCGGCGGGAGCGCGGAGTTGGGGCGGCTCGGGGTCTTCGCCTTCACCGAGGCTTTGCTGGAGTTCTGAGATCCCAGGGACTGCAGCTGCCCAGAGGCAGACTTCGGCCGGGATGTTTTGGAAGATCGGGAGCGAGTGGAGGGCAGAGAAGGCACCTCCGACTCTGGGTAGGAGATGGCCGTGAGGGGCAGAGAGCCCAGATGAGACACCGAAGGGCTCTGGGGCACCTCCACCTCGGCCTAGGCTCGGAATAGACACCACCTTATGTGGTTAAGGGCTACTTTGGGTTCTCATGGTGGGTTCTAAGAGGGGTTACTACAAGGGCTACCCTGGTGATTTCCGAATCAAGCGAGAACCGGCAAAATCATACCAATGATGCACTGGGCAGCCACCCGTGCTACCTCTACCACAGGGACCGGTTCCGGCGTCTCCTTCCGCTGGGGCACAATACCCAAAGCCACTTGCCTGGGACAGGGAGGGAAGCATCTGGCTATCCCTAGGGCTCGGTAGAGTATGATACTTCCACATCGGAGCCTCTGTGTAGCCTTCGCTTCGAACATGCTAGCTCGTAACCCCGTCTGGGTCGGCTCAAAGGTGGGAGTAATGGTTCTTGTGCGCTGGGGCTTCTAACTACCGTAGCCTTAGGTTCCAAGATGCTGAGCCGTAAGATTTAAACCCTACACCGCACATCCTGCAATCCCATACAAGCCCGAAACCTCAAACTCTGAAACCTCGAACATCCCAAATAACCAAACCCTATATAAAGCCCCGAAGCCTAAAGCCGTAAAGCCTGAAGCCAACAAAATTCTAGGTCAAGGTCAAGGGCGATCTCTGGATCTGCGCCGTATCCATCACTGGCCGCTGCAACGGGGGTTTCCACAGCCGCTCATGCTCCTCACCCGCATTTCGGCCGTAGGGTTCATCAGGCCGATTAGCCCTATGGAGTTGAAAGCATCGGCCCTGAACTTTAAGCGCTTTGGGGCTTTAAGATGCTTCTTGATTCGGGCTTCGATCAGCCATGTGTCTGCAGATCAGTGTTCAGCAGAATTCTAGTGAAGCTCATATCGTCTCCAAGATTCTAAAGAACTTGCTGCAGCATCTTGGATGCCGAGGGATGAAATACAAGTACTGAAAAGCCACCCGGCACATAAAACCTATTCGGCGATTGATGTATGGTAGTGGTAGTGCGTGCAAGTCCTTTTGAAATTTGGTGGGTTGTCTATATCTGTATCTGTGTCTGTATTCAGATATATACAAGTATCTATATCTGTATCTTTCTCTATGGCACGCCAGCAACAAACATCGTCTGGGTTACGTCTGGGTTCTTGTTGAGGGGCTTAGCTTAAGTTACCATAATAGGGACCTACAGACCTACAGCAAATAATGCAGGGTGTCTTTATTATAACAACTTAAATTAAGCCCCTTCTATTGTTATACACACTTGCAAAGCCCCTTCGACATTATAATAACTTAAATTAATCCCCATATAACTAATATTGTTGTTCTTATTACTATGATTAGTAGTAGTAGTAGTAGTAGCAGCAGCAGCAGCAGCAGCAGTAGTAGTAGTAGTAGTAGCAGCAGCATTATTACTATTGTTATTCTTATAACTGAAAACCCAGTCGTCCCGTGAAGCTCCTGGCGGTCGAAGTCCAGGTGCGACCGGCCTGTGGGCCGCCGAGGGCTTTAGGCTTTTATAGGGGTCTGGAATTGGGGATGTAAGGTTTTATGGGGGTTTGCGGTTGAGGGTTGAGGGTTTAATGTAACGGGTTTATAGGGGTTTGGGGGTTGAGGAGTTTAGGGTTTGGGGTTTAGGGGGTTTGAGGGTTTAAGGTTTGGGGTTTAGTTGGTTGGGGGTTTAGGGTTTGGGGTTTAGGGGGTTTGAGGGTTGGGGGTTTCGCGGTCAAGGGTTTAGGGTCTACAACGGCTCTATGAGGGTTGAGGGCTTGGGGGTTTCGGGTTTCGGGGCTGTGGGGAACTTAGGAGCGTAAGGGTCATGAGTTCAAGAGATTGCGGGCTCTAAGGAGTTTAGGGGTTATGGGTTGGGTTGAAGGCTTGGGACTTTAAGCTTTGGCCTGCAGGGCTTTGGGTTTACTGTGAACAAGCCTCATGGCTTAGGGCCCGGACTCTGTGTTCGCTGGCCCGTCCGCAAGGATTCCAGGGATCGCACAACCTGAATGCGCGCGGGCAAGACTACTCTCATGTCTTTTGGAAACGTGATTGTGTTTTTGGCACCATCTTTTGCAAGTTTGTCTCGTAGCAGGGATCGTCATCGCTGCCATCGTCATAGAAGTTGGAGGCGGCATAAGTTTCAGTTGGTGTTTCACAGTGGGTCTCTATCCGAATCCCTAAATGCCGGCTAAGCTACAACATGCTATGAGGATTTGGGAGTTTCAGAAACCTAAACTGAAGGACCCCAAACAATCGCTATTATCAGGACCTTACGGAGTGACCGAAGTGACCCCTAAGTCTATTTTGAATCAACGCCTCCCAATACCGGGGACTGCAGATCGGTTTGTCGGAGTCCGGCGATCATCAGAATAGAGTTGGGGTGGCCTAAGGGGGGCTTCCAAATTAAGGGTCCGTTTACACGGGATCCTCACAACAAGGATCCTACTTCGTAGTACCTCGGTCTTGGAGTAGCTCAACTTCAGAAGCCCTCCGGCATTCCCTCGTTTGGCAAAGCCGCCGAAGCAAACTCCCGTTGCTGCGCTGCGTCCGACGCGTGCGCATAGCGCTGAACCCTCGGCTGCTGGCCGGCCTCGGGCTGTGCAAAAACCGGTGGGGCCTGCAGGTTATTTGGGCTTTGGGTTTAGGGTTTAGGGTCTTAGGGTTTAGGGTTTGGGATTTAGGAGGGGGTGGGAGTCTTACTAATGGGGGAGTTCGAAGGGTTTTATGCGGCTTGGGGATGTATCATAGGTCGCCTGCTTTCAGGGTTTACAGTTTAGAGTTGACAGCATGACATCAGCATCATAAACAGTCAAGAAGACCCTAAAGAACACCGAGAAGTCGGTAGGAGAAGCCTTGTAAACATGCTCCTAAACCCCAAAGCCCGAAAACCTGAACCCCTGACCCCTACCCTGGAAATCCTCTGCCTATGAAGCCCTATGAAATCCTTAATTTCGAAAACCATGTCGCGATAAGGCCCTGAGCGGCCTTTATGAACTCTCCTAGTAATTTCGAAAAGTCGGCAGCAGGAACCTTAAAGATGGTCCCGGACCCTAAGGCCCCAAACCCTCAACCCCTGAACCCCTGAACCTTAGAGCCCTATAGAGGCCATGGCTACACTGTACACCCTACAAAGCCCTGACAAGCTTCACAAACCGTACAAACCTTTCAGAAACAATTGAAACAAGAGGCCCGTTAAGACCTTATGGAAACCCTGGGAAAAAAGGAAAAAACCCTAAACCTAAACCCCTGAACCCTACACCCCAAAATTTTGAACCCCCAAACGCTAAACCCCTGAGCCCTGAAACCCAACACCCCCAAACAGTAGACCCCTCCACCCCGCATCCCGAACCCTGAAACCCTAAACCCCTAGACCTTCCCTAAAACCCCTTTACAACAACTCAAGGACAGATAATGAACCCGTAAACCTTAAGCCCCTAAACCCCTAAACCTTCCCTAAATCCCCTTTACTACCCCAAACCCCTAACCCCAAACCCCACAAAAACAAAAATAATAACAATAATAATAATAATAACAACAATAATATTAATAATAAAACTCAAGGAGTGGCCTTGAAGATGGCGGAGCACTTCCGGGTTAGGACGCTGGCATCCTCCAGGGCCGGCGCCGGGACTCCAAAGTGCTTCCTTTGCGGCTCTTTTGAGGGTTTAGGGTTTTAGGGCTCTTTTGAGGGTTTAAAGTTTTAGGGCTCTTTTGCCGGTTTAGGATTTCAGGGCTCTTTTGGGGTGTTTAGGGCTTTAGGCTTAGGGCTTGGATTTTGGAGTTTAGGGTTGTTCAATTGTTCTACCAGGGTGTAGCTTAGTGGTTTTTGGCTTTGGGGTTCTGTAAGAGATGAGATCTATAAGGGCTCCGCAAGGATGTTAAGGGTTCTGATCTGAACAACGTCTTTAAGCGGTTTTTGGGGTGCAGGGTTGGGGAATTGGAGGGGGTGGAGGGTCAAATGAGATCAGGTGTTGGGCTCCAACTTCAGCTGGAATCGTACGAAAACATCGAAAAGCTGTTCCAGAACATCCCAGCTTCTGGTAGCTGGTGGTTGGATCCAGCCTGTCAGGGACACAGGCAGACCGTGCGCGCAAGAAAGGGCCTGGAAAGAAGGTTACTACTTGTCATGTTACTACGTTATAGCGTTGGCTTTAAAGGCCCAGCATAAGATGACTGGATCATTGACAGATGGTCAAAACGAAACTAGGCGACGATCAGCAGCGTAATGCCGGCAAGCGACAATAGTCGCAACAAAAATGCTGACAAGCCTAACGAACATAAGACGCACAAGCAGAGGAAGACATCCTAAATAATCTAAACCCCGGAACCCTAAAACGCAAGCCGAAAGACATTTAATCCCAACACGCTTGAGCCCTAAATCCAGCACAGGCACCGCCAGTTCTCCTGGTCCAAGCTGTTTTTCACCCCAGCTCCCGAATAGAAGTCTGGCCGGCGCTTCAAAGGTCGGTTGGCCGCAATCCCGCGCTTGTGCTGTCGGAAGACCGCCTGGTTCGTGGTGCCCGGGAAACCTCAGCTCGAGGCTGCTGCTTTCGGGTTCTCTATTCGGTTCTTATCATGACTTTGTAAAGCTACTACGCGGGCGTTGTAGAGTATGGGTTTAAGGGTTTGCGGGCTCACGGGGTGCTCACAAGGGCTTTATGAAGGGCCTGAGTTTGAAGCCTCTGGGTAAAGCAAGTCAACCCTAAACCTTGAACCCCCAGCCCGACGCCCAGTACTGAGCTGAATCTGAAATCCCATGCCCGAAACCCCCAAACCCCCCAGTTCCTAAGCCAAGGCCCAAGACACCACGCTACAGCCGAGCTGCTGCAGACCGAAGAGGACAGGTCCGTCTCCTGGGCTCTTCAAATCTGAAGGGGTTGATATTGTCCTTGCCCTTGTTGTATAAGAAAGCAAGGTTAATATTGCTATAGATACCATTCAAACCTACAGCGGAACCTACTGCACACTTCTGAAACTCCAACAGAACCAGAAAACTCAGCTGCTTAACACGCATCCCATCACAAGACAAGCACGAAACGCCTCAAACAACACCCGGGCGAACCTCAGACCCGAACGTGAAACCCAGACAACTCTCCCTAGACGCTGCACCCTAAACCCCTGACAAGTCTCCGAAAGAGAAGGGGTCGCCGAGCTGGATTTCCGGGAGCCGATGGACGTAGACTCGGAGCTTCTGCCCTCGAGCCACTCCTTGTGCTTCTCTTCAAGGGCTATCTTCACAGGCCCTATGATGTTTAAGGCTTAAGATGCTTTTCGAAGTCGTTTTTTCATGGTTTAGGTTTAGGTGTTAGGGTTTAGGTTTTTGAAAGCCAGGGCCTCTGTAGAAGCTGTGTAAGGGGCTCTGGTTTCGGGCTCTTTTTTGCCGCCGCTCTACATGGCTCTTGTTTGAAGCCGTTGTTCGAGCTTTGAGGGTTTGAAAAGGATTGGAAATCTAGAGTTGAAGGCTTGGGAAGGCGTGGTGCGCTTTTTGGAGGGCCCTTGACGGGTTCTATCAGCGTCTCACAACGGTTAGAAAAGTGGTTCTACAGGCTTCGGGGTTCAGGCGGTTCAGGCTTTGTGGGCGATTTGGGCTTCGGGACTTCGGGGATTTAGGGCTCCTGGGCTGCCCGGAAGCTGTTTAAGGCTTTGGGGTTGGGGTTCTTGAGTCTGAAGATCGGAGGTTAAGGTTTTGAGGTTCAAGAGTCTTGAAGTTTGGGGCATCCCTACCATATGAATCCTGCACCCTCAAACCATGAACAAAAAAACATAATACAACCCGGACACTGAACCCTAAGCCCCAATCCGTAAAGCCTACGACCTAAACCCTAAACCCTAAACCCGAATCAGGGCACGGCTTTAGCACTGGGCATGGCTGGCCCTTTCCTGAATGGGACGAGAGGCAGCGAAGGAGTTGCGTGTGGCGCAGTTGTCTTGCAGCCTGGCAAGCACTAAACGGCTTCGGTTTAGGTTTTAGGGGTTAGTGGTTAGGGCTTAAGGTTTAAACTTTTGGTTTGGGGTCTGCGGTTTCAGGTTGCGGGTTTGTGGTACCCCACCCTCCCTTCTCGATTCCCGGTTCAACACCATGCACTCCAACGAGCTTGTGTCGAGAGCGGGGCTCTACCCGAAACTCCTCAGCTGCGCAGTACTCCGAAGCCCCAACACGAGCGCACAACTACGGCAAACAGCCTTGAGCACTTTGCTGATGCGTCTGCAGCTGAAGCTGACACGCCAACCACCTTGAGGGACTGCAGTTCAGAGTCTGGGTGGCTCATCATTCGATGCAGGCTGTTGGCCCCGGAGTTCATTACCACAGGGTCTTGGGGCCCAGAGAATCATGAATGCATGACGAAGAGATCTGCGGATTCAGTCCTTAGCACGGAGGTCGAGATGCTTACCGAGGGGTCGTCGTAAACGCTTTGCGGGTTCTGCACCCAAAGTTGGGCACAACAAGAGACCCAAACCCTAAACCCCAAAACCCCAACACCCGAGACCCCAAAACCCTAAACCCCAAAACCCCAAAAACCAAAAAAAAAAAAAACAAATCCTGAATCAAGAAAAACCACGACAGCCGCCTCGAGAGCTTCTGCCTCCTTCAAGGAGCTCAAGGTGCGCAGGAAGCGCCTTCTTTTTTCCGAAACAGCTGGGGGCAAGACGAGTCGGGAGTCTCGGGGCTTGGGGTTTGGGGCTTAGGGTTTGGGGTTTTGGGGTTTCGGGGTTTAGGGATTTAGGGGTTTAGGGGTTTAGGGGTTTAGGGGTTTAGGGTTTAGGGCTTGGGGTTTAGAGCTTGGGGTTTGGGTTTTTTGCGGGTTCAGGGCTTCGGTTGCGGCTTTGGGGATTAGGGTTTAGGGGGTTTCAGTGTGATTCAAGGCTTTCGGGGTTCAGGGTCTCGGTTTTCGAGCTTGGGGTTCATATCGAAGAGCAAAGCTTGGGAAAATGCTGGCTTTGAAAACCCCTGAAACCCTGAAACCTCATAGTGCATAGGTTCTTTAAAAACCTAAACCCCTGAAACCCTGAAACCTCAAACCCGTGGAGAGCCTGGGATAGTCTTGTGACTGGTTCATGTCACTGGGTTTGAGTTTCTGCTGTCTCGGTTGCTGTTGGATGTGGCCTTTGCTTGGAGCAGGATTAAACAGCATCCGGAACGCTGGCACCTACACTGTGCGGTGAAATGACAGCAAAAGACCATTTCGGGCACACTGCAAATGTGAATGCTGCGACGCGTCTGCATGATTCTCACAACTTCTCCCCGATATCCAAGAATGAAACACTTCCATCAACCACTCAAGCAACGAGACAACGGCAATCCGGCTGTTTTGCATGCCTTCCTGGCGGTCAGATTCCAACGGGGAACAATCCTACTGCAATAATCCGATATGACGCTTGTCATCATGTCGGCACCAGGCATGACATATCCACTCTCAGTCCACAGAAGGGACGAGCCTCGTTCAGAATAATGCAAGCGCTTGCTTCACGATCGAGTCCACTTGAAAGCCGCAGAATGCACCAACCATGCCGCCACTCACGGCTCCCCGAGTTGCGGCTTCCTCTGGCGTGTTTGCCGCCCGACCTTCCCTTGCACCTGCCGAGGCACCGGCAGCACCACCAATTGCAGCTCCCACGAGTGCGCCAAGACGTCCAGCAATGGCTCCAGCTACCAGGCCACCCATAGCCGCGCCTGAAAACCCTCCGCTCCACATGCCAGCTCCATCGTGCTTGCCTGCTGATGCACCTACCACGCGGCCTTTTTGCACCATGGGACAAGGGAGTGGCAAGAGCTGGCAGCCAAAGTCACGGATGCCGTGGTGCAAGGTGGCCGTGCAGGCTGCTTGAGGCGAAAGTGGCTAAAATCAGATTTTGACATGTTCGCATGCCCGCGACTGTAAATCTCAGAACAGTCGGATGGGAGTCACCAATCTTCATGATATCAATGGCACGTTGACGCACAGACAGGGACTCAGGGCTTTAGGGTGTAGGGTTTCAGGGCCTAGGCTTTCAGCCCTTAACACCCTAAACTCTGGCCCTGATAGGAGAATACCAGCAGTGGCACAAGCCCAAAATCCAAAAGCCGACTTGAGCCTCTGTTCATGCTTCGGCCGCGAAGTATGCCAGGCACTCACCTGCCAGGAATCAGAGACTGTTCTAAGAACCTACAATGCCAGAGGAGGCATCCAGGCGATCCAATCGCACAAAGCTACGCATTCCACGTCAAAGCGGCACAACAGTCCGTCTCGCCGAAAAGACAAGCAAGAAAGGAAGGCTACAACTCCAAGCCCCTTTTGGCCGGTTGGAAACCATGAATAGTCTCTCGAAGCCTACAAACCATCTAACCCTGAACCACAAGCCCCCCGAAAGCTGAAACGTTCTCACCCCCACCCCAACCGTAAACAAAACAAATTACTAATCGTAATATTACTCGTATTGCTAGTACTAGTAGCAGTAGTAGTAGTCGTCGTCATCGTCGCATTGAAAAGGGACCTGGGGAAGGTCAGCCCTCAGCAGCTCTGATACGAAGCACTCGCGCGCCGAGGCATCGCGGAGGTCGGAACAGGAGACCATGAGCGGCGACGGCTTAGGATTTAAGGGTTTACGGGTTTCGGGTTTAGGGTTGATATTCAGAGTTTAGGGTTTAGGGTTGATATTCGGACTGTACTGTTCGGGGTCAGCAAAAACTCCATGACGTTTGGGTTTGCGGAAGGTGATTTCCAGTTGATTTGGGGTTCCGGCAGGGGACTACATTCTCTTTGGGATGTATCGGGGTCTCGTTTGGAGATAGCGTAGGCGCCCCGGCTCCTCTCATCCCGTCTGAGCCAACCTCAATGTCAGATTAATGGAATATCGAAGAAGTTCTCTGCCCGTGCTTCGGGACAGGGTGGACACTCAAGCGCCCGTCTGCTTTGGTGGCATGTGTGCCGACAGGTCTGAGTACTTGAACGGGCATAAGTATCCACGGACGCAGGTATGCCTGCATGCCTGCAGGCATGCGTGTGCATCTCTGCATGTATGTGTTCGTGTGCTTCTGGGGGTTCGGATTGCCAGCGGGCCTGCTGCGAGTAGAAGCACCACGGGGCGTAGAACAAAATCGCAGTCACCGAGTTATCCTTCACAGCAACCCGGCTCCCGATCTGACGCGAAAATACATCCACGAAAGCTGTCCGAGTCCTTCATGTACTGCCTGAAATTTTGGCCCGTCAACTCATCGACAGCCTGCGACGAAGGAGGACAGAGATTCAGAGCTGAGGGTCGGACGAGAAGAAAACCCTTCCTCAACATGAAGCAACTTCTGTCTCGCATATGCCCGCCAGTGTCGCTTCTAGAAACGATCTCGGGTTCAGTGAACCCTTAAACGCTTAACTCCGAAGCCCTAAAGCTTAAACCCTTAATCTTCAACCTAACGTCGTCCTAGGCATGTACATAATCCTTGACCGTAGACCTTGAACCCCACACACCCTCAACGTCACGTCAATGCTGGGACACGGACATGTTGCTGTGCCCTCGGCAAACGCGGCAAATGGAACGAAATCTTTACGGTCGAGGTGGGTTTGGGTTCTCGGTCTTGTGGTTGAGGGTTCAGCCTTGCTTACGTAGTTAACGTTTAGCTCTGGTCGGCTCTTCGTGCGCCGGCAAGCTGCACACTTGGCGAGTGGCCGGATCCCAACCGTACGAAGAGAACAGTTACGATAACTACTATAACAGTACCCGGCGCATGGCTTCTGGAACTCATTGTACCCGGCGCATGGCTTCTGGAACTCATTGTCGGACGCATACATGTGTGTGCCGTCGTTACTGCACATGCATGCTGTGTATGGGCATATTCGGATTTCGAGGTGATCAGCCATGAACCAGACGCCCGAAGCACGCTCATGATGCACTACGGGCACCGGTGCATTCACTGGGCTCCTGCATCAGCTTGCTCTTCGAAACCCAAAGCGCCCCTCAGAGCCTGCCATCCATGGGTATGGGTCTTCGGCTGTCTGAGGAGGAGGCTGGCCGCTGCTGCCAAGCAAGCCACCAAGATCGAAGCCCCAAACCTCAGGGACTTGGACTTGGGACGTAGGGCTGAGGCTTCAAGTCCAGAGAACATGGCCCGGGGTTCAGGGTTGGTGGTGGTGCCAGCCGCAGTCCTCGTCCTCGTGCTTACACTGAGCTAGCAGGGGTTAGGGCTTCAAGGTTTCCGGATGCTGAGTTTGGGGACGTGCATCTCGAAGCTGGCAGTGCAACACATGATCGTGGGTGAAATAAAAAGGCATCCATTCGTGTCTATGCTCATTCCTTGTACCTTTTGAACATAAACATACACACAGATACATCTTGATCATACACATGTACACGATGAAGATATGTACGCGTATATGAACACCATACGGAAACATACTTATAGTTATATATACATACATGTATATATATATATATATATATATAAATACACACAGAGTGTGTGTCGCTCTCTCTCTCTCTCTCTCTCTCTCTCTCTCTCTCTCTCTCTCTCTCTCTCTCTCTCTCATGTATCGATCTACGCAGTTCCTCGGCTCCCCGACGGGCCAAAGAAGCGTGCTCCAAAGCAAGCGCCAGGCCATGATGACAAGCTGGAAACGTGTGGACTTCTCAGGAAAGCCTTCGCCCTTGAGCTGAGGTACAGTAGATGGTGCTGTGGGTGTGTTTAGTACGCGCACCTTCTGCATGACTGGACACTGGCTTACAGAGCAAACTCAAGGTTGCAGAAGAATCTGGCGCAGGTTCTGCTATCATGTCTTCCTAGCAGGGTGATTTCTCAAGCTTTCTCAAAAATCCCTATTTGTTGACTCTCTGAGCAGTCATCGGCAACGTAGCATGCAAGCTGAAACTTTATGAGCCCTTCCCATCAGCACAACCATACTCGAAGCAACAGGCAGAGAACGAAAAGCCCTGCCAAACGACCAGACCATGCGGGCAGGGCAGCCACAAAGCTTCGCAGGCCGAGCAAAGGGCGGCTCTGATGATTCCTACAAGTTGTCGGCGTGGGGTTGCAACTCTGGCATGCACGGCTTAGCATTTCGGAAGTTGGGCTTGCCGGAGTTGCTATGGGTACATATTGCACGGCCCAGGATGGCCACAGCATCCGTATTCAGGGCCAAAGGACCACACGAACAGAATGATCTCGCCATGAAGGCTTTCTAAAACTCTTCTTATGGAAACAGGGTCCTAGAACCCTGTAGTTAGCTCGCGTCTTGGCGTCTCGAAGGAAGAGGCTGCGCAGTTGCCAACCAAATTCCTGGACTTTTTCTCGCCTGGACATGCAGTCGTGGCTTCCCCTTGGGCTCCCTAAACCCTAAACCGCAAGCTCCAGAACCCTCAACCCGAAAAGCTTCACGCAATGACTTTGCATTGCAGCTTAGATCCAGAGCCGCTGCACGGCCGGCAGGTGCCCTGCCTCGACACAGCCGACTCGTTGCACATGTGTAACTAGAACATGTTTATAACTGAATTAAGAATGTGTACATAGCATATTGTATGTATGCATGCATGTGCATAATACATGTGTATATATAGAAAAATCGAGAGAGAGAGAGAGAGAGAGAGTTGAGCTAAACTCTAAATACGATGTTAACTTGTACTGTAGTATGTCATCTCTTGGCTGGTATAACTTGTATATACAGAGAAATAGAAGTCAAGAAAACACGCCCCGGTCTTCACTCGACAGGGCCCTGCCTGAAGCATGCTGTCCACAGCATCGCGGATCTCTCCATGGATCACCTGCACCGGAAACCCTCCACCTTAACCCTCAAACCCAAAGATGCCGCCCTGAACACCAGACCGCGAGCCCTACAGGGGCCTCGACGTCTCGCGCCCCATCAACATCTCGCCAGTTGACATTGCTGCGGAGACGCTGATCCCGGAATTGGGCGCGGACGTTGGCCTCGTGCAAGACTGGAGAACACGACAGACTCTCCGCTTGGCCCACCGGCCCTGGACCACCCGGACGCCTGCATCTGCGCGTTCTCGTAGCGCTCGTCCCCGAAGTTGGAGCGGGAGGCGCCCACCTGTGCGGAGCGCCGAGACGGGAGCGGCGCTTTTCGGGGTCCGCGCTTGCTGCAAAGTCTGGGGGGGGGCCTTCTCGTCGATGTGCAGGAAGAAGATGCCATCCGGGCACGGCAGCCCGCGATCCGGGGACTGGCACAATGTGAAGTCCAGCCCTGTCACGGCCAGAGCAGCAAAAAGCATAATATATCAGCTCTCTGCTCTGCGCATCGACCGCCGCAACTTCCACCCAGGCCTTTGGCGGCGGAGTACGCCACACCGGAGAAGGCGTAGCGGTCGCACACGATCGTCGTTCCCGAACGAAGGTCCTGGCAGCAGAAGTTCTGACCGCAGAAGACTCTAGACAGATCGGCTCTTTCTTCCATTGAGGATAACTGCCCGCCTCAACGATGGCCTGGGCCATCTCCCAGCGATTGGCCTGGCATCCGGAAGGCCCAAACTGCAGGCAGCAAGGTCGACAGGCAAACTGCTGCCGGCGCGACGCTGAAGAGGCGGTGCACGGCCTCATCCGACAGCTCCAGCTGCCTGCCGAATCTCAGGACGCGAACGTCTGCGCCTTTCGGGGTACGAGCCGCCTCTCGCGGGTGGGTGGGGGGGAGGGAGGGCCTCCGAAGGTAGAGGTCGATGGCGTTGCCGATGGGCGTCTTGCGGTTCGGGAAGCACATCCACTTCACCGGGCCCGCCTGGCTTCGCAACATCTCGCCAAAATGCGCCACGTGTTTCGGCCAGTGTCGAGAGAAGCACAGAGACACACTAAGCGCCTTCTCCAGGTAGGAGGCGATCTTCTTGCTCTGCGTGGACTTGCCGCTCCGGTCCAGGCCTGGCTGGGGCGAGACCCCAGAGGGCAGAAGGGATCCTTACCCTAGGCCCTAAGCCCTAAACCCGTAAACACTAAACCCTAAATCACCACAGCAGATGTCGGCTGCCTTCGAAGACCAGAAAAAGGCCGCGGAACTTCCCGGCGCCCCACGCCGGGCGGTCCTCGCAAACCATGTAGCAAAAGCAAAACCATAAGCCCCAAAATATCCTAAAGCCAAAAGTTGGAATCCGCAACCACCTGAGCACTAAGGCCTATACTGCTCCTAACCCCCTACAACCTGCAACTCTAAACGGCCATGCCTCACATACCCGAAAAAACGGCAATGTACGACGGTGCAGGATGTAAGCCTGACCAGGTAACAGGACCCTAATAACTACTATCGCTAGAACCAGCTAACTTCAAGGTAATCGAGTCGGCCTGGAGGCCCGCATCCAGCATTCCCAGCGCCTTCCTTGCAGACTGGGACTCCTCCTGATAGGCTCAGGGTTTTGGGATTTAGTGTTTCGGGTCAGGGTTTTGGGGTTTAGGGTTTAGGGTTTAGAGTTTACGGTTTGGGATTAGGCTTTAGGGTGGTTTGGTGCTTGCGGTTTAGGGGGTCTCTGCATAAGGATTGGATGTCAAAAATGTTGGGGTGATGCTAAATTCCTAGAACCTCAAACATGCACCCGCCCTTCTTCCGAGCTCTGACCAGACTCCCAGACAAAATCTGATTTTCATGATGCATTAGCCAATATATGTTGTACATAATGTCTTATATCTTTTGAGTCTTCTGTATCATATGTCATAGAGTAAATACTACATGGATTTGTGCCTCTAGGCTCAAGCCCAAAATCATCGGTGGAGCCCTGGAAATCAACTCCGGAACCCAACTGCTTTCCTAACTGCTTTTTTTTGGGGGGGGCGGGGGGGCAGAACCCTAAATCCTAAACCGTATGAAGCTCCCCGATTGCAAGCCGGGAGCACCTGGCTCAAGGACGAGGCCTTGCTTTGTCGGAAGGCTGCCTCAACCTCGGCTGGGATGCCACTGAAACGGCAAAGTTCGCGCAAACAAGCTGTATGAGAGGGATAAGTACTTAATGTAAGGGTTTAGGGGTTTAGGGGCTTAGAGCTGAGGGATATTGAGTCTTCTTCAATCTGCTGTGGTGGTAGGTGGGGCGTCACTGCGGCGGTATAGTCGCACTTGTGCACCGCTCCGGTGGTACGGAGGTCCTGTGGCAGTAGCTGCCGCCGTCGTCATCACATGTTGTGTTGGCAGTCTTGGCTTCAAGACCGATGCCCTCTTCACTTACCCCCCATGACATGATCTAACCTGGATCACACCATATGCGAAACCAAACGGTGGAGAAACGCCAGCACCAATACGGGTGCCAAAGCGCGGAAACCGAAGCGACAACCACATCCACAACCCACAGCTCTGTCGCGGCGAACCAACTCATGGATTCCACACCGACAGCACCGCCCGCTGGCAATCCGCGAGATGTATGCAAGCACTGCTACTCATATCGCTTGCTCACAATCCATGTTACATGAGTCCTACCAAAAAATCGTCAAGCCGGATAACCGACATGTGTGGGCATCTTCTCACTCCTCGGACCGGTATCTGAGAGGCGCACCTGCTGCAACCTTGGCGGAAGGGAGCGTCGTTTCGCGTGGTTCCAGTTCACACCATGAAGGGCCCAAGACAACACTGGTGTCAGCTGATTTGCGCCGGGTACGACCACCAGAGCTCCATACCCCTTAAGAAATAAAACTTGAGACGCAACGGCATTCAACATCGTGGCAAGAAGGAAACAACAACAGCACGAAAAACAACCATGATCAGAATAAGGAGAACATGAACAGTAACAGCCAAGCTGAAGAAGGCTCAAGTTCACGTGCCCGTGCTGACTTATGCTAAAATCCTTTAGCATTGCATATTTGCACATGGTCGGCATAACTACAATTGCACAACACTACTGAGCCCTAGAAGATGGCTCAGGACATATTGCTACATAAAGGGTAATGGGCTCTCTCTGGCATCACTTGCCCGAACTCCTAAACCCTAAACCCCAAGCCCTAAACCCTGAACCCTAAACCTTAAACCCTATCTCCTAAGCCCTTACACCCCCCCCCCTTACCATACTGAACCTAAAACCCCCCAAGGGCGCCGCAGAACTCCCGGGCCCCAGCTGGGCGCTGAGGCTGCCGCCACCTTCCGGAAAACACGGGGCTGAGGTGGGTGGGGGGGTTTTAGATGTTCGGGGGGGTTTAGGGGGTTGGGGTTTCGGAGGTTTTAGATGTTGCGGGGGCTCAGGGGCTAGGGGGTAGAAGGTTTGAGGGTTTGAGGGTTGAGGGTTTAGGTTCTGTGTATTGGTGAGCGTGTCGGGTTTCAAGTTTGAGTTTTAAGACCAAGGCATCGTGCTTCGAACGTCAGGCGAAAAGTAGTGGCTGAGGTCTTGGTACATGAAGGGGCTGCTTATCACCGCGGACACCTTTTCCGAATGACTGTCCCCCATTTTTCCGAAACTCCCACTTTCTTCAAAGTGCCAAAAGCTCGGGAGCGCCTGCGGACACACCGTGTGGAGGCAGCCGAGCAGGGCCGTGGAAAGAGACTTCCCCATTTTGGAAGAAAGGCCTACTTGTCGGGTATCATGGGGAACTAAAGGTTATCCTTTTGGGGTATATAGGGATTATATAGGGACTATACTACTATACTACCCATAAAGGTTAAAGGTTACCTACGCTACTACCAGGAGGGAGTGGGAATTAGACTCAGGCTTCGGGCTACGTTATACGACAAGACCACAGCTCTACAGGGGCTCCAAGTGGACTTTGATAAGGGGTACAGAGACCTCATGGCTTTCTGCTTCTTGAGATCTATCCTGCTTCAAGACTTCGCCCAATCGGAAGAATCAGCCTCGTCGAGGCCCAAGAGCTACTATAGCGATGGTTCAGGGCGTCGGGAAGCTATGTCAGGTCCCATCCATATCTGCGTCTTGAGCCCGGCAGGAGTTGGAGACTTCGGGTTCGCAGAGCATGAAGGCAAGGTGCCTGGGGAGGCCTGAAGTGGATGAAGAATCTGAAGCTGCAGACTCGCGGCTGCTGGCGCAGAGTCCGTGCTCGGGCCCTTTGAGGTTAGACCCTAAAGAACAGAACATGAGCGCCCCCAAACAACATACCTCTACATAATCTGTCCTCGAGCTCGCAGGCCTCTTTTTCCCCCGGACGCTTGCAGTCTTGAGGCCCCTTCAAAAGAGGCCTCCACCCCTTTTCACAGGTCACCCAGCGAATAGAAGGGCACGAAAACTTCATGTGGGTTCCTACGCGATGCTGGACATTGAGGGTTTAGTACTTGGGTTGGGACGGTAAGAGTTTCGGAGGTTCGCTCTGCTGGTCGTAAGCTCTTCGGGCCCTCTATTCTCCACAGACAGGGGATCCTGGATCCTATCTTTGGACTCAGCGATCTCCCTGTCCTAAAGTGAATTAGCTTTCTGAACAAGAATCATTGGAGTTGGGATCTAAGGAATGCCGGCTTCCAGACAGCTTCTAGATCGTTTCGCCTCTTCCTTTCCGCTGGAAGCTTCGGCACCCAGGAAAGGCTAAAGTAGTCGACGGGCTCAGCTCACCCAAAGGCGCTTGATCGGGCGCTGGCGGTTCTCCTCAAAAGCAACACGGAACATGCATTCTTGCCGGTATCTTTGCTGTTTGGGGGAGATGCAAGACGAGGGCTGCAAGGGTGGAACTCCATGCGCCATTCAACGCGGTTCCGTCCGTCCTGATCCTCCAGTCTGATGGATTCGACTGCATTCCGGATTTCCGCGTGGATCTCCTGCCACCGGCTCGAATGGCGAGTCTCACGCTCTTCCACCTGCAACTCTAAATGGTTTGGAAGCCGGGCCTCAATGTCCCGCGCTCCATCGACATCACGCCAATTGACGCTGTCGCGGAGTCTCCGGTCTTTGAACTGCGTGCGTACTCTTGCCTGCAGACTCTGCAAAGCCGAGAGAAGATGGAGACTCTCCGCTTTGCCCACCGGCCCTGGACCACCCCGGACGCCTGCATCTGCGCGTTCTCGTAGCGCTCGTCCCCGAAGTTGGAGCGGGAGGCGCCCACCTGTGCGAAGCGCCGAGACGGGAGCGGCGCTCTTCGGGGTCCGCGCTTTCTGCAAAGTCGTGGCGCCTTCTCGTCGATGTGCAGGAAGAAGATGCCATCCGGGCACGGCAGCCCGCGATCCGGGGACTGGCACCACGTGAAGTCCAGCCCTGTCACGGCCAGAGCAGCAAAAAGCATAATATATCAGCTCTCTGCTCTGCGCATCGACCCAGGCCTTTGGCGGCGGAGTACGCCACACCGGAGAAGGCGTAGCGGTCGCACACGATCGTCGTTCCCGAACGAAGGTCCTGGCCGCCGAAGTTCTGTCTAGACAGATCGGCTCTTTCTTCCATCGAGGATAACTGCCCGCCTCAACGATGGCCTGGGCCATCTCCCATCGATTGGCCTGGCACTCCGGAAGGCCCAACTGCAGGGCAGCAGGGTCGACAGGCAATCTGCTGCCGGCGCGACGCTGAAGAGGCGGTGCACGGCCTCATCCGACAGCTCCAGCTGCCTGCCGAATTTCAGGACGCGAACGTCTGCGCCTTTCGGGGTACGAGCCGCCTCTCGCGGGTGGGGGGCGGGGGGGCCTCCGAAGGTAGAGGTCGATGGCGTTGCCGATGGGCGTCTTGCGGTTCGGGAAGCACATCCACTTCACCGGGCCCGCCTGGCTTCGCAACATCTCGCCAAAATGCGCCACGTGTTTCGGCCAGTGTCCAGAGAAGCACAGAGACACACCAAGCGCCTTCTCCAGGTAGGAGGCGATCTTCTTGCTCTGCGTGGACTTGCCGCTCCGGTCCAGGCCTGGCTTTCGGGATCCGCGCGCTCTCAAACCCGGCCGAGCACTCGGCCCGACATCCCGGGCTCTGCCATCGGTGCCTTCGAAAACCAGGAAGAGGCCACGGGAAGCCCCGGCGGCCCACACGGGGCGTTCCTGACGACGCCAAAACAAGAACTCAAAATGGTGCAGAATGGTACAGAGCCTGTGTGGGGATGTCCAGGGCCCGCAGAGCGATCTCAATGTTCGTGATCTCCGCCTGGCACTCCGGAGTGCAGAGCACATGCTTTTCCATCTTGCTGACTAATGACTAAGCCTAAGCTCGCCAGAGGTGCCGGATCTAGGCTGCCTTGTCTGCTGCTGCGAAGCGCAGCAGCCACCTGGTGGAACGCCGAGTTCCAAGACAACTTTGCTAGCAAAGGGAATCTGAGACCCTTGCAGATTGAACCAAGTTCGCATTGCTGCTGCAAACAGTCTTCGTAAGACCTCTGCAACACCATCTGCTGCATGCACAAAGAACTTGCAACACACACCGCCGCATGCACAAAAAAGCAGCCATTTCCCACTCCAATGTCGCCTAACTCCACGACATGAAACCAACCTTCCAGGCACCAGGCAAAAACTCCTACGTATACTTCGTGGAGAGGAGCTGAAAAGAGAACTTAAGGGATCCCTTCCTCGCGGCCCCCGCCGAGCTCTGAGGCTGGGACAGGTTTTCTGGAACTCCGCCAGGATCGTCTCCTACCGGATGAAAGCTTTGGCTGGTGGCAACAGAAGTGCATCCGTTCTGGGTCTGGGCAATATACTGTCGACGCTTTGCAGAAGTCACCACCGTTTTACCTGTCTCATATGCAGCAACAACAACATCATCATCACTGCCACCATCATCATCAGCAGCATCAGCAAGAGCAGCAGCACATCGGCATCTGCATCAGCGTCAGCGTCAGTGTCAGCAGCAGCAGCAGTAGCAGCAGTAGCAGCAGTAGCAGCAGTAGCGGCAGCAGCAGCAGCAGCAACACACGCAGCCATCACCATCGCCACCACTACCCCCCTTCCCACCCCCCATCGCCGCTGCACCACGGTTGCCACCAATATCACGATAACCTTCATCAGCATCAACTCTCAAGCTCACGAGGTGGAAGTGCTGTTGAGTCCAGGGAAGGTTTCTCTTCTTCAAGTGGCGCACGGCCCGGGCCCAGGAAGCCCTCGGCGGCACCTGTTTATCACCAAGATGATTTGTCAGCGCCTTCAGGGAAGTAACCCTGTGGCCCCGACCCGTTTCCCATTGTCACCACCACCACCGCTTGAGGCCGAGGCCTTTTCCCACTTCCTCAAATCAACAAAGCTGCGTGCTGCACGAAATCCCTCGTCAACTCTGTTTTCACCATCACGAGCGGAGGTTTTTTCTTTACCACAGTGGAGGCCACCCCTGCCTCGCTCGGAACTGGAGTTGTCTCTGAAACGTCAGCCATCGGCCTGTCGATGCACTGGGTCTGGGGCCTGGGACCCCAAGGACACTTCGAGGTCTATGGTTGGTTTTGGCTTTCTGAAAGGTTCCATTTTCGGGTCCCACGATTTGGGTTTGGGGCTAACCCCAAAACAACACAAAACCCTATGAACCCCACTTGCAAAACACACCCGATACCCGCACGGCAAAGCCTCTTTGGAATCTCCTCGCCGAGGACACCGGCCTCGCAGGTAGAGTCTAAGGTTTGAGACTCCGGAGTTTGTGGATTTTCGGTCTTTTTGCCCTCTTGAAACATCCGCAACCCAGCATCATCGGCATCATTGGCTCCCCGCTTCTCCTTTGAATGCCTCTGCTTTGTTCAATAAACCCCTCAAACGAGTGTGCGGGGGCGACTCTCGGCACACTCTTTGGTAGGCAACTCCGCTGGCTCTCAAATCCCGGCTAGCTTTCGTGATGCAGCCAGGACCAGCAACAAACTTGGCAAAGGGCCTCCGCCCCTTCAACGAAGCGCTGTACCGTTGCTCGCTGCTCCTCGAGAGCTGTTGCCTGGCCGACCCCAGAGGATCAAAAAGAGAAAGGACAAGATTAATCACAGCACGCAGACTGATCATTTTTGCATCGAATTTACATTGAAAGGGTCCTGATCCTGAGGGAATATCCCCAACACGATGCATCTTATAGTGCAACGGAACGGGTCTCCTCGTAGACTACAGTGCAATCTAGTGAATCGTAACAGACCTTACGATACCGTAGCATGTGATACTCCCAAAGCAACAAACCACGAAACTTCAGCACGAACCCCCTTGCCCCTTCGGAAGTCGGAGTCCCGAAACCCCTAAACCGGAAACCCACGCCTATATCCGAAAACACTACTCACATCACACGACCCTACAAGCGAAAGGGCCCAAACCCTAAACCCCAAAACCCTGACCCCAAACCAAAATCCTAAAAGCCCTAAAACAGCCCTAAGCTCCAAAACCCAAACCCTCCCTTGACCTGAAAGGTTAAACCCCAAAACACGAAAGCCCAAGACCCTCAACCCCTTGACCTCTCGACGTCTAAGACCTCTAAACCTGGCCGTCGTTCCCCAAACTCTCACCTCCCTAAGCCCCACACCCTGAACCTAAGCCTAAACCTGACCTCACCCCCCCCCAAACTCCAACCTCCCTGAAGCCTTAGCTTAGCTCTGAAAAACCTTACCCTAAACCCTAAACCTGAACCCTAAACCCTGAACCCTGAACCCTAAACCCTGAACCCTAAACCCAGAAGCCTAAACCCTAAACCCAGAAGCCTAAACCCTAAATCCCAAGCAACATAACGGGCCCAGGTCGCTGCGCCGGAGCGGAGGCCGCGGACGCCGCTGAGTGCGCGACCTGGTGCTGTCGTGATTTGGGGCTTAGGGGTTTTAAGATCTGGGGATTAGGGTTCTAACGTTTGGGGATTAGGGTTTTCGGATTTGGGGATTAGGGTTTTAGGATTTGGGGTTTGGGGTTTAAGGATTAGGGATCAAGGTTTTAAGATTTGGGGATGAGGGTTAGGGATCAGGGTTGTATAGCTTAGGGTGTACGGTTTACGGTTTACAGTGCATGAATTAGGGTGCTAAGTAATGACTGGGGTCTGGGCTTTGGGCTTTAGGTTTTGGGCAAAAACGGTTCTAGAAGGGTTTAGGGTGTAGGTGATAGTAGGTTTCGGGGTTTGGGATTTTCAGTCGGGGTTCGAAGGTCCGGAGATTCGGGGCTTGGGTTTTCGTTTCTAGCGTTTAGTAGGATTATGGGTTTGGGACTGGAATTAGATTTCTGGTCTCGGGTTTCGGATTTGAGATGTACGATGTAGGCTTTGAGAGTGTAGGCCTCGAGATATAGGATTTAGGATTCGGGGCATGCGGTGTGTTGGACAATGCATGGACTTCAGGATGTAGAACCATTGAAACTGGTGAAAACCTAGCCAGCGAAGCATGTCGGAGGATTTGCTCTGTCAGCGGAGGTAGTGACTACGAGGGTGTTGAGCTGTGAGCGCACTCGTTTCTGGGAGGCTACCATGTTAGATACCCAGTTCCCTATCTAACATAGGGACCCCTCAAACATTAGAATAAGGGCTTTGGGGCCCACTATACCATAACTACAAGAAGGAACCCTCAAAATAGTATAGGTAATCATGAAGGCCCCTTGTAGTAACGCTTAAACATTAGAATAGGGCTTTGGGGCCCATTATACTATGACTACATTGAGGAACCTTATTCGGGCCCCTTTTTTAACGTTTGCGCGCCTTGCAAAGAGTGGATCTCCACATTGTTGGCCTCGACGTGCCGATCTGCTTCCTGTCGAGCAACTCAGACTCAGGGTATCGAAGTCTAAATCCCCAAACCATAAACCGCCTGCAACCCAACTTGCAAGTCTTGCAGCTTTCAGCATTCAGCAGTTTTCAGACGAAGATTTGTTCAGGTGCAAGCTTCAATGTGGAGGCGACGGGGCATCAGTTGAAAACCTTTGCTAAACCCCCAAACCCTTTAAGTCAAAAACAACCTAAACACCCGAACCAAAAAGCTTTAAAGGTGACCAGGGGAGTTGGAATAAATTGGCAACTATGCCCTTGCAATCTCTGTTTCATTTTCGTAGTATATACCCTACAACACTCGTCTAACTACTAAGACCCCTATATTGAACCCACACCTAAACTTGGAACAACCTGCAAACACCCACAAACATCCGACAAAAGTCCTAGAGAGGCTCCCATGGATGAAGGCTCTTAAAGGGGGCTGTGGAGCTTGGGAGGCTCGAGCCTCTTCGATGCTGGCAGCAGCATCGCTTGCGGTCTGGATCATCTTGTCCTCGTCCTTTCATAGGGTTTAGGGTCTAGGTTTTAGGGTTTAGGGTTTAGGATTTAGGCAGGTTGGGGCTTAGGGAATGGCTTCAGGTCCTCGTTATTTCATAGTGTTTTGGGTTGAGGTTCTCGTCCTTCCATCGGTTCAGGGTATAAGGGTCTACGGTCAAGTCGTCGTTCCTTCATGAGACGTTTTCGGCGTAGGGATTAGTGACTTCAAAGGATTTTCAGGTTTTAAGGTAATAGGGTTCTCTGGGGCTGTAGGTACTATCGGGAGGGTATTATGGTTAAAGGGGTACGATGAGTGACAGGATAGTATTGGGTTACGGGGTTAAGCTCAGGATGATAGGGTTATAAAGCTTTTTGGTTTCGGGTCTTGGGATCGTGTCTTCGTCCTTTCCCAGAGCTGGAGGTCGTGGGTTAGGGGGGGGGTTTGGGATTGAAGGCTGGGGCGGCTGGGGATTCAGGGCATTTTCGGTTTTGCGGTGCGGGGATTAGGAATCAAGATTTAGGAGTTTGACTTTAGGATCTTTGTCTAAGCACCTTTTTCCACCTGCCAAGGTCAAGCCTCCATTTCCGCAGCCTCCAATGCTGTCCCTGAAGACCTGGAACTCTGAAGCCTCAAACCCCAAACCCTAAACCGTGTACCCCCAATCCCAATCAAAGCCGACCTCCACACACTTGCCCTGCACTTGTTCAATGGAGTCCCAGCGCTTCTGCCTCAGCCCCCAAGACGAGGTTTGGCCTATATGAAAGGGGCACGATACGGGTTCTATGAGGGTTGCTGTGAAGGTCATCAGAAGGGTGCAGGCTACTATGAATGCTTCAAAGGTTTAGGACTGTGGGGTTTGGGGGGCTTGTCTTTTCGGGCTCGGGGTTAAGGAGTCAACACATCAGGGCTGAAACCCGAAACCCTGTATCCTCAACACTAAACCTTAAACCCCAAAGCCTAAACCCTAAACCCCAAGCCCTTTCCTAAACACTAAACCGTGAACCCGAAGCATGTTGGGTCGTTGGTCACGGCCTTTCCATGTGCGCCTCACATGCCTGATCAACAGACAGATGTGAGTGTAAAAATGTTTATGAGTATCAGCATAATACGTTATTACATATATATATACACACATATACATGTACATATACATGTATATAGAGACAGATAGAGTGAGAGAGAGGAGAGCACATACTTGGCCACTTATGTCTTCATGTCTCTACTGTGTCTATTTGTGTGTCTGCAAATGCTCGTGTTTATCTACATCTACTTGTTCGTTTTGTCATCCTCAACTGTTTGTTTACATGCCTGCTTACTCATCTATACCAATAGCTCTAAGCCCTGTACCTAGCAGTGGAGCTTGAAACCACGGAGCCTGCCCCGGAAGTGAAAACCTAGCCCCTCGACCCTACGCCTGAAACCCGTAAACCCTGAAGCTCTCAGCCCTAAAGCCCAGGTCCTACGCCCTGAAATCCAAAAGAGAAACGTCAAACCCTGAGCCTGCGCCCGACCTCTGGGCCTCCCTGCGCGGCATCTAGGGCAGCAGCAGCTTGCCTCAGTTCCGCTACGGTTTAGGGTTTAGAGTTTAGGTTTTTAGGGTTTAGGGCTTAGGGCTTCTAGGGTTTGGGGCTTAGGGTGGTAGAGGGTGTTTCTGGCCCATGAATGCTGCTTCGGGGTCTGAAGGGTTTCTTGGCTTAAGGTATGTATCGGTTTAGATCACATGAAAACCGTCTTTGAGCTTTGGGAGCTCGTGTCACTCAAGGAACTGTTCTTCCTCATCCTAAGCCCCCTTCGAAACCCTGGACCCTGAAAAAAGCCGTTGATAAATGTGCCACAAGGCCTCCTCTGGTGAATACCAGCCGGCCGTACCCTCATAAGCCGAACCCGTGGTATCCCTGGAAGAACCTCTCAACGGAATCCCCTTTTGAAGCATCATTCGTCCCCGTGCTCTTCGCATCCGAGCTGCTGCTGATGTGACTCCAGGGCTCGGGCGCCCGAGCCGGTCTCTTCCTAGGAAGCTCTTTGCGGGGCTGGTTTTCAAGCCTTTCGGTTCTACGGGTTAGGCCTCAGGGCTTAGAGGTTTTAGGGTTTGGTGCTTTCGTGTTTTTGATTTCAGGGTTTGCGGTTGTTTTAATGCTTTTGATACGGCGTTGGGTTCTATGTTTCGGGCTATGGGGGTTTCAGGCTTAAGAGACTGTTGGATCTTTTAGGGTTTAGGGTTCACGATTCAGTGGTGATTAGGCTTCAGAGTTTTCAGACTTTATGAGGCCCTGTCTCTGCTGCACACATCTGCTATGTAGTTGTGTCTAGGTGCTTATTCCAAACTACATCAGCATGCACATATGTTGTATCTGCTTCTACTCTTCATCTACATAGCTGTACAGATGCTCATAGACTCTGCATCACGCCAGCTCAGCTCACGGCTTTCACGGCATCTGCATTGCACTTTGCCTTCTCGCAGAGCTTCTGAAGCATCTCCTGGGTGGAGCTGATCCACAAGACGAGTAGGACTGTACAATTATCAAAACTATTACACATTGTGACAAACTATAGCATGTGTTAGCAGCCTTTAGCAATGGCAACAAGAAGACGCTCCGAGGACATCTAGGGCGGCCGAGTCTCTTCGTGGACGACCTGAAGGCCGGTGACGGCTTGAGCCGTTTCGGCCAGGGAGGCGTCGGAGAGCGCCGAGAGCTCAGAGACGGCCTGGGAGGCCGCTGTCAAGGCTTCGGAGGTCCGGGCCGCCGAGGCCGCCAGAGCTTGGCGCTGAGAGGCCAAGGTCTTCTGGAGCTTCTGCGTGTGCTCGGCGAAGGATCGCTTCGCTTCTGCAGCCTCCTTCGTGACCGTGCCGGCACCCTCGGCCGCGACCTGCGCCGCTTTCTGCAAAGCAACCTCCAAGGCGCCCAGCGTCGTCTGAGCATCTTTGACGCCCTCCACCAAGCTCTCCTTGGCCTTGGCCGAGAGCTCCTGCAGTGCTTCGTGGGTGGCGCTCCGGTGGGGCCCTTGCAACTGCTCGCCAAGGCCCACGAGGCAGCAGCGCTGCCTGTGGTGAAGCTCCTTGAGTTCCAGCATCGCCGCCTTCTGCGCGGAGCTCGTCTCCAAAATCACGGCCTCTGTCTCTGCTACCTGGTTGGGGCCAACCGAGCCCTCCTTGTCCATCTCCTGTGTGAGGCGCTTCGTGACCTCGGGCCTTGGGAGGGGCAGCTGCTCCTGAAGCCGCCTTGCCCCGCCCTCCTCCAAGTTTCGGCACATCTCCTTGGCCCGCGCCTGGGCCGCGCGGTGCTGCTCCTGGTTTAGGAAATCTGGGGTTTGCAGAGAAAGGCTTGCAGCGTCGTTTCATATAAGGATCGCACACAGGTTTGGGCTTGTAAAGGTCTTCAGCAGGGTTTTCGGGCTCCTTCGCGATGGCGATGCGCTGCTCCAAGTCCAGGGTGTGCTGCTCGCTGGCAGAAAGAGCGGTTTGAAGGCCCAAGGCCACCTGCGACTCTGCGATCTCTCTTGCACTCTCAACCTGTTAAACCCGTTAAAACTACACATCTGTTGATTAGTCGGTCTATCTATCTACCTACCGATCTACCGATTCAGCTATCTATGCATCCATCAGTTCTATGAACCTATCTTGATATCTATCAGGCAGGCAGGACAGACAGACATACAGACGTACAGTTGCACGTACGGTATGTGTATGTGTATATATATTTTTGTATATATATATATATATATATGATACCATATCATGTCGTATCATATCATGTCATGTCAGATTTCAAACTGTATATGTACAAACTATATATAGATATATGTATGACGCTTGGTCAAACTCCCAGCCTGGTGCTGGTCCGATGCACACGATGCGAAGCGCTCCTTCGCGAACGTCTGCTCCTGAACGCAGCTGACATTCTCGTTTCAGGTCTGCATGTTCGAAAGAATGTGGAAGAAAACACCGTCAAGCTCCTATGTGACTGAACCTCCTGCCGACTTCCTCGTGATGATCGTACTATGTTTCACTGGAATAAGTTTCCGGATTATTCTTCTTCTGACGCTCGGCCCAGATTCCATACTCCCAGAGCCTTAAGCACTGTCGCGGAGCAGCCGCCCGGAACTCCAAACCCTGAACCCCAACCTGAAGTTAGGAGTTTGCAGTCTTTCGGTCTTCGGGCTTCACGCGGGCTGATTCTTATCGTTCTCTTGTTCATACAAATAGTCATGTTCTCAATACCATGAGAGTAGTATCATCATTCATCACAATGTACTCATATACATTACAGTTATTGTTGTTATCGGTATCACTTTCATCATTGTCAGTATCCGCCCCTTGCTCTTCCTTAAAACCATTATTGGTATCAGTACCGTTATGATTATCATTGTTAGTGGTATATTTGTTCAGCTTCTTCATTTCTTAGTACGGGGATTTTGATTTGGTTACATTGTTAGTATTCATGTTATTGCTCGTCGCGTTGTTACTCTTTTTCTCATCGGCATTACTCTAAATGTCAGTATTGATGGTACTGTTAATGTCGACATTGGCGTTGATAGTTGCATTGTCATCACTGACCGCATTCCTATCGTGATGATTGTTGTCATTGCTGCTATCATTTCCACGATTGTCTTATTTGTATTTTTGCTGTTGGCGGTATCATGATGGCTACTAGTCTTCGTATCATCGTTTGTGGTGTTGTAAGTAGTGGCCTGGCTGTAAGTTTTCATAGTCACCACTAGATTTAGTATTAGTACTATGAGTAGCATCAGAATGTGCATTAACATTTTCATTGCTGTTCGTACTAGGATTAGTATTAGCAGTGGTACTGGCATTCGTATTAGCACTAGTATTTGTGGTAGCAGTTGTATCAGTATTCGTATTCGGATGGATACTTGCATGTGCTCTGGTTAGTAGGATTTGCAATAGCACTAGCATTGGGCCAGGGATTCGTATTCACTCTGTTATTACGTTGATGACTGTTTCTTATCATCATTTACAATTCATCGCAGTCGTCCGCACTGCCGCCGGATGCCCGTCGTCGATGTCGTGCTGATCTCAGCAATAGTAAGTAGTTTTGTTCTCCGAATATCTATATTCTATCAGGCGCTCTGGAGGCCCCAAACCCTACATCCCGAAACCATAAAACCCTAAATCCCCAAATCCATAAATCCCCAAACTCTACATCCCCAAACCCTACATCCCCAAACCTCTGGGTGCCTTGGTTTTCAGGTTTGCCTTTCGCAGCTCCTCTGCCAGGCCCTGGGTTCGCGACTCGGGGGCTTTCTGGGTGAGTGTCTTGGGGTTTTGCTGCAGGTTTAAGGTTCCTTTAAGTGATCCATAAGTCTATAAGGGTACTATAAGGGCTTAGGGTTTAAGGTTAGGGGTTTTGGGTGTAGGATTATGTGATTTCAAGGGTTTAAGGTTGACGGACTTTGGGATTTTAGTGTAAGGACTTTGAGACTCCCGGGTCTACAGGGAACTTTGGGCCTTTGGGGGAAGAGGGGTGCAGGGATTAATACAAGCTTTTGGGATTCGAAGAGCTTAGGGTGGAGGTTTTCGGAGTCTTGGGGTTGAGGAGTCCGGGGGGAATTCGAGGTTGACAACGGCTGGGCCTAGAAGAAGCGCTCAAGATTTCAGGATCGAGGGATGGCTCTTGTGTACATATTGTATACATACATATATATATATATATATATACATACATACATACATACATCTATATACATATATGAGATACTATAAGAGGGCTTGACATCCAAAAGAGACAACAAATCTTCACAATGCGACTGCAGATGCCATGCCTCACATCAGCCCGTCGATCCGCGTCCCCTACGTCGCCAAAGCTAGGGTTCAGGGCCCTACTCCCAACATCCCACCCTCCCGCGAGCCTCCATGCGCGCTTCGGCGCGTGCCGCGCGCTCGGCTTCTTCCTGGGCAGCTTCCACACAGAAACGTTTAGGGTTTGGGGTTTAGGGTTTGGCTCAGGGGCGGCTGAACCCACCAGGTGGATTTTCACACACAGACCTTCATGCACATGCTTGGCAAGCACAGCTGCACCAGCCAAACCCTACACCGCCAAGCCGAAAAGCAGATCGTGCGAGACGCAAGCGGGCAAGGGGCCTGAGCCTCCTGGTACTTTCGGCCGAGAGCCACCTGACGGGATCACCAAGGCGATGCAAAGGGCACTAGCCTTATTATTGTTTGTTTTGGTGTGCACAGATATAGATATTGTATATATATATATACGTAGAACAAAATGTTCACACAAATCCCGTTGGAACTTGATGGGAACATCATTCTGCCCTGCCATCATGCATCATCGCTTGAGTTCGGGATCTTCTCGAAGGCAGGACCTCTTGCAATCGCGATGATTGCAATCCCCGAACTCACTCCTTGACCTTCGGCTGCGAGGCCCTACTATAGGGGCCTGAATACTTAGGATAGGGTTTGAGGGTATAGTATGGGCAGTAGGGGATAACCACAATAAGGAACCCTCAGGAATAGTTTTGGTACTTCTTCCGGCTTCTATGTTACGCCGCTCATTCCGACATCCTGCACCCCGACATGCCCCAGACATTGAACCTAACATGAAAGCTTGTGTCAGCTAAACCCTGAAACCGTGGCGCCCTTGAAACCCCGAATCTCCGACCACCAAACCCAAGATCGGTTCAGACCTGAGCCTCCTCGAGCTCTTGCGCCAGATAAGTGACCTAAGTGGGCATGGGTTCACGATTTCAGACTTCTTGCAATAGTACACACACACATAACATGTGCACGTATGTATGAATGAATGAACGAATGTATGGATGCACGAATGAATGCATAAATGCATGAACAAACGTATGTGTATGTGTGCGTGTGTCTCCGTGTGTATGCGTGTACGCATCAGTAAGTCAGAATGTACAGCATTGAGTCTTGAGGGTTCGCGTGTGGTCTTGTTGGACATTTGGCTTTATAGAGTTCTTTTCTTTAGGATTTCCGCTTTTGGGCTTGGCGTTGCAACCAGCTAAATTGTGCTACCCTCGCCGTTGCAGCGTGCTCTGAAGTCACGAGAGGCCTCAACCCACAACGCAAATCCTCATACAAGCATCGAGCTCTGTCGCTACTGCCCTACGTTGCCTTCAATCGAACCCCAAAGCCGGAAACAACAAACCCCACGCCCGAAAACACCAATGGCCGCAAGTCCGAAGCCTTCACCCTTGGTTATTTGGGGGGGGGGTGCTTGTGCCGGCAGTTCAACGCGGACGGCCTTCATTTCGAGCTCCGCCCAATCAGAGGCACCAAGTCCAGAGCTCGAACCTCAGCGGAGCATTAGTGTGGTCTTCACAGGCTTTGCGGTTTAGAGGAGGAGTTAAGATTTTGAGGGTGTACTTCTAGGGCATTGGTTTTAGGAATCTCGGTTGAAGCCACATGCCGTGGCTTGAGATTTTTCAAATCCGGTCCGGAGAAGGACTGCCGCGGTGACTACAGTAGGGTGTTGGGCTAGAAGACTTTCAGAGCCACGCCTCCTGCGAAGAATCCTTTGTTGGTCAACCCCGAACCCGAAGACAACTCCCCAAATAACTCGAAACCCCACGAGATGCCTACCGAAGCCCGATACCACGAGCCTCAAAAGAAGCTCGAACTCCGAAACATGCCGTGATCCCAAAACCGTAAACCCAGAGACGCTGATCCCAAATACCCTGAAGAACAAAGTGGACAACCCGAATAGTCCCCCTCAGCCCTCAAGACAACACGCAATCTAAACCCCTAAACCCTAAACCCTAAATCCCCAAAACACCAAACCCCCAAACCCTAAACCCTAAATCTCCAAAACCCTAAATCCTAAATCCCCTACAGTAAACACTAAACCCACCAAAACCCCCGAACCCTCTCAGTGGCGCACTGACGTCCGCGGACCGTGCAGCCGAGGCGACGGTAGCCGTGCGAAGCAAGGAGGAAGCAACAGGCCTCTCTCCCTAAACCCTAAACCCTAAACCCTAAACCCTAAACCGTCTTGGGCATTCTCGGGTTTAGGGCTTTGGGGGTTTAGGCTTTGAGGCTTTGGGGGTTTAGGGTTTAGGGGTTTTGGGGGGTAAAGACATCATCTTTTCGGGCTCCGAGAGAAGGGTGCTTAGGGGCTTTGGGTTGAAACTCCGGGCGTGAAGTTTGAGGATTTTTGCCTCGGCAACATGACTGCCGCCTTCTGGACTGCCGAGATTACTACCATTATGATTATTAATATTACTATTAATATTAATATTACTATTATTGTTAATATTACTATTACTATTATTATTAATATTACTATTAATTTCAATATTACTATTAATATTAATTTTGCTATTAGTATTAATATTCATATTATAATTAATATTGCTATTCTCATTAATATTACTATTACTATTATTGTTAATTGCCTGACCGGTTGGACATCTTCTGACGTTGCATCTGCCAGTCGAGTGGAATACGGCTTGTTCAAGGCTTACGGCTCTTATCGGGCTGAAGGGGTTGAAGGCTTTCAGTTTGGGTTTTCTTTTAATGCTAAACTTTTTGGAGGTTCAGGGTGTTAAATTTGTGGTTTAAAGTTGCGGGAGTTATGTATCCGACTCCTTTGAGGCTTCGGGCTAGGGGAATGGGACTTAGGATTTAGGGCCTTGGGGACTTTGGCATATGAGCCGCAAGCGTTTGTTCAGGTTTAGAGCTTGCAGGCGTTTTGATTGTTGGATGTTTGTGTCAGGGCTTGGGGCCCTTTTACTGGAAAATGGCTGAAGGCTTTGACCCCTTCTGTATTGGGTTAGGGCCATAAGTTCCCTTGAGGTTTCGGGAACTAAGGTTTATGGGTTTGGATTTGAGGGTTTGAGCCATAGGCTTCAGGCTGTTCGGGTCCTCAGCACTTTCCGGGCTTTGGGCGTGAGGTGTAATGCTTTTGGGATGACTGGCGTCAACAGTGGTGGGCTTCAAAGTTCCCAGAAACCTGAATGCCCAAGCTGGCCTCCTCCCAACGATTCACGACCACAGGCATACAAACCCCAATTGCCCAAAGCCCTAAACTCTAAACCCTAAACACTACGAAGCCCCTGCCCGGCTGGCCGGTTCTTGATGCCGGCAGCTTGTTCTGCGTAGCTGAGGGCGGAAATGGTCTCCTCGACCGCCGCCAAGGCCTTGCAACAGCAGCTGGGCCTTCTTCGCTTCGTGGGGCTTTGGCTTGGAAGTCTCGTTGGGTTAGGAAGATACCTGCATGCTGTCGGAAGCTTCGGGCCTCTGGGGTTGAGTACATAACAATGGATAACTGGCGCTGTTGTCGTAAACGGAAGACTGTGGCAAAGCAAAGTTCAGCCCCTCCCCTACCCCTGCACCAGTGGGTGCCCCACCGGCGAAATGGTCGCAATGATGACCGTCTTGCAGCGCCCGCCCAGGGCATCTTGCAGAAGACGGGTCCTTAGAGTGCAAACTTCAGAAGGGGGCAGCCGAAGAAGCCAACCGAGGCTGCGAACAACGGCAGCAATAAGAAGGGACTGCAGAGAAAAATGCAAATAATATGAAGACTTCCAACAGCATGCAACAGTGTGTCAATAGAGCTAAGACAAGATTGTTGACATACTGCAACATCATCTGGAAACAGCATGCAACAGTGTGTTAACAGAGCAAAGACCAGCGCTGACGTAGTGCAACATCATCGCAACAATCATCCGACCCAGCGTGCGGCGTGGTGTTGATGCTGATGCTGGCGTTGGCACGGTGCCAGATGTGCTGATTGTACGATGTCCGATGCAAGGCTGATGCCGATGCTGCTCTTGTTCTTGAAGAAGGGACTGCACAACTAAATGATGACGCCGAGGACCACGAGGACGAGCAAGCAGTGATGATGGTAATGATGGCCGAGGTGTGATATTTCGTAGTGCTGATGTTGGTGCTAGTGACGGTATCAGCAGCTCTAGACCCGAATGCTACTGGTCCTCCGTTACGCGCAACAGAAATCCCTGAAAGCCCAGGTAGAGCGGAAGAGCCAAGGGCTCCACTTTTTCCCTGCAACGGGCCGTCTCGTAGACCGGCGCTTTCAGGCGGCTCGCGGATCCGAGGACACCCGGCGTTGCGGCGCTCCAGATTTGGAGCTTCAGAGTCGAGGGCTTAGGGAGAGCCAGTCTGCGTTGAGATCGGCATCCTCGGAAAGCTTCTCGTAGGCCTCTGCCAGCTTCCCCCCCAGCCTCTGCCCACCCGGAAGGCTCTTGAACTGGAGAACGTAATCCTTCGTGGCCGGATGCTTCGGGAACTCCATCACCTGGCAAAGGTCTTCTTTATTCCAAGACTTCTTTGCTGCAACCTTCCCAACCTCCTCAGCAGGTCCGAACTCACAGACGGCGCCGTCGTGAAGGAAGGCAAAGTCGTCTGCCACGAGGTGGAGCCTGGGATGCGAGTGGAGAGCGCTTCGGAATCCGCTGCATGAATCATCGGGATTCCAACACTAGAAAGAATTATATCATTCACCAATGGAGACATGGAGGATCCAGGAATCCGGAAGGGTTCGTAAGACTTGGGGGCGACCGAATAATCTACTTTAACCTACCATAATATGCGGTAGTATACGACTATAATATACCTACCTTCCCTCCCTCCTTCCCGTCCCAGTAGCTGGTGGAGCTCTGTAGAGATGTAAAGCACCGAGATGCTGCGCTCCTTTGGGGTCCATCGCTTCGAGCTTCTTCTTTCAACACCTAAACACACCTCTAAGAGACACACGAAGTGGATAGGGGGGGGCTGCTTAGGGAGCTCAGGCCCAGGGGGGTTTCGGAAATTTTGAGCTCGGCGTCCCGTTGCAAGCGCTTCAGCATCCGAAGCACCCTGGGCTGGCGCAGGTAATCTAAGCCTCCGAGCAGCTCGTCGCAAAGCAAGACCACTGAGCCTCAAATGGGGTTTAAGAGAGGAACGATGCTCAGAGGCATCATAAGCCATACGCTTCGTGCTTGCAGAAAGAGTATGACTATATGACTATGACTGCTACAACCCGCAACCATGGCGAGCTTTGTTGCAAACTGCTGTGGAAAGCACGAGCCCTAAACCAACGATACCCTAAACCCTCAAACCTCGCACACCCCGAAATCAAACAAAGGATGAATCCCAAACCGTATACCCCAAAAGCTTTAAAACCCTAAACCCTAAACCCTAAAACCCTCAAACCCCAAAACCCTAAACCCGAAACCCTAAAACCCTAAATTTAAGCCCAGGGGGCCGGTCGCTGCGAGGCACCGCGCGAAGTAGCGCAGCACGTAGATCAGATGCTTCTGCCCACCCGAGAGCTCTCCATATCGGAGCCCATCTCGGACATACTCCTCCAGAAAGGAGAAGACTAGGACGGTTGTTTTTTTGGAGAACCTTTTTCCATCTGCGGGTACGGTTTAGGGTTTAGAGTTTAGAGTTTAGGGCTTCAGGGTGGAGGCTTTAGGGCTTAAGATGTCGAGGGTTTCAGGGTGTAGGATGGGGGCTTTTCGATCTTGCGTTTAAGGCTTTGAAAGACCTTCCACGGATCGACTCCTCCGGGCTCCCCACGGGCGCACCCGTCTCCTGGTTGTACATCTGAAACCTCGAGGAGTTCAGGGTTTGGGCTTTCTGAGCATGAGGGATCAAGGTATGATGTACATCTTCAGAAAACCATACGGATGACGCAGGCTAGAGTCACCATCATTGCTCATAGGGCTCGCAAGTATAGATGCACATGCGAATAAGACTGTGGCAGTCACGAGAATAATGGGTGACATGGGGCTGCTTTTGAAACATTCACCGTTGTAGTTCGACCCTGACTCAGACATGGTTTTAAGGCTTCCGGGTCAGGGTAACCCGACATCTTTGGCCACGCCACCCCGCTGCCCTCAGCAGCTTGACAACGGTCTCTGCTCGCCTTCAGGGTTTTAGTAGGTTTACGGATTAGGGTTGAGGGTGTCGGTGTTGAGGCTACGGAGTTTGGGCTTGGTACGTTTGGAGGTTTGGCATGGCAAACACCAAACTCTCAACCCTTCAAACCCCTCAAACCTCAAACCCTAAACCCTAAAACCCTATAAACATAAAAACCTGGAAACCCTAAGCCCTGAAACCCTAAACCCTAAAAACCTAAACCCTAAAAACCTAAACCCTAAAACCCTAAACCCTGAAACCCTAAACCCCAAAAACCTAAACCCTAAACCCTAAACCATAAAACCCTAAAGCCTGAAACCCTAAACCCTAAAAGCCTAAACCCTAAACCCTGAAAACCCTAAACCCTAAAACAAAAAAAAAAAGAAATGGACCCTCAGAAAGTTCCACCTTGCCGGGGGCAGTGCCTCGCCGACCACTGTCTCGATAGACTTCGAGGGGCCCAAGGATTCCTGCGTTTGGCGGTTGCTCGCTTCGGGGCTTAGGGGTTTGGGGGCTTGTGTTTTGGGGCTTAGGGCTTAGGGTTTTGGGGGCTTTGGCTTTTGGGGGCTTTGGGTTTTGGGGGGGGGTGTTGGGTTCTTGGGAGTTGAGAGGTTTTCGGCTCTCAAACTTCTGGTCTTGTAGAGGTCCTGGAGCCTGAGATTAAGACCGGTTGCTCCAAGGCGCGGTCTCTCCCGTCCCTCTTGGGTCCTTGTCCGAGGTTTCACTCGACAGGTACAGCACCAGGTGCCGCACCTCCCCCGCCTGCGGATGACGCCCGAAGTGGTATGTACAGGCTGCCCCTGTGAGGGCCAGCATCAACGCAGCGGCCAGCTTCATCTGCACATTGGCGTCGAACGGCTTGAGTGGCCCAAACCCAACAGCCAGGATGAGCACCAATAGGGGGATCCATACGAATTTCATGAATTGCCCGACTGCCCGAGATCTGGAAGGCGGAGAAGGGCACTCTTCATCACAGCGGTGGTGCAAGGTACCAGATTGCAGCCGGTTCTGATTGCAGAGCAGTCGTGCCAGGGTGCTCTTACCCGAGGCGTTCATACCCACCAAGCCTGTGCACCAAGCCCGACGCAGCTCCAAAGACACGGAGCGCAGAACGGGCTCACCTCGGTTGTACGCAAAGCCTACATCCTCCACGGATACAAGCACAGGGTGCTCACCCCCCCGCGCCCGCGTCTCCCGAAGCACAGCTGGGGGAGCCTCGGATGCTTCGTAGAGCGGCTTTCCGGAGAAGATGTTCTTGAAAGTCTCCCGCTGTTGTCGCTTCAGGTCCTTCTCTTCGGCCCGAAGCTTGGACTGCAGCTGTTCTAGCTGTGCCCTCGCCTCCCCGTTTTCCGGGTCTAAGAACAGGGCCGCCTCGAAGTCGGCCAAAGCGCGCTGGGCCATCTCGGCGCGCCCGTGCTCCAAAAGCTTGGCCTGGGCGAGGCCACGACGGTACAAGGCCTTCACACGGGCCTCAGTCTTCGCCGCCACCTGCAAGGCGCCGCTTGCGTGGTCTACTGAACTTGCGAGATTGCCACGGCGGAGGTGCGCCAGGGAAGCGTTCAAATGCAGGGCAGCACGCTGCTGCTGGATGTCTTCTAAAGAAGGGCCTTTGGCCGATAGCAAAGCCACCAAGCCCTTGTCGTAGCAATCCGTGGCATCAGCATAGTCGCCCTTGTTCATGAGCTCATTGCCTCGGGTTCGGTGAGTCTCCGCTTGGGCAAAACCCTCGTCCTCCATCGTCAAGGCGGTCACGAGGGGCCTTCTCGGCTTCAGCTCACCATAGCCGATTGGGAAGCTCGAGGGAAAGGCGGCACCAAGAACAGCACCATGTAACTCATGAAACACATGTACCGGTAAATGAAAACATGCACACATAAGTGTGTACTCATAGCAACGATATTGAAAGAAATGACACGACCGAGCCATGTTCATGATGATGATGCCAGCAGCATCCATGTACATCTATGTACATTTTGATGACATACACACAAACACACACGACATACACATGTATAAATATATATATATATATATAGCTATAGATTGATATACATACATTTTTTGTTATAAATGCACATATATATATATATATATATATATATATATATATATATATATATATATATATATATACATATGTTATATATATATATACATATGTATATATATATATATATACATATGTATATATATATATATATATATACCCCCCCCCTCCAAAACCCACCCCAGAAGCCTGACCGATGAGAGTGTGCGTGTGTGTGTGTGTGTGTGTGCAGGTACATGTCATCTCTTTCAAGGCTTCTCAATGAGGGATTATTAACACGGCCCCCAGGAACCAAGAACCAAGAACCAAGATTCCTGGAAAACTTTCTGGACCAATCTTGGTTCCTGGACCTCATCGTCAATATGGGCCCAAGCGCGGGAACCAAGATTGGCCCAGAAAGTTTTTCAGGAATAGGGGCCGTGTTAATTAACACGGCCCGTGTTAATTAACACGGGCTCGGGCCCAAGCCTGGGAACCAAGATTGGCCCAGAAAGTTTTCTAGGAATCTTGGTTCTTGGTTCTTGGTTCCTGGGGGCCGTGTTAATTAACACGGCCCGTGTTAACTAACACGCCCTTGGGCCTCGGAACCAAGATTCGTCCGCAAAGTTGTTCCTCGGCCCCGTGCACTAGCACAGGCCTTATGCCTATATAGGCAACTGTTGGCTTCAGGCCGACATTTTGGATATTTTGGGGTGGGGGGCTTCTACGGGGCCTCATATCTGTAACTTTTGGCCTCACGCCGACTTTTTGGATATATATATATATATATATATATATATATATATGCTTCCCCCCCCCTCAAAGATCCGCGTTGTATCGCAGTTTGTGTATAGTCGGAAGGAACGCCCTCAAATATGATTCGCGCGTTTTGGCCTTATTGGGAAAGAACCCCCTCAATATAACTCAATTTATCCGAAACAACCCTTCATTCCACAGTTGCCGGATTACCATTCCACAGCATTGCCGGATTATTTTGGTACCCACATCACTTACAGTATCATGTATATGCAGTATGTGTAAACCCTTATGTATGTCTCTATGCATATGGTACACGGGTGACGGACATAAAGCGTAAACTTTCCGTTTGGAATATACGAATACAAACGAGCACGACTGCACTTCTGAAACGAAAAAGACAACGACAATGTGTGTCTTGACACCGGGTGATCGGTGATGGAGACTAACGATGGCACAATGATCGTGATGTTAGGGTCTATTTAGCTAGTTTATATATAGACAATATCAAACGCTTAGCTAAATGCTGCATAGCATATCACGCATTCTACAAACCGAAACACAGAAAGTTTCGCACTGATTCAGACATAGAGTTAAATGCACAATTGTCAAATTTCAGGTTCGTCCACGCATCCCGGCGCGCTCGCATGCAGGATATTGCTATGCACCTGTTTACGTTTGATATCGGTCGTCATTGTGTATGAAAACAATTACGCCACTGGTTACAACAAATGTACTATCCCTCGGTGTATGAGGAAAGTAATGCCCAAGAAGATTCCTGGCATTTGTAGTCTCATGTCAAGGACTGGATATGGCATCCATACATCATCATATGCTGTTCCTCTGTCAATATGATACGCAACAGTTTGCATTCGGCCCAGGATAATTTTCTATATGAATGTTGCAACACAGAAGGTTGTGATTGCTAGTTTGTACATGTGTACATCAGATATGGTCCTCACGTATGAAGTCTTACCTTACCCATAGGCAATGCGTCAAGGACAGGGGTTCTCTGGCTAAGCAGCCACCAGGCCAATCCGTGAAGCTAATGACACGGTGCACCACAGTTACCACTCCTCCATAGCATATAACTGCCGGCCTGACATGTATATCGTCTTGCATATGTCAGTCCATGGATATGACACAAAAATGTAATATCTTCATGGCGTGTTGGAGAAAAAAACAAGTACGCAAATACCCCGGCATCGACATCGACCACGAAGATCTGGGTTCTTGATAAGAACTAAGATAAGAGATCCTTCAGGGGTTTCTATAAGGTGTCTATATAGAGGATCTACAAAGTTTCTGTGTGGAATCTATAGAACTTTCGAAAAGGGCCCCATATGAGGGATCTACAAGGGGTTTCTAACGGGTTTAGTTGCAATGGATGTACAAAGTGTCTATAAGGAATATAAACGGGTTTGCTATAAGGGCTCCATATGAGGGACCCATAATGAGTTTCTAGAAACTCTCTCTATAGGGATCTATAGTTTTTCTATATCATGGGTTTCTATAAGGTCTCTACATAGAGGATCTACAAGATTTCTATAAGGAATCTGTAAGGGTTTCTACATGGGCTCTACATCAGGGATCTATACCGGGCTTCTATGTGGTTTCTAGAAGGGGAAAAACCACAAAGAGGGGAATCTATTGATTTTCATAAGGAATATATAAAAGTTGTCTATGGAGGCTCCGTGCAAGGGATCTTTCAGAGTTTTCTATAAAGAGCTGCGTTTGTGGATCTATAAGGGGCTTCTGTAAGTCTCTACATATATAAGGGATCTATAAAGTTTCTATAAGAATCTATAAAGGCTGTCTATGAGGGCTCCATATCAGGGATCTATAGGGAGCTCCCATAAGGTTCTACGATGGGGCTCTGCAATGCAAGGACTTGTATAATGAATCTGCATAAGGGATCTATACGGGATCTCTATAACGTCTCTATAGGGAATTCACAGGGCTTCTAAAGAGAATCTACAAGGGTTTTTTTGGAACGGCTCCATATCAGAGCTGTATGAGGGTTTTCCATAAGGTCGTTATATATGGGATCTATATGGTTTCTACGAGGAATCTGTAATGGTTTTCAAAAAAACTTTTCCATACAAGGGATCTTCAAGGTGTTTCATAAGGCCGCTGTTTTGGGAACCCACACGGTTTCGGAACAGAATCTGTAAGAGAGTTCTACAAGGGATCTATGACGGGTTTCTCGAAGGTTTCTATACAGGGGATCTATAAGGTTTCTATATAAGGAATCTATGGTTGTTCTATACGGGCTCCATATACGGTCTAGAAAAAGGATTTCTAGAAGGTCCTTATATAGGGAATCTGTAAGGTTTCTATAAAACAAATCTATAATGGAATCTGTAAGGTTTCTATAAAGAAGAGTCTACAAGGGTTTAGGATTCTCGACACGGTCTCTTTACAGTGGATAGACAAATTTTCTAATAAGAATGTTTATCAGGGTTGTTGAGAAAGGAGGGGGGAGGTGGGGAGGTGAAAAGAGAGAAGGGGAGGGAAGGGGAGAGGGGTGGGAAGGGCTGTTGCCGGCAACACATCGGGTATTGGATCTCGGATGCAGGCCTTAGCCCCGGTACAAACCGGTACAACCGGTACAAGTTGTACCGGTCTTCTCCTGGAATCTTGGAAGGGTCCCCCGGCACAAACCGGTACAACCGGTACAAGTTGTACCGGGAGAATCCAAGATTCCAAGATTCCAAGATTGCTGCGAACTCTTTCTCGGAATCTTGGATACCGGAGCCCATCCAGTTCCAGGATTCCAAAAAAGACCCCGCTGCAATCTTGGAATCTTGGAATCTTGGATTCCCCCGGTACAACTTGTACCGGTTGTACCGGTTTGTACCGGGGCTAAGGGGCCAAGGCCTGTACCCACTATCTTTGGGGCGGAGTTCGCCCAACCATGTGTGTGTGTGTGTTTGCTAAATGCTGTGGTATTCACGTAGGAAGACACACCTACAGACGATCTGAAGAAAAAACAAACGGGGATGGCACACGAAGCGCTGGAAACAGACAGAAAGCGTGGATCTTTGGGGGGGGTACCATATATATATATATATATATATATATATATATGGTCCCTGCACTTGTTTATTTGTTTACGTGTTTATATATTTGTATATGTGTATATTTCTATAATTTACATTGCTGTATATTCCTGTGTATGTATAAAGTTGAATAAAGATATGCTTTTGATAGGCATATGTTTACGTATATCACTGTTGATCCGTCTATCCATCCATCTATCTATCTCTATCTGTTCATTCATCTCTTTCTTTCTCTATGTATGTGATGCGTATAAAAAATACATATATATATATATATATAAGTATGTATGTATGTATTTATGTGTGTGTACATGTGTATATATATATATATATATTGTCTTTATGTATACAGGTAACTTCGTACATATGTATTCTTGCATATGTGTATGCAGGAACGTACGTACTCATGTATGTATTCGTTTGCGATTCCACGCGAGGGTGATCTACAAGAACGAAACGCACGAAGTGTCAAAATATGCTGCACAGCCGACTCCATAAGCTCCGGGCAATTTCGAATCTCGATATGGCACCCGACCGGAGCCCTGCAGACTCGCACAATATCGTCGAATGTTGGGGTGCAGGATGCTTGCTGAAATTTGTTGGGCGTTCAAAGGCTTACAGCTTCCGGGACGACTCAGGGATGTTGGATTTGGTTCAGACGTTCAGAGGCTTAGTGCTTTGGGGTTGAGGGGACCCGGATGGAATGTTTAGTGGCTTCCACTGCAACTTCATCCTAGAAAGTGAGTCAATGCTTGTTGCAGTAGCTAGCCAAAATGCTCATGGAAACAAGGCCGAGGGTCCGGACGGCTATCTCTGCGATTGTACTTGCAGACTGGTAGAGAGTGTTGCATTCAGGCTTGAGGAGCATTCGTGCCGGTTTGCTGGGTTCGCGGACCTTCGTAGCTAGTAGTGCACATGCTCATCGACTTTGGAGTGCCGGACTGATTCACGCACTGCTACTGCTATTGAAGCTACGACCACCACTTCCACCAGTGCCACTACCACTCCTTCCACTGCGAGAGAGCGAGCACGAGTAGAGAGGAGTTGCAGCAGCAATAGGCTGAAGCCGTCAGAACTGATGATGGTAGTGGTAGTGCTGCGGACGGTGGGTGTGCGGGCATTCGTGGTGAAAGCTCCAGTTCCGAAAAATGATTTCGGGGCACAGGAACCTCGCGCAGCGCGGTGATGACACGGCCCAGCGTCAGCAAGCTCTGATTGATGGAGCGGCGCCTGGGAATTGACCGTTGGGGCCTTGGGGTTTGATGCAGATTGCGAGATGACTTGAGGATGAGAGGCTCTCACTCTACGGGTGTTGAGGCTTCATGCCTACGGCCTATGGGCCTTTCTGAACGTCGCACTCGAGACTGTGGGCAAATTGAGGCGTTCAGGGCCTTCAAAACAATGAGAACTTGGCAATCTGCATAAGGAAGGGGTTAACGCGAGGATGTAATGTTAGAGTGATGCTACGAGCATACGACCTTGGGCCGGAATGTGGCAGGCACTTTCTGTGCCGCTTATGGATTCTACGTACATCCACTACGAAAACGACAACGAATAGCGACCACGAATCCATCCATCCACCCACCCATCCATCCATCCATCCATCCTTCCGACTCCATGCAGGCTGCATGGGTACGTACATACGGATACCCACATCTGCGAGGGTATTAGGAAGAAATCTGTGGATCGCTGTCTGAGCTCGGAACTCACGCTCCTCTTCCTGCCCTGCTAGGAGCCGAGCAGCCTGGGAGGTATCCTGCAGAACACAGACTGGGATTTCACAGAAACCTGCAATGGTAACTAAAACAGCATGTAGCCAAGGATGGACCAGGCCTGCGGAAATAGAGAGACATGTACACAATACATACATATGCATAAATATATATATATATATACACGTATATGTGTGTGTGGGGGTTCATGTGTATATATTTATATACATAAATGTGTCATGTTCTGTACATGTTCATGCATATCTTTGTCTGTTTAATAATTTAGGTACTTAGTTATTGTATGTATCTGTATGTGTGTACTTGAAACCATATTCATACTCATACTTCTGTTTCTAAACATGCGTATATGTATATGTACATATGTATGTATGTATGTATGTATGTATGTATGCATACACGTATATGTATGTATGCGTAAATATATATATATATATATATATATATATATATATATATCGGTATGTATATACATGTGTATATATATAAGCATAATTATGTACATGTATCGTTTTAGTAAGAAGGCTGTTTATTTATCGTTGGATCAATTAGTTTGTTCGTTAGTTCGTTTGTTAGTTAGGTAGGTAGGTCGGTCGGAGGGTAGTTAGTTATTTAGTTAGTTTGATTAGTTTCAAGTTAGTTAGCTAGCTGGCTAGTTAGTTAGGTAGGTAGTTAGCTAGCTTGTGAGCTAGCTAGCTAGCTAGCTAGTTAGCTAGTCAGCCAGTTACCGAGATAGCCAGTTGTCTAGTTTGTCAGTTAGGTAGTTAGTTCATTGCTTAGTTAGCTAGCTAGCAAGCTAGCTAACTAGCTAGTTGCCTATTTATTTGTTCATGTACGTCTTTACTTGTTTATACGCATGTGCATTTGTGCATTTATCTATGTACCTATCTATTTATATATGTACATGTATATCTGTGTGTTTAATTATTCATGCTTTCATTTGCTTACATACATATGCAATCCATATTTAGGCACTGGTATACCCAGATTTCTTATGAACGCAGGCGAACGATGGTTAGAGTGGCAGAACTTGCTGCAGATGTGCCCAAAACCCCAGCCAAAGACTGGCATCCTGGAATGACCCAATTTCACTCGCACCATCCCGACATACACAGACATCTCCCAACATGTTCGATCGCCAACAGATGAGCACAAACATGCGGCAACGTATCATGTACCAATCGCGCATTGGCATACGGCAGCAAATGAAACATGTCACAGTAAGCAACACTGCATAAGTCCAAATGAAAAACAACATGCATCAACAAGAACGAGATGTTGGTGTACACCATGTCATGCACTAGGCCTGAATCTTTGTTGCCAGTGGAAGGGCAGCTTCAGCTGGCTGTGGCTTAACGCTTAAGCTTCTCGGCATCCTCCGGGTAGATGAAGCCACCCTTCTTTGCACATTCGCTGCCGGCCAAATCCACGAGGTGCAGCTTGCCCTGAGAGTTAACATGTGGGGCACAGCTTGTGAGATATCAAGTCTGAGGCCCTGAGACCCCAAACCTAAACCTGATAAGAAGAGAAACCAATGCAAAAGACTGAACCTTCCGGGATCAAGGCTTGGGCTCAACAACAAGCGCCGCCAAAGCATCACAGCTGCTGGATGCGCTACAGCGCCATTTTAAGCTCATCCAGCACTGGTGCCACAATTTCTGAACCTCACCTGAATCCGAGGATCCCAAAGCCTCCGCCCAGCACCAAAGCCATGAAAATCCGAATCAAATCGGCTTCGGTTGCAAGAAGGATATCTGACTCCACTCGCCGTGATCAACAATATTGCTCAAGCGGACGCCCCTACCCCGCCGAGTCGATGCCTGGTTCTCCAACTCGCCCCCTGCCACTCGCCTCTGACATCGCACCTGACGGCGTCTTGTCTGCGTAGTGGCTGATGGTCTTATCTTTGCTCTTGGCTGTTGTATCTCCATTACGCTAGCTCCAGTATCACCTGAACTTGTTGACCGGGCTGACCGCTGTTGATGAAAGGCTTTGCAGGTGCGTAGTCGCTCATGCTGTTCTGGCTGTACTTTCTGTACCCGGCACATGTCCATGTTTGTAAGATATGACATGATTCTCTGTATGCCGGTGCTCCATTGTGCATGATGCGAACATGCCGAAATAGAGAACCATCACTCTTCTATCATCTTGTCGAAACATCTGATGATTGCTGGTGCCGGCGCTGCTGATTCACCTTCTCCTATGACGACGGCCGCCACCAGCACCGTCACCGCTGCAGTGGCACCCGTAATGATAGTACTGACAATACAAATACCCCTCAACAACAACTAGTACGTACCGGTAGAAGAGTATCAGCATGAGCATCATCTTTATCTGGGTCACTGCTCCCATCATTGCTCCCCTTAGATTGGCAATCTTAATCATACTAGCAATACGAGCAAGGAAGAAGCCCTGATCTGCCTTCATCGTGAAGATGCTGTGGGATCGGCTGCTCCGTGCATTCACGCGGGTCTCGGCAACCCGCCTTTTCTCCTGGCATCGCTGGGGCCTGGCTCCTGACCCCGAACCTCTAAACACTGCAGAGCCCGAAACCACGTGAACTGGTCGCTGCAATTAATGACTGCAGCTTGCTTCAGTGCAACAGTGCAGAAGAAAAGTGGTTGCCATAAGTATTCGTGTGAGCTTTGTGAGACTCTAAAACGAAACCCAGGAACACGTACCCCTCAGCTCATCATACAATTTGTCACGAAGAAGTGATCCCGGCAGCACCAATGAAATCAAGGCAGTGGGCCTCGATTGGCAACTTAGCATGCCGAATGAGCTACTTGTGCCTGCGCACGACGAACCACCTCGAGGATGTCGTCCATGTTATGGACTTCCACCTTCGGGAGCTGAACTGTAGGCATGCACGATGACTGCAATCATGCTTCCACAAACTAGGAGTTGACCATCCACACAGGAAAGATGATTGTGAAAATGAACGATACGATGAATGTATGTCCTTCTGCTTTCCATGCGCCTAAACCCTCTGCAGAAAGCACCCTGCTCAGGTTCGTGTGCGTGCGGCCAGGATCGACTCGAAGCTGCAGTATGTGCACATAATTCCAAAGACTTTAAGAAATAGAATGCAAAGGTGGGGTGTTGGGGGTCTATCGTGGCATGACTGTGTAATATACGGGGATAGTGCTACGAGCGTGGGCTCCTAGATTCGATATTGCCGAAAGAGTACCACCCCCCCCCCTCCAAGGCAGGACAGCTCCATGTGCATGCACGTATTGACTTGATCAGCGGTGTAAGTCTTCACTTGCCGCAATTTGTGCTTTCAAGTCATCAGAGTCTTACAGTACCTAGTTGATATGCGTGCGGAGATGCAGCCTTGCATACTATGATACTCTATGCAGCTGAAACTCGACACCAGGTGCAAGACTCTGGACATGCCACACGTTGCATTTTATGTGCCGCACATCTGACCATGCACTACGCGGTCTCACATAAATGATAAATACATCGGTTCCATGCCCATTCAAACTATCCACCAGACACGCTTTAGCCTGCAAAGCTTCTGACACAAGAACCCTGAAGCATCCCCAGGAGCCCTCAGCCCAAGTTCTGGCTTTTGGGCGAAGCCACGGCAAACCCTGGGCCCCACTTCGGGGGAACCAGAATACCCTAAGAACTCTCGGAGGAGAGAAAGGTCAGGAAGTCCTGGACATCGTGCTCCTTAAAGGGGATCCCCATCTTCAGGAGGTAGGCGACTTCCGCTGTCTGAGAGGCACCCAGACCAGACTCCGGCCTCACCCGGCTCTTGGCAGCATCACTCGAGAGATCCTCCCAGCTTAGCTTCCCTTGGCCCTTCTTCCCTTGGAAGTAGAAGACGTGGAGCTCTTGCTTTAGTTCCACGGCTCGGTCCACGTTCTTCTTCCAGACTTCGAACCATTGGCAGCCCCACGGTGCTCGCCCACCGTTCTCCTGGCCAAGATCCCGAGCTGCACGCAGGGCTCGCGCATACTGCTTCTGCCACTCTAGGTCGTTCTGCTCGCTCTTGATCAGCAGAACCTGATTCATGGCGTCGGCATCTGCCACTTCGTGACGCAGCTTCTCCCGGCTCTCATAGGTGTCGGCCTCACACGGATCCACTTCCACCACGCGGAGGTATGCCGATGCCCGAATCTGACCGTAGATGGCATGACACCAGCACTTGCCCGGCGTGTCCGGATTTATGGAGTGCTGTCCTAAACCAGAGGCCGAGTCTGTCAAGAACACACATGCCAAAGAGCATAAGTCCTCTTCGGTCACGAAATCATCCCTCACGGCTTTAACGGCCTTGTCCCAGAGCTTATTATAAACCCCCGGAAAGGAGACGATACACTTTGCGGCCCTTTCATTGATGTGCCCCGGGAAGGTGATGCGCTTTGATGCAAAGCCGTAGCCCGACAGGTCTGCGAGCTTTCGGAAGGCATCCATGGGGTTCCGAGGCCCCATCATCCCACTCAAGGCTAGGGCCGCGAAGATCTGCACGCAGATGTCAATGGTAAGCCATGTCATCTCAATGCGCCTCACGAACTGTGCCCAACTCCAAAAGCCCAGAGCAGGGCCAAGCAGCACCAGAAGGGCATTCAAGTACAAGAAGCAGGCCGTTAGCTTGAGGTCCAGATCGAGGTCAGCACGCCCTGCGACCATAGCTTTGCTCCCCGCCTGGCACAGAGCCCCACACTGGGTGAAGAGTGTCGTCCAGCAGCAGAAGAAGCTGAAAAAAAGTAGGAAGGATGCTGGTGCACCAATACGCTCCACAGTTAAATTGCTTTCCTTGCCAAATTCGCTGATGGAGATCCGAGAGGTTAGGATTACCAGACCCCCCAGCAAGAAGCCGCAGCCGATCGCTGCCATAATATGGCAGAACTTGGCCGTCAATCGCCATCCCAGAGCTTGCAATCTTAGGTTGGTCATGTGAACCTGCATGACATTGCAGGTGATCTCCCACGGCAGAACAGAAAAGATTGGCAAGGCAGCTCGCAGTGTTGACATGCTCTCATCAAAGACGAAGATCGCGAGTACAAACACTGTCCGGCGGCTCCAGATGAGCAGACGCGACTTCGTCGAAAACCGCTCTTCCCGAATCAGGAACATCCCTACACCTAATCCTGTAACCAGAGGCCTTACAAGGGCATTCACAATCCTTATGTGATTCTCGTAGTCAATACTGACAAGGTTTGCGGAGATGCGGGCCAAGGTGTACAGCACCAATGCCAGCGCTTTCGCCAACTTCTCTTCTGCGAGGTGGCTCTTGTCTCTGTGCAGCTGGTGCTCCAGCTCTGTCAAGCGAGCCAGGCTCGATCTTCGGTGCCCTCGGCGCGCAGAGGGCACCTCCAGGGAGCCATGGTGTTCAGCCGGCGAAGGGGCGGCACCTGTGCCCAGGAGGCGGAGTTCGACCGTCGGTGCTGGCGAGGCCCCATCCGGCATGGAACAGACAGAGGCTTCGTTGTAGTAGTAGCAGTAGTGGTGGTAGTAGTAGTAGTAGTAGTAGTAGTAGTAGTCTTGGTCGTCGTCGTGGTGGTAGTAGTAGGCGAAACAAACATGATTTGTATAAGTAAAACCAAAATGACGATGACAGCGAGGGGTAGGAGGAGTTTGTGGCATGACTACCATCGCTATGGCCCGTACCACGACGATTCTGGTTTTCCTCATCGGAGCTGATATAATGGCCACATCTCTGCGAGGGCGGCGGCGAAGAGGATCAAAGTCGAGCCAATCGTCCCACAATGCTTCATGCGATCCACAGAGTCCTAAATGCTCCTACATGCCTCTAACCAAGACTGACCGAGCTGGGCCTTGGTTCCCACATGTTTCTGGATATCTGAGCTTCTTGAAACTAGATCTTTGCCTGAGCCAGTTTTTTTCGAGTTATCGGATGCAAGTTCACCGGATCTGGGCTTTGCAAGCTTGAGGCCCTCAGGCCTAAATCGACCTAAGTTTGGGTTTGGGCTTCGGGACCCAAATGAAGCGACGTGTAGCGGGCAGTGCCTCCGACAGGCCTTGGCAGCAGACGCCACGGCCGCTGCCAATATCCTACACAGACTCTGGCTGCATGGTTGCCGAAGAGCTCTAATTTACCGGGGTGATATAGAGTTGCTTCTCAAAGATAATATCGTAGAGTGATCGGAGACATAACCATGTTAAGTACTGGCTCATGGCAGCGTCCGCACCGCAGCTCTCCTTTTCGCTGCGCTGCCCTTTGGAAGTTTCGGTAGGCTGACTGTTCAGCGGTCTTCGGCACTTTCGCCTCAAAAACGACAGAGCACCCAGCGGAGAGAAGCTAAGCTGAACCGTAAGCGAAGAAGTCGCAGTCAGCCCAGAAGAAACCACCAGCTTGCCGTAGACGAGGAGGACGAAGTGGTACTCGAAGAAGAAGAGCTGCTCCACCACTTCCCAGGGCCGCTTCGAGGTACGAGAAGGAGCTTAACTCCGTAGCCCAGTCAAGGGTCCTCGGCAGCGAGAGAAGATAAAAGAAAAGGAAGGAGACGAGCGGCAGCATCCACAGAGCGGCGGGCAGGCGCCGACAGGCGGCCAAGCACTGTTTCGGCCGCCAGCTCTTGCAGATAATGCTGAAGAGTTTGCACATGCTGCAGACGCATGCGCCAAAGCAGATCCAGGATCGGCATGCCTTGTCGATAACTGTGAACAGCGCCTCCGCCGCGAACAGAAGCAGGCGTAAGGTTCAAATCCGAAGAAACATGTAGAGCCGCAAGTAAATCGTCCCAGCGACGCCTGAAACTTTGAGCTGACAGAGGGTAAAGCGGAGCATCAGGCGGAAGCCGCCCAAACACTCGCACACAAGCCTGAACAAGCACTGCGTTTTGAACGGTGCTGTGCTGCTGTCGGCCACCTCCGCGGCGGCCAGTCTTGGGCATCCGGATCCGAATAAAAAGCCGATCAGTCAAATCGGAACCGATATCATCTGGCAGCACGAGGTCTGCGCGCAGAGCTCGCAAGACTTCACCAATGCGTAGGATCCCTTGGAACCCCAGCAGCAGTATGAGCGCGAATCGCGGCCACTGCCAAGTGATCGCTAGACTAGCCATCGCTTCACACAGTCGACATGGTAGCGGTTCACGATGAATGAGCGGTTCAACTTGTTCCCAACGTGACACTAAGGCCCAGCACTCTCTAGCATGCATGCGGAAATCATTGAAGTGCCGCTGGGCCCACGCCAAAAGATGCCTGAAAGAAGAGAGTGGAGCTCCAATATAGAAAAGGTGCTCGCCGTAAGCAGCCAGAAGCGTAGCGACCGTCGCCGCAACCAGAAGAATTTCGTCTGCAACCGCAGCGTCTAGATCCAAAACGACCCAATCCCGAAATTCATCCCAAAGTCGGCGCTCCAAGTTCTCAGTGCGAGCGTCCACGAGCGCCACAGACCGAAGTTCCAAACCTTGTCGGTGAGCGGCGCGGCTTGCCGCAGTGGTTCGACGAGGCCCTGGATGAAGGGCTTCCCCTATGCGACGGCCGAGTGCCCGAGCACACGCAGATGCATCCAGCCTCCGAAATGCTGGCCTATCGCCGGTCGCCCCGGCCATCGCCATAGCAATGACCAGCGAAACACCTCGCGGGTAAGGCTCAGCAACTCGGGTCCATGACATGCGATGGTGCGGAGAGCGCCCCCTGAGCTGTTGATGCCGCGGACACCCAGGACACCGAGTAACTTGATCTCGGAGACTCGTAGTTGTGAGCACAACCGTACGCTTTCGCCAGGGAGCTCGAAAAGCGCAAAAATCAACAGTCCACTTGCCTAGGCGGTGATCTCGTTGTAGCTCCACAAAAGACGGGAGCTGCCAGAGAAAAGAGCACTGAGGATTCTCCACCCAAAATGGAACATGATGCGTCAGGCACCGTGAACAGGCTTGGGCCACGAAATTCGCCAATGTGTTCCCTAGTCGGACTTTGGCAGACTGTGAAGCGCTTAACCCAGGCAGTCCTTCAGGATGGCTAGCCGTCCGACAGCACGGTGCCACAGCTCGCGACAAAGAAGAGCACACCGGCGCCGCTCCACAGCCAATGATCCAACCTGAAGTGATGAGGCGCAGAACTTCACTCTGAACACAGGCTAAGCTGAGGTCCTGCTCGGGCGAGAACTTGACGTCGTAGCACAGAACCCATCGCCCTGTGAGTCGAGCGAGTTCCCGAGCAACTCCAGCACAGCCTGAAAACAAATCCAAGTATCCACTTCTTGCAGCACAAACCGATCGCTCCAAACCTTTCGGGAAAAAGAAGGTCCCACATGAACTGAAAGGAGGCACAACTGCATCCTTGGGAGTGTGCCGTTCAGTGGGATGGCAAAGTTGGTCGGACCACTCATGGCCCAGTGGCTCCAATGGAAAAGGAAGAGCCGCATTGAGAAGCTCGCGCAGGTTTCGGCGAGCTCTGAGGTGACCGTGCCGCACTTGCGACACAATCTCAGCTTCTCCTGCCTTCCTAAGCTCAGCAAAAGAAGGCAGCCCTGATACACAGAAAGGATCTGCACGTTGATGCTCCAGCCACCGGTCGAACTCGTCAAACTCGCCCTGAAGGGCCTGCTCCCACCAATCTGGCGATGGCTCCTGTGGCGAGGGTATGGGCTTTCCTCTAGTGGGAGCGTCCGACGGGTTGATTGAAGTGGCATAGTACATCTGCATGCTGTGCAAACCGCCTCCAATGTAGTCTGGCAACGAGCTCCTGAGCTCGTGGTTCAACGAGGGACTCGCCGACCGTCCTTTGAGCAAACAGCCAAGCGCAACTTGAGAGTCGCCGCCAACGACCATTCTGGTGGCCTTGCCGGGCAGCTTGCCCAAGCGCTCAGCCTTGATGAACGACCTGAGTTCTCCTATGTTGATGTGTCTTCGCTTCAAGCTCTTCCGCTTCCAGCACAATTTGTACGGTCTGGTACGAGCAAGTACAGTGTGCAGCGGATGGGCTCGGAAGCAATCCTTAGCTCCACCGGGAACTTCTTCTTCAGGTGCCAGGACCCCAAGAGCTCGCGATCTCGCCTTCAGCGGCGATAGCAAACGGGTCCAGACGCCTTTGGTTAACGTGTGGCGAGTCAACTCCTTCACAAAAGCTTTGCTGGTCCTGGTAGAGCAAACCGCCTCACCCCACATCGAAGCATCCACTGCGAACACCTCGGGGTTCACTTCGGCACGCATGTCCGACACGGCAGTGGGGAGCAACACAGCTACCAACAATAATTCTCGACGGAGTTTTCCCCCAATAGCTATAACGGTGCCCTGCACGCGGCCTTTCATCACTTCGAAGATCTCCTCCAGGAGGCTCATGAGCCTGCGCCTGAAAGTGAACAATGAAATGAGGCCACCGGCGAGCACTTCAAGCAAACCTATGCTCACCACACCCAAACGCAAAACCTGCACGATGATCTTGAGTAAAGGTGCTGCCCGTCTGAGCGATCCTCGTACAAGCCCAACTCGACCATCCAGATCGACGCCCCAAAACTCGGCACGAGAAGCATCCCTCACCGCCTTGGCTTCATGAGGAATCAAGTGCACTTGCTGGTAGGCTTTTTGGGCTTGGTCTGCGAGCTCAGCTCCTCGACTAGCAACTGGAACGATTGGTTGACGAGCTTCCCGAACTTTGCTGAGCGACACGAAATCGTCGATAACAATCCCACACATGGTGTCACTCCTAGGAACGGGCAGGGACATTGCAAGGAGGCTGTCCTCATCAACTATCTCTTGCTGCAAGCACAGTCCCAAATGGCAGGTTTGTGCAAGTTCCACCGCCTGCGTGTCGCCCATGGCGAGGCAGGCCAACGACACAATGAGCTCGGTCTCGCCATTCATCCAGTCCTGGAAACAGGTCAAATGTCGAACTTCTTTGGGATGGACACTTCCTATCAGGCTGTTTCGTTGAGCTCGTTGATCGCTGACACGGAAGAGATGATAAAAGTCCCTAATATCGTTCGTTGATATGAGCACGATCTCACCCGCTTCAAGAATGAGCTTCGTGAAGAGCTCCCCAGAGCCGAGTGTCATGATATAACGGCCAGGAGGGCGCTCAAGCAGATTATGAGGTCGGGAATCCATAATTAAACGATCGAGCTCCAACGACTTGAGGACCGCGAACACTCCTGCACCATACTGGGACCTTACATCTTGCTTTCGAAAGAGACGTATGCGGCCACTTTTGTCAAGCAAAGTGAACAGCTGAAGTCTCTGTTCTCGGGAGCAGTGGATGCGCACTCGGGGAATCCTGCCTTCGAACTCTTCGGGAGCAATCGAGGTCTCAAAGGGGCAATCATAGATCTTGCGACTGAGAGAATCGAGGAACGGCCTAGGATCGAAGTCAGGTCGCCCGCGAAACTGAAGCCTGCTGGCTTCAATCTCTTTGTACGTGCCCGCATAGGCACGACGGAGCTTGCCAATGTCGGGGCTGCTCTCACTAGGCTGATGCTCTTTGCCTGCCGACACGAAGTTTTGCAACTCACTCAAAGCGGCTTCCAGGTCCTCAACTTTGCCAGCAGTCCTCCCCATGTCCTCGGGCCCCAAGATGCCAAGGCCTAGCCAAGCGTCCAAGTACTTCTCGATCCTAAGAACCTGCTCGGTTTGGCTGGGTCGGAGCCACCCTCCAGGAAGACAAGCATCAGGAGCTCGGGAGGGTAAGCCCAGATCGATAAAGTCAAGAACGATGACAATCAGGTTAACAACATACTTCTTAAGCAAGTCGCCTTCCAGATCGACCGCCGGCTGGGACATCAAGTTGCCGTAGGGCACGGGGATGGGCCACACTCGGCCACTCAGACCGCTCGAAGAACCGCCCCGGTCACGACGGGGCTGGGCAGTCCTAAAGCAGCTTCTGGAGAAAGAGCCAAGGGCCCCGGGGTCCTCGAACAAGAGGGCCCCAAGTTGGCGAAAAACCTTCAAAGTATCAACACATTCAGCTCTGGATCCCGGCACGTGCTGCGTCTGCTGCTGTCGTTCCAGATCTTTCCCAGGTCGGCCTGAGGAGAAGCCCGGACTTTCAGAAGTAGTTCCAGCTCTCGTGCCACATACAGTGCTTGTAGAAGGGGCTGCAAAAGAAGAGGGCGGCCGGCATTCAAAAGGCCCCGCGCGGCTGTCCTCAAACTCATTCGCACTCACTGCTGTTCGGCACCCCCTTGGGCGCCACTGCCGTCTCGGCCTCGTCCTCTGCCTCGGCCGCGTCCGCGACCCCGTCCCGGCTCCTCGGTGGACTCCTTGTCGCCGCGCTGAGTGCCCCCAGGGTCCCGTTTGTTCCCCTGAGACAGTTTTAGCTTGGCCTCGTTGAATGCCTCGCGGTCCCGAAGCACTTGGAGGAATATCTCGCTCCACCTTGGATCGAACAAGGCCGTCGTCTGCGACTCCGCCGGCTGAGGCCCTGAATGACGAGCGAATTCTTGATACGGCGGCAAAGGCTCCAGCAGGGCAACGGTGCTCATCACCCACGATCCTGAATCGATCGAGGCCTGATCGGCACAGGCCACCATCAAGCCTGCCCGAGCGCGGGCTCGCTCCACATTGTTCTGCATCAGATCGTCCCACACTCCTGCCATGCCCCAGGCCCACCGAATGTGATTGTGATAATTTCCAATGCGGCTCTTCGAAGCAAGCCAGCCCCTTGCGGTACCAGCACCTCCTCCGACATCTGGAACACCAGGCTTTGGGGGAGCGACTTGGAAGTCCAGCCGCATCTGCCGCTCCAAAGTTTCGTAGATCACCTTGGGATTCTCCTCGTAGGTCTTGGTGAGCAACCTCAATGCGGCCGCGCTTTTCCGTCCTTGCCCTAGTCCCTGCTGGTCGCTGCTGCTCCCGCTCGCCCCTGCATCCAGAACACTGTCTAAGTCGGGTTTGCTGCCGCGAGCTGGCACAGCCAAAGTGCTCACAATCTTTGTGAGCTGAAGCAACGCGGCCTCCATCTGGTTGCCGTCTTGGGCGCCAGCGGCGAAAGGGTCCTCGTCGTTGAGCTCCTGGAGGTCCTCGGCGAACTCGCCCTCGTCCAGAGCCCCGGCCGCCATGGCCGTCACAAAGTTCTCGGCGCCCTCTTCCGGCTTTTTGAGCTTCTTGGCCGCCAGAAGCTTTCCCATCTCCTGCAAGGCGCTGTCCTCGATCCCTGCAGCTCGGGCCGCCGCTACGGTCGATGCATCCAGGCCGCCCAGCGCCACTTTCCGCGGGGCTGCGGCGACCTTCGACCTGGCTCCTCGAGTCTTGTCGACTCCTTCGCCCGCCTTCCCGGCCGGCTCCTTGTTGCCAATGTTCTGAATGAGCAGCTTGATTTCTGCTAACCCAGACTCGACGGCAGCCATGCGCTTGAAAATACCGTCTCCGCCGCCCCCGCTCTCCGCCGTCGTGAAGGCAAAGTGCTCGTCCGCAACGGAGACTAAGGCTTGGGCATAGGGCAGCACGGTGGTCGAGAACTTGTAAGTGATTTCGGCCGGGGGCCGCTCGAAGGTGATGAGGGCCTCCAGCTCCATGGCCAAGACCCCGACCCAGAGTTTTATGGTGACCTCCTGCACTGGCGTCTCCTTCTCCTCGGGGTAGGCGCCGACAACTGACACCAGAATCGCTTTGCCCAAAGTAGTCGGGCTGACCTTGCGCTTCGAAGTGAGCCGGTGCCATACCTCGTGAGGCACAGCTACGATCAGCCTGCCCCCCAATTCTGCAATGGCCAAAATTGCGGTATCCTCCCCTGTTACGGAACAAGGCAGGGCTCCCACACGATAATCAAAATTTGTGCGACCTGATTGAAAGAGGAGGTGCGATCGCACTCCAGCCTCCTCTTCTTCTTCCTCGCTGGCTTCACCACTCATGGCTCGACCTCAAGGGGCCACTGAAAGCCAGCCTCGGCCACAGCCACAGTCGCCTCCCGCTGGGATGGGAAGCCGACGAAAAGGGAATCAAACAAGTCACCCTTGGTCTCCACAAACTCCTTGATGCCACGCCAGGACCGGAAGGCCCGAACCGGATTGGTGAAGGTCTGGCCCCCTTTGTCCCTCACAAGGACGTAGATAGTGCTCTTGAGATTCACCTTTGACCGGCCACTTGTGCCAGACCAAGGCTCGCGTTTGAAACCTGCTTTCAAGAAGCGGCCGATCTCCTTGGCGACCTCAAGCCTGAAAGTCCAATCAGAGCTAGCCCCACTCACACAGGCAGACTCCGAAGAAGCAGCCGCACCACTGGAGCTGCGCAAGGCCCTCCCAGCCCCTTCGCTGGACGGCTCCCGGACAATCTCAAACCCCGGCTCAGATCCCTGAGCTGCCTTGAGCTCAGCAATCTCGGACTCCTGCCTGTCGAGACGCAAGCGGAGCACTTGCAGCTCCAATTTCAGAGCTTGGACCTCGAACTCCAGCTCCTTAGTGCCGCGGCTCATGCACCCGGTAAAGCGGAAAGTTTCCACTTGACCTAGGGCCCAAAGAGATCCAGCGAGCAGTGGTTTGACGCCACCACAGCCGAGCACAATAGAGTAGATCAACCAGAGGTCCAATGGCAATCCCGCAGAGAAGCCCAATCCAGAACTGCCTGTGGGAAAGAAGATCTGCCCAATCGTCGGGCAGTTCACCGAGCGCACACAATGGCTCAAGAGAAGAGGGGTTTAGTGCAGGGCCCGACACAACAACAGGAGAGGGTTGACCGAGGCTTTGCACAATCGCGCTCAAGACGAGGCCTCCTAACGACCCCGAGGCGAGAGCCTCCCTTGACATGGGCTAGGCCCACAAAAAGCTGCCACCATTCGCTGACGCACTGAACATGTAAAACATGCCAAGCAACTATACTAAGCACTCGCTGCGTGATGACAACACAAGAAGAAGGCTGGTGACCAGCATACAACTAAAGCCAACAATACCAATATAGACAAGCTGAACAGTGCAGCAACTGTGGGCGACCTTCATCAGGACATAAGGAAGAAGACTAATCTTGCTGTTATTAGTCATGATGATAAACGAATTCATGACCTTGTCTTATCTTAACTGTACCGAAAGTGTCTCTGAATATCTATCTACGAGAATGCGGCCCTCGGTCCTTCAGGTCCAGCTTTGGGTGGCGCTCCGCAGTGGCCAAGAGGTCGCTCAACTCCTCGCGTCCGAGCTTTGCTTTCAGTTTGAAGGTCTAGCTAGGTCCTTGGGATTGCAGGTTTTGGGCTTTGGGGTTCAGGGCTTGGGGCTTTCGGTTTGGGGTTTAGGCTTAAAGAGTTTAAGGCTGAAGGCTCAGGGTTATGGGCTCGGGGCTCTAAGGTCGCACGGGTTTAGGGTGTAGGGTCCAGGAGATAGGGGCTTAAAGTTTGGGGTCTTTGGGGGCTGAGGAACAGAGTGAGGGTTGAGGGTCCGGATGTAAGGTTCACAGAGCCCTTGAAGGAGATGCATGCAAGGCCGTCTGTCGGGCTAATAGACAGGTTTCGCATGAGGCTTGGGAATTTCAGGCTTGAAAATTCCACTGAGGCCTGGTAAACCCCAAACCCTGCCTCGTTGTAGATCTCCAGATAGGACACCGTCACCGTGCTCTCCGTGAACTCGGGGTGAGCCTGGAATGGGCATTAGGAGAATCCACAAATTGGCGGAGAGCTTCTGGCCAGGCGAAAGGTTCTTAACAGTGGGAGCAAGAATGACAATCAGAAATTCTCGAGTCTTTACAAGTAGTCGGAATCTGACTGCGCACCCGAACATTTCCAAGTGCGGGGAATTTGCAGCATCTTTGCTATCAGCTTAAGTGTGTAATAAGCATAGTGGGTGTCTTTGTCTCAAAAGCATTCAAGAGGATATTGCATTCAACCTTTCAGAACTCCTACACTAAATTGGAAGTTGTACGGGCTCCTGCTTCCTTCATTCCTCCTGGGGCGTCTTTCTTTAAGGCCGCCACGAGGGCTTCAAGCACAGCTGCGGCCGTGCGGGGAACCAGGCCGCGCCCTGGGCACTTCATTATTATTGTTATTATATTGATATTATTACTATTATTACTATTTATTTCTATTTTTTTCACTGTTGCACAAACAGCGATTCGTGCTCGTAGTCTCACTAAACTGTTTTTTGCTGCTGTATACACATTCCGTCCATTCTGATTCCAGTAAGACCCCGCAAAACACATGCTTACATCAACATCGCGATCTTCATGTTGACCTGGGTCGTAGCAGCACCTGCTGGCGGCTGATGCCTCTAGGCGTAGCAATCGTCGGTCGTGTCATCGCTGTAGTACCACAAGTACAGAGGGACCACAAGAGGATGCTATCGTTTCTTCCTCTTGAACCCTTTCAAGACCCTCACACAAACCATGCAGGGGGTAGTATGTCTAATTATTGAGCACATCAGTGTAGTTAAAGTGTCGTCTAATCCACTCCTCCTCTGTCACATCATGTTCGAAAGGGTCATCTACACCACAAAGCTTATCCTTCGTCTGTACACGAGTGCATGTACACTTCGTGTCCCTGTAGGTTAGCTCATTCGCCAGCTTCAGTTGCTCACCGTCCTCTGTTCCTATAACTATGAGATTGGTGTTCTCATCTACGAACTTCCTCTGTTGAAGTAGACCCCAAACCCTAAGCGCTGAACCCTAAACCCGAAGCCTAAACCTTGAAGACTACATTGGGGCGTGGGCCTTCCGCTGAGTCGAGTTGGCCCTCCATCCTGGCACTTTAGGTGTTGATTCTTGATTTTTCGGGTTTAGGGTTCAGGGTCTAGGATTTGGGATTTAGGGTCCTGCGTTTACGGTTTTTAGGGTTCAGGGTCATAGGTTGAGAGCTTAGTTAAATTAGGTCAGGATTTAGGATTTCGGATGTAGTCTCTTGAAGTTCGGGTTGAAGCAAACCGGCCCAGGCCCTTCGCGTTTGGTGTTTCGAACTTAAGATCACAAGTTAAGAGATCAGAAATGAAATGAAGGAACTGAAAAACTATGGCGCTTAGGGCAGCGGGTCTCAAAAACCAGCTCCTTTTTTGGGATCACATTGATTTCAAGAAGCAACCGGCGCTGCACGACACTTTCTCTAAGCAGGCAGTGGGTTTATTGAGTCTCCAATGATGATGTTGGGGCCTTTCCAGTCTTGAGGATGTCTGAGCTGGAGGAGATTGGGGTCCGAAGACTGCCCAAACACCGGAGCGGAACGACCGAAACGATGCCTCGGAAGTTTGGGGGGTGCGAAATCACCTGGCAAGTTCAAACGGCTTCGGGACACGAACCCCCGACCCGGCAAGGACACCACAGCCAGAACAAGCATGGCGCGAGCCACGTGTACCTGAGAACAAGGCAGGCAAGCCACTGCGGTCCCAAGCTTTGCAAAGCTGAGGGCAACACGTTTTGCCTGTACCCGTCTGACCGTAGGCAAAGGCTGTAGTCTCGTAACCCGCCAATACCTGCAACAAAGGCACTGGAAATCATGAGCATCGCCATCCTCGGTGTCACAGCCATCACCACCACCGCCGCCACCATCACCAGCACCACCACCACCACCACCACAGCCACCGTTCATTCGTGGACAATGTAGCGAGCTGTCCCCATCCTTCATCACGACACCAGCCACCAGCACCACCACTACAATCACAACAACCACAAACTCCGAAGTCGCCGGCTTGTATCGACATCTTCCACACCCGCTCCGAAGCCGAATGCATCAACAACAAAAACAAGCGCCGCATCAACAACGCTCAAAGGCCTGGCCCACCAGAGGCTGCAGAGTCGCCCGGAAGACATCTTCCTGGCTGCTGAAGGACGTGAGGACGTCATCGAAGTGGAAGGTGGACCTGACCTTCGCCGGGCGATGACAACCTATACTGAGGAAACCGAGGATCGGAGTCACAGAAACATCACCACCGAGCATAGCAAGAACGACGATCACCACAGCGATGAGTGCAATAAGCGGAAACAGAGGAGGAGGAGGAGGAGGAGGGTCAGGGAAATAGCAACAATTTAAGAACATCGGCAGTAATAGCTGGCCCCCATCGCAACACAGGCAATAGCAGCAGTTCGAAAAGAGGCGAGGGATTGTGATCAGTCTGTTCTTGCCCTTTCCTCGTCTTCCACTGCCGGTTTGCGATCGACGACTTATTCCTCTTCTTCTTCTTACTGTTGGATTCTTCGTATTGGTAATATTCTGCTTCTTCTTCTTCATCTTCATATTCATGAAAGCTTGCTCATCGTTCCCTTCTTTCTCCCTGCCTAGGCAAGCCTGGTGTGTTTCTGCACGCAAGCCGCTCGGAGCCCTGTAGCCACAAGCTGGCGCCACTGAGAAGCCGTCTCGGCAAAGCTTAAAGAGGCACCAGGAGGTTTCAAAAGAGTTCCGGCAGGCTCTTCCACCCTACACAAGCTGCCCATCCCTTTGGTGACCCACGGCGCATGCCAGCCATCACTCGGGAGGTCCGCGGGGGAAGACCCGACCCAACCAGCAGCTTCTCCAGGCAGACGAAATCCCCGCTGCAAAGCCGTTGCGGGGAGGCGGGCTGTCCAAGGTCATCAGCTCCTCCAGCAGCACATGGGTCTTCGAGAGGAGCAGGGACATGTGAGCCGTCTGTCCATATCTGACCACGTTCCGTTCTCCCTTGGTCCGTGTCAAAGTCAAGCTGGCCAGCCCATTCCTCAAGGAAACCGTAAGGTGTTGCCTGGCCAGGGAAAGAAGACTAAGAAGGGCCCCCGGCAACAATTCCCAGCAAAGTGCCCACAGCCCGGCCGAAGTAGAAGTCAGGCCGCGGCGTGGAGTCAGCAGCAAAAGGAGGGCGAGGAAGGGTTCAGGTCCAGAATCCCTGAAGTGCCCTAAGAAGGTAGCCAGCAAGGCGCTCGACAACCCACCCACTCCGGCGCCTACGCCTACGGCTAGTGGGCCTTCGTTCACAAGCCGAAAAGCCTCGAAGGGCGATTTCGCTTCGCTCTATGAAGTGCATCTTCATCTTCATCATCTCCCTATTCCTATTCCTATTAGTATTATTGGTATAGCAATTGTTATTGCTATTGCTATTATTGTGAATATCTGTAAAACTATTTGTAGTGTTCTTCTTCTTATTCTAATTCTCATCCTCATCCCCATCTTCATCCGCATGCGCATTCGCATTCGCATTCTCATTCTCAGTCTCATCCTCATTCTCATTCTCATTATCATTATTTTTATCCTTCTTATTCTGCTTCCTTCTTGTTGTTGCTCTTGTTCTTCTTCTTGTGCTTCTGCTGTACGTACTCCGCGCAGTAGGCGACCTGTGCAAACTACTCCTCAAAAGACCGCCGACTCTAGAACTACGTCTTCTCCACCTCAGCCTCACGCAAAGACCATAATCTCTGAACCCTGAAACCCCAAAAACAAAGGCTCAGCAAGTCCAGGGCTGCAGCCTGACGGGTTCCACCTGCGAGAATGCGGACCTGAACTCGAAATCACCGGGTTTGGGACTTAGGGTTAAAGCTTAGGGTTCAAGGTTTAGGTCCAGGGTTCCGGGTTTCAAGGCTTGGGACTCAGGGTTTGGGCTCTGGGTGCTACGGGCCTGCGGATAGGGCTTCAGGCAAGTGCTGAAGCTCTCAAGAACCACTTCTTAAGCTCGGTCAGGGCCTGTCGGCTTATGGCTTTGGGGCTTGTGGCGGCGCGCCGCCTGTTGGCGGAGCTTTCAAAGCATTCTGTGGGGACTGCAAGACCTGGTAATGTCAAGAAACAGGTTTACTTTTTATTTATCGATTCAAAACAAATAAAACAATAAAACGAATAAAACACATGAATAAAGCAGACATCTGATTCCCAAATCCGTTCTCGAAATCAAGGACTCCTCTGAGCTGGGCACCACCGCGACCTCGCGGCGCTCTGTGGAAGCCGTTGCTGCGGGCGTGGCTCCTGCCTGGGGATCAAGTTTCGGCACATGGTCATGAACTAAGACGGTTGACCCGAGAAATTGAAGTGCTATATGCATGCAGAACCCTGATGTCCCAGAGCACTTACGAAGCAGGACAGTGTCTGTAGGACTCTCCGTTGGGCGTTTCAGATTAGCGGACGGACCGTAGGTTCAGGGCTTGCGGCTCAGGGCTTAAAGTTTCGGGCTACAGCCTCCGGAGGGGCCCCCACAATCCTCATCAGTATATAGTGGAGCAAGTATGGTCGGCGCTGGTGTCGTATTCAATACCTGCATAGAAGCTGATGGGAGCATTAGTATCCTCTTGTGGCAGTCCTCGTGTAACAACTGTAGTGTACCCACCAAACCGATGTTCTAGTCATATCGGTAACGGGGCTGTCGTCAATCGTTGTACGATGGCCTCTCCGATGCACTGTACGGTTCAAGATTTACGGTTCAACGTTTGGCAATTAGGGGAACTAAACGGCTTCAACGTGTCATTGCACGGATTGCACCGAGCCTGCCTTCTTCTCGCGGTCGTTCATGGGCCGAATTCGGCAGACCACCCGCACATTGGTCACCGGGATCTTGCAGTGTGGAGCTCTTGTAAGCTTAAGGATTCGAAATCAGAAAGATGTTCGGGGCGCTTCGGATTGACAATGGGCGTGTTTGGGTTCGAGAATGGGGCTGCATGAAGAATAGGAATGCTGGAAGAGACCTGGGACAAGGGGAGAAGCTTGTGTTGCTGATAGATTCCCATGCTGATGCATCTTCATTCGAGTTAGCTGCCCAACAATTGAGAAAGCACGACCCCCACACCCCCGCTGCACTCCGGACCCCAAACAGAAGCCTTAAGCTCGAGCTGTTCCGTCCTCGGAGTTGCTAGCTCCGGTTGGTGTCGCCGGACGGCTGCGAGCTTGCCTGGGGTTGTCAGGCAGTGCTGACGATTGAAGTGTGCAGGAACGCTGATCGGCCTATTCATGCTTGCAGATCAACACTGCGACTGCAAAGTCTAGTCATGGTCTCTACCCGGTATACATGATTCAGAGACCAGGCAGAAGACTTCCCAATTAGCGAGCAGCACCTTCGGCACGCTGTGCCACGATCAGGGCAGCCATCAGGCTCGTGCATCTTGACTACGAACTGGCCACAGGCTTCCCCAGCTTCTGATCCGTCAACGCTGTCATGAGCGTGGGTACGCAAGAAGGGCAAAGGCAGATGCTGCTTCAAGTTTAGCTGTGCCAAGCCACGTACACCACGATCCAAAACCAACAAACCCTTCCAACAACTGAACACCGGAAGAGCAAAAAAGGCACAGCCTTCTCGCGCATCATCAACTCCTTGTAAAGCTCGCTATAACCGCATACAGCCAGCCAAATGGCGGGATGACAAAGTTCATATCCGGAACCCGCACCCTCACCTTTTCCACCAACAGTAGAAGTTCGACTCGCGGGATGGATGCATGTCAAGGTCCCACTGGGAGGAAGGACTCGAAAGTCAAGATAGCATGCCCCTCTAGAGTACTTTGAGTCTTTAAGTCTTAAACCCAGAAGTTCAAGGCCCGTGCACTCCGCGGAACATGTAGCAAGACACTGGCGATCAGAACATCTCCGGAGATCTAGATACTCGTAACAGTCGTAACATCAAGCAACGTACTTATACCAGACATAGGCTCCTCATATGATTCCAGGAACACTCGTAAAAAATACATGTATTATATAGATGATACAGAAGCCACCCACGAAGACCATATAACAATAACATACAACTGTAGTCCAAGCCAAACAATTCTGTTAGTGCCTCCCAAGCACTTCTGACATGCAGATCAACCAAACGTCAAACAATCTCTGAGTGACTCTGTGGTCTTTCCAGGACGGCCGTATGTAAGGTCCACGCAATGTTCTTATTTCCAAGTCCACAAATGCATAAACAAATTCGTCGTTATTTGGGAAATCCCGCAATATAGGTTCGTATAAAATATTCAATCAGACATGTGAGACTGCGATGCATTCACTCGGACCCCTCCTTCTTTTTATCGGATAAGCTCGAAGTGCTGTGGGGAATATCGAATGCAAAAGGTGTTGATGTCTGTCCCAAGGTCAAGCTTCCAAAGCTCGGCCAAGGGCCACGACTCCTTCAACGCACAGCTTGAAGTGCACCCGAACTTCCCCCCAGGGTGGGCGGGCGGGACAAAAATTTGCACACATGTGCTTGAAAGGAGCGTGCGCGGAAGACATGTTGTTCAACAATCATGTAACAAGCAAGTTCATGAAAAATTCGAAAGCTTGAAACGGTTTCCCAAATACCCGCTCGGAGAGTTCATGCTCAATCGTTTCTCAACGAGACAACGATCGTTGTGAAAATGGAAATAAGGTGAAAATCACAAGTGATGTGGTCACTTATTTCCAAGTCCACAAATGCATAAACAAATTCGTCGTTATTTGGGAAGTCACGCAATATAGGTTCGTATAAAATATTCAATCAGACATGTGAGACTGCGATGCATTCACTCGGACCCCTCCTTCTTTTTATCGGATAAGCTCGAAGTGCTGTGGGGAATATCGAATGCAAAAGGTGTTGATGTCTGTCCCAAGGTCAAGCTTCCAAAGCTCGGCCAAGGGCCACGACTCCTTCAACGCACGGCTTGAAGTGCACCCGAACTTCCCCCATTGATGTGCACTTCAGCTCGCCTCCGAAAGCATGCTAAAGCAATCTGCCCAAGCTCGCATCGTCCTGCCGTGCACCTTGTCTGATCAAGTGGTCCACAATCTGGCGACTAGGCGCATCCTTTTTTCATTCACACGCTTTAGTCGAGTCGACTATTCAGCGGGCGCTACGTACCCGTATCGGCAATTGGATACAGGAACGGCCTTTTCAGGCACGCCGGACAACTGCGGTGCCGCTTCCTAGGGCGGCAGGCCGACTATTGCGGCCCTAAAAAGAAAGCAGTAATGCCACGTCCTACTACGCAAATGGAAGTAGGACGTAAACCAAAGGAGAAGTTTCCCAGTGCCAGTTTACTCTGTCTACATGCACCTTGAGGCAGACTGTACAGAACACAAGGCGCAAAAAGTAGGGCCGTCCAGCGGCACCCGAAGTAGAAGGGCCGACTGTCGGCACCCGAAGCACAGGGAAGAGCTCGTCCCTTCGACTACTCTGAAAAAGAGCGCCTACGCAAGCCCCGGAGGGCCAGACCGTCAAAGGCAGCTGCAGCAGAGGCGTTCTCGCTCTTACTGACCTGAAGCCACAGCACTTCTGCCCGTTCTCAGAGAAATCGAAGGGAGTGGCAAACCCTGTCTTGGAGGGCCAAAGGCTTCAAGCAAGAAGTAGCCGCGGCTGCGACTCCCCTGACACACACGCTTTGGGCGCGTTAACCACCACCAGCAGGCACGTTGGCACAGTGTCCTGCTGACACCACGCTGTACTGGGTGTTGGCCAAAATGATGGTCGCCAGTGAGACCAGACTCTTCGGCAGACTTGCAATTGCTGGCAACTCCTGAAACACTGTTCGTCACCGAATGCAGTTGGTGGGCCGGCAGGCGGCACCAAACACGGAAGGGCCTGCAGTCAACAGGGCCGCCCTGCAGTTCCCGAAAGCAAGGGGCCGATATACGGCTCCTGAGGCGCTGCGAGAAGTGTTGGACACGTCTCCAGGTGTAGCTGGTTGGGCCATACGCAGAGGCCGGTAGCAAATCTGACCTGTATGCAGCTCTCGGAACCAAAGGTGCAAAAGACGGCTTCTGTAGCACTGTGAACAGAACCATCGCGTTGTCAAAGCAGCTGTATGGGCCGGCAGTCGGCACCCAACGTGTAAAGGCTTGCAGTAAACAGGGCCGCCTTGCAGCTCCCGAAACCAAAGGGTCAAGAGACTCGGGGCCATGTGGTGGAACACGGCCCTTAGGGAGCACAATGTCGTTCTGGAGGAAAATTCTCAGCAGTAGTCGCCCAAAACAAGGAGCGTCGGCCAAGAAGGCCGCCAATCGACTGAAGAGCCTCTGACTGGGTTTAGGAGGGGACAAATGTTGATCAAGACCCTGTACGTCTCCACGTGCAGCTGAATGGGCCGAGAAGCGGCTCCCCACACGGAAGGGCCTGTAGCCAACAGTACCGCAGCGAGGGCAAAGTGCTGCGCACTCCACAGCGTCACCGGGGCCTACCAGAGGCACCCGCCATTGCAAGCACCAGGTGAAGGACCTCAAGAAACTTCTCTGAAAAGGAGCACCCAGAGGGCGGAACAACATTCGCAGGCACACGGAGCCACATCTCTTATGCTCTTCCGCAGAGAAACCGAAATCGGAACCAAAACCTCAGCCGAGGAATGTCGCACCAGATGTAACATGCAAGGCCGGGTAGCACACTGTTTTGACCAATGAGCGTGGGCGAGGACCAAGCGCAGCTGTATGGGCCGGTAAGCGGCTCTCAACACTCCATCCCGACGAAAAAGTTCTTGCAGACCAAGGGGGCTACGACCCCTGCACTGAGTGCGACAATCTGGCGCCTGAACTGTAAGTGTAGCTGTAGGCAACCCTCTGAGAGAAAACTGAAGACCGAGAAGCACTGGTAAGGGGCCGAAAAAACGGCACACCGATCAAAAGGCACGGCCACAGGACGTGGTCCGGTGCAGTTGTCCGGTGCAAGATCGCGCCGCCCACCGTCTTCCCACCGCGGGAAGAGCACGAGCTGCTATCGTGCTGTGGTTCTCCCCCCGTGGGGGGCCCGGGGGGAACCCTCACGCCAGCCATCAAATTGCCTCGTAGCTGTGCTCTTGTAAAATTGATGGCTCCCGGACAAGGGACCGGGACGAGCTGAAACAAAAGCTGGGCAGTAGCATCCTCGCCAAACTCTTCCGAAAACTTTCTGTCCACAAAGCTGCGATTCCCTCCAAGAGGCTCCGAAAGCAAAGTACTGTAAGCAAAGTACAAATCACTGACGCCATTCCAAACATGACTGTGTGACAGGAGCAAAAGCTCTCCACTGCCAAGGTGTACTGCAGGGGCTTGCCGCATTGCGCAGCGCGCCTCTTTTTCCCCTAAAGCAGCAGGCCTGCAAGTCCATGACCAAGATGGCTCGCATGGTTGCAGGAGCGAACAAGCAGTTGCATACGTCGCCACATACTCAAAGATCCATGCCATGCAGTTAGGTTGGGTGCGCATCAAAAAACCAAGCAATGAAAATATAGAAAGTGAAGAAAAGTGTTTATAACCAATGTGGCTTCATGTATCATGCGGGCCTTTCTTTAAGTCCACTCGAATATGTCTTTCAATCGCATATATATAAAGTGGAAATGAGGCCTGTTAGAGAGCTTACGAGTCTCATAGAAAAAGCAGCACTCGGACAAACTACGCTCAACAGGTTCTTTTCTTTCGGTTTGGCAAAGCCTCTCGGGGAAAGAAGTGCATGCTCCGGATCCCCCTCGGGATCCCAACACATGTTGGCACTTCGCCAACAGCCCCTCCGGGCTCGTGGAAAAGTTATGGGGCATCTTTCACCCCGCAAAGTTTGGGTGGGAGTGGTGGGTACAAACTTTGCTGCACGGAAGGTTCCC